AACAATAAAGGCGCCTTAATTAATAATTCCTATCTGTTTATCGATCTAGCGATCGATCGAATCAAACACACGCATATATATATATAAAAGAGAGTAATAATGGGAAAAAAGAGACCTCCCTGTTTCATATAACCCGGTACCTAAATATTGAACGCTAACTCATTTTTTTCGATCCCACAACAAAGACCACCCATAACTAGTTGACTGCACAATAGGATCTAGTCTAATAACTCATTCACTATTTTGCTCTTTAGTTATTACAAATGCTTATCGGCATGGACCTACTCCTCCTACCTTTACGTCGCTCTAGATGACTGTTTTTTCTTTGTAGTCGAAAAGGAAAGGTTACCACAGAAGAAATAAAAAAGAAAGAAAGAAAATACTGCCCGGGGGTAACGATTCTAAATCACGTGACTTAAACCGAATTAATGGGGAGGTTCAGTATCCTAGGCACCTTTATTACGACATACCGAGAGGGTGGGAGTCGTCGAGAGACTTTTTTATCGGTTTATTATAGCGTAAAAAATTTTTTAAAAGGGGTTGCAGAACACAAGAAAAGATCCGTCGCTTCTTCTTTTATCAATCTTGGGGCGTAAATAAAGCAGATGGTCGTAGGTTGTTCACAAAAGAAAAGAGTTTAATTACGAGTAATTACTCGCAAAAAAAGTGGATATAATTAGAGGTAGTTCATAAAAGCAAGGAAATCTCTTTCTTCGTTCTTATGAAAGTTAAAAAAGCGAAAAGAAAATTTTTCCTCCCTAGTTACTTTTTTTTTTTATTGTTACCAACATTCAAACGTTTAATATCAGATTTCTCAAACAGTAAAAAAGAAAAACAAAGACCACCCTTACTAATCATATCAAGTTTTATCAAAATATCAACTATTAACTACTGATAAGAATTGCAAAAAGGATGATGACAGCTGTGTCTTATCCCATCAGTCTATGTATCTAGAGTAATTCCCCCCAACTCATAAAAGGGCGTTTCGCACCGACAAAAATGTCAGACGACACAAAGCCGAAACTTGCCTCATTAACTACATTTGCATTAAAATCGCTCGGTCTCAATACCCTATCATTACTTGACGTTTTTTTTTACGTTCTAACCACAAGAAATACCTATAATACTTCTAAACAACCCCTATGTACTTAGTATTTTACTGTACTGGACCCCTCCGAGGCGACAGAGAGACAAGATTTTTTTCTTAACATTAAATCTTATCTTTCGATTATCTAGACGCCAGATGCGCGTCTTCTGGACCGAAAACTGACACGAAACTCTAAAATTCAAAATTACGTAATCCTGGTCATTTGCATAAATTAATCGGACAAACGGTTCCGCATGACGTACTTCGTCGCCGATCGATTTTGTTTATTCTACAGCGTTTCGTAAATAAATGCTTGTCTTTATGTACGGTTAGATTTCAAACGGGTTTGTCGGCGATAGGTGTCAAATTTTGGGCACAGTTAAAATTGCCTGATAACGTTACGTAAGTAAACAAGTGATGCTTTAATTAAATTTTTCTGGAGGGTTACGGAAGATATTGGTGAGAGGGTCAGAATTCGTTGACAAGTTTCATACAGCGTCGTCGTTGGATACAAACTAGATTTTAATTGCTTACACCGCTATTCGAAAAGGTCAAGGACGATGTTATAAGTTGCTTCTAGTAATTAGCGAACGTTCATACAAGGTGTCCAAATTCAATGCAATTTGGATTATTTTCCAGCATAATTGATAGAAGACAATTCGACGTAATCAGATACTATTATTGATATGATAATCTAATTAGAAAGAATTCTTTATACATATAGCAAGATTCTGTCAAGTGCTCATAAACAGAGATTATTGTAGTGGAAGTTTTTGCGATACGGTAGACAAAGAAAATTCCGTATTCCCAATTAACATGCACCATAGATTTGCATAAATATACATGTATAAACTGTAACAAAACCAACAATACTGGGTTAAATAATTTCAACAACTTTTGATTAAGCACGCAAACTCGTCAAAACAAATGGAATACGAGTCGTAACTGAGCGATAATAGGCTTAAATAGAATTTTCTCACAGGAAAATATTAACTTGCAAAATAGAATTTGTCAGACGATCGAAAGTAAATTCAAAAAAATCAAACCTTGAATGCTTCCTGTTAAGCTTAATAATCCAAAAATTATGGATAGGAACGATAGAAAATTTTTTGACAACATTCCTCTGTGCTGCCGTTTCGTCTACTGCTAGCCTCTCGCTCATCAATATTCATGAGTTGTCAGCTGCAGCCAATCACGGTTTCGCTTTTATTTAATAGGCTGTTAATTAAGACTGAGAGGTAGGTTTTCAAGGTATTTATTTTCTGACATAATAATTTGGACATAAATTGGCGCAAATTTTTCTCTTAGACCATAATTGTAGAGCCCTGGACCGTAGTTATTTTTTGATTGTATCCCGATACTTTGTCGCTTCTTTTTAAGTTTGGTCTGCTTTCGTGAAGTTTTTATACCAACCGAAACCAATTTTCTTTTAAATAATTAATGGAAAACTTATGTGAAATTACTTTTTAAAAAAGTGATAAAATGCAGAACAGATGGCCGGTAATACAAAACCAAATATATCGGGCTTATACAGTCGACGATAAAGTAGGGAATTAGATGACGTAATTGGGACAATACACATTATTTACTCTAGCCACTCTTTGTTTTCGAAATTACATAATAAATTCCATCAAACATCCTACTTTAGAGAATGAAGAAGCTTTTGTGACGCACGCGTCACACGCAATAAAACATAAAGAAAAAAATTTTCAATTGGAAAAACGACCGTCTTAATTAGTAGCTTTCGACGACAATAGGTTTCGAATCCGCTTACGTAACATCGTCGGCTTCCTTTTGAAAAATCTTTAGGCTTTCAATTTTCAAACGCCTAAGCTCGTTGGAAAAGTTCTGAGGTTCGGTCTAATTGTGTTTTTTTTACGGATTTCTTCGGGCTTTCGGATAATTGCTACTAGCTAGCCGCCATCTTGAGTCATTGTTGAAGAATTTTAGCGACTTTCTGACAACTCTTTGGAAAATCTTTGGAAAAATTCAGCCTAACTAACAGTTAAGCGAAAAATCTCGCCCTGAGCCCGATCCGTACTGGGAAACACTTGAATCTTTTCGCCCTATAAATCTCTTCTAAAAACACAGACGGTTTTAGAAAAATTGACAAAAACTTGCAAATTTCTATCAATCTTATCATTTCCTGTTATCTAGAAAACCTTTCAATCAATCTATTAAGTTCAAAAGACTTATGTAATTATCTGAAATAAGCAGAGGGCGCTCTTTTCAAACTTTCAGCACCATCTGTTGCTAAACAGAGTTTAACGCTTCGACGTTTTATCCAATAATATATAAATAGAATTAGGAGTTGTCAAATATGGTAAATCGAATAAAATTGTTGTTTGTACTCGTAAAAATCTCTCAGATCTTATGAATATTAATGAGTCGGGTACGTTTGAATATGTTCCATTAATTCATACCATCTAACTTTCCATAACTATCGATATCTCTTTAACGACAAACTTTTACGACTATGAAAACAAGTAATTTCGTATCGCATACACGCTTCATTGTTTACTTTACGTGTATTTTCGTTCCTTAAAGAGTAAAAATGTGATTAGTACGGTCGACCCTTTTTTTTCTATTGACAGACAGGATTTGTTGTCGAAAAGTTAACCAAACTCTTTCAATAAAAATAGTTACAAGACTATTCTGCATAAAAGGCAAGTGGACCTTCGAACTTTTTCCCATAACTCCTCTTTTCACTTCTCTTTTTTTATCATTTGGCTAAATACGTTACATTTTCTGGTTTAGCTGCTTGTTAGCCTTTTTGTTATTGTTTATTTATGCCTTTTTTTCTCCATACAAGAATTAGATTGTGCAGTGTAATACCCGATTAATACAAATAAGGTGAAAGGGAGAAAGAGTAAACATATCTTGAACGCAGTAATAATTAAATCTGACTAATTTATTTCTTAACCTTTACTTTGCCTACCTTTTTCGTGACCTTTCAATACTCCTTCCCTCCCACTTCCACACCCTTCTTTTCTCTTTTTCTTTCCTTCTACTCCTCCCCTATTTGGGGATCTACTGTTGGAATTAATTGGAATTTTTTAGTAAATGGGTCCGTTCGTACTTATCTTACTTATCTCTCTTCTATCAGTCTGCTTTAACGACTCGTAAAATAAGAAGAATTAGACGTTAGTTAAGTGGATTTGCAGATGCGTCCCGAGTCTGGTATCAATTAAATAGTTATATACGTAAATAATAGCCATACATAACGAGTTTAATGGAGGGTGAATCGCATCTCTTTCATCAAATATATTCCTTTTTATAATTCGCCCGTATTCTATTAAGGTATTCAATGGTACCATTACAGGTGATTTTCCTTTTTTTTAAATTCTCATTAACTGAGGGAAGAGGGAGAGTTGACAAGGTTAAAATGTGGTTACACATAGATGGCGGTCAGCTTTTAGTTGTTTTGGAAATTTTGCAGCGCCACCTTAAACTTTTTAACATAACTATTATGACTTTTGCAAAAAAGTTAGGAGTAAAATTTAGTGTTCAAGTATTAATAATAATAATTTATATTTTATTGTCATCATTGCAATAAGGCACATGGAAGATTCACTTGTTCAAGTAAAAACAAATGCTTAGAATAGTGAGAATAAGACAAAAAATTCAAATGAATTTCCATTATCACAATAAATAATTGAAGAAGGAAGACATCAGATTACGATATTAACCACAAAAAACAATTTTTAATAGTATTGAGCGATTATTTTTTACAAACAAAAAGATATCAATACATAATCTGAAGTATTAAATAAAACAGTCACTGCATTTTGGTCTTATTCTATTCGCTTTTGCAATAAAGTAAATTCAATCTTGGTAAATTAACTAGCTGGAAAAAGAATTACCTATTTATGGACACTTTATTTAAAGAAGTATGCAGGAATAGTTCATTTAATTAATTATGTGGGTAGAGATGAGATTGTGGTGTTTGGTATAGGTTATTTGGAGCGTTGGCTTGTTGAATAGGTCTCTTAAAATTGTTCTGATTTTGATATAATGGTGAAGGTTGAAAATTCATCGATTCATTAGTATAGGCTAGTGGATGTTGTAACCCATTTTGGTACTGAGTTTGATATTGAGATGGTAATTGAGATTGCTGCTGTGGTTGAGTATTAGATGGATCAACTCGGCGTTTTCCTGACTTGTATTTTTTAATCAAGAATACTGCGCCGATTACAATGACAGATAGAATGATTGATCCAAAAACAAAACCAATTATTATTTTTGCAGCCGTGTTTAAACCTATACTAGATGTTTCACCTTCCTCCTCCTTACCACCGGCGGAACTTAGTAAGCCTTTCATCGTTTCTTCTATCCATACGCGAAAATGAGGTACACTCGCATATACTCCCGGTTTGTCAGGTTTAGCGCAACCAGCTCCCCAGCTGACTATACCTACAACATTAGTAGATCCGCTAATTATACACTGTAAAGGTCCACCCGAATCTCCTTGGCAAGAATCTTTACCACCATTATCATAACCAGCACAAAGCATATGGCCTATAAAAAACATATAGAACACATATTTTATTATTTATAATAATAACTCAACCTTTCCTAGGAAGTCTTATATTCAGGTTAAATTAATAGCATTATTAATTTTATATCGTGGATTATTTCTCTCAGATTTTGGGGAAATATTTAAATATTCTCTTATTAGAGTAAATTCTGTTTAAATGTTCAAAAATTGTATTGTTTAGTGCCATATTGTATTCTTTATAGTAAATACTAATATATAGTAAATAATAATTTATAATAAATTGTTTACTATTGTGGTTTTTATAGGTTACGTGTATTATAATTTGTCTATTGTTTAATTGAATCTGTGAAATTGGACTTTTTTGAATTTATTATAGACTTATTGATATTTCTGGACGTTTTAACGAACGTCAACATAAATTCGTAATCTGATATTGGAACAATTGTTCTCATTAATTGAATTCACTTGATTGTTTATAGATATAAATAAAGACTAACCTTTTATCCAGCTGTCTGTATATTTTTGTCTACATTTGGAATCCGAAATAATAGGTACAGAAACTCTTCGAAGTACATTTGAGTTTGGAGAGAACCCCGTTTTACCCCAACCGCTTACGTAGCAGATTGTATTTGGAGAGGGTTCACTAACCGATAATGTAGCATTTTGAATTTTTTTTGAAGGAGCTACTTCTTGAGATAGTTCAATTAAAGCTATATCATAGTATTCAACATTGGTTAGATAATCGTGACGATAATCTTTATGGACAGTTATTTTACGAATTCCATGCTGCACATGTGACGACAAATCATTAAGGTCGTGTACACCGAGAAAAACTTTCACTTGTAAATTGGATACTGTAGTTCCAGAAAAGGTAACGCAATGAGCGGCTGTTAAAATCCATCGACTAGCAAATAAGCTACCAGAACATTGAAACGTTTGATCATTCGTACTAACTAATAAAAATGCTTGCCAAGGATATTGATGCTCAAGTGTTTCTTTTCCTCCAACAATACGAGATGATATTGGCTTTTTACTATCACACACATAAGTAACATGAAGTAAAATCGTAAAAATTACCAAATATTTCATAAAGAATCTTAGTAAATTATAATCTACTGGAAAATATCAGATTATGAATAACCAGCCTCAAGCATTCTTTGTATCGATCTGAATTTCAGTTGCTACAACACTATAACACGCCCCGGCCTCAATTTCTAGGCCTACAAGGAAGTTAGATTAAAAACTATTCTCAATTCAAATCTGCTAGGAATTTTCCCGGGTAATTTCTGTTTGATCATTTAAGGCAAATGTTTTTATGATCATAAACGACAGAGACAATAACAAAGCGTATGTTAAATATAAACTATATATAATATATAAATTTTATATACGATTATTTACGTCTATATATCATAAAAATATAGCTTGACAAAGAATTTTCTTTGCTTTTTGTATCTGTCAATTTTTTTCGTTTTTTAGCTCATTCTCTCTCGTTTTTTGCACATAGAAACGTAATAATATCTTGTCATTTCTAACTGTTCTGCTTCCTTTATAATAATAATTCATATGTAAAAATTTACGAAATAAGACTCTATATATTAAAAAATATTTCTTTTACTTGAATAAGACTGGTTTGAACAGCTCAAAAAAAATATTAAATATGAGTGAACTAAATTTAGTCTATAGAAAGATGTATTTAAAAAGAGAACGCTTAAATTCTCCATTATAAATGTTGCATTACTAACTTATCTTCCTGTGAAAAAAATTGATTCTATGCAAGTTTGTTATTGAAAATATATATATATATATATTAGTATATATATTTATATGGAATGCTCAAACGGCTCAAGTATATTCAATGTTTAAACAGTCACATTCTAAAGCTCTTAGCAAGACCCTCCCTTAGAGATTGATTCAAATATGTCGGAGCGATTGAAAGATTTTTGTCAAATATATTATGAAAAACAACAAAAGCATGACAAGTGATAGAAAAGCGTCACATCGATTCAAAAGGTCGCTGATTTTACGAATAATTTATAAAGGTTACCCTTATTAATTCATATAAAAAATTTATTTCAAAGTGAAAATAGAAGGATACAGATTCTTCTCCCCGTAGCACTTGATTATTCATTCTTTCCGGTTATTCAGTATTCAAAATAGAAATAATTAATTACCCCACTAGGACCCCGATTATAGATTAGCGAAGGTTGATTAATGGTTCAGCTAATGGACGGGGTAGTAAGGAATAGAGGGGTGGATACAAATCAATCCATTGTATAAACTTGCAAAACCTTAGAGTTAATTTTGTATTTGTAATAAATATAAAGAATAAATACGATATAAAAGAAAGAGACAACAAATCCCGAAGTGTACTAGTTAAACTGTCAAATAACACATATAATACTTTTTCATGTCATTGTTTCAAATACCTTAACGAGTACCAATATGAATATAATTCTTTAATAGGTTTGTTTTTTAAAAATAAAACCGTAAAAGAAGATATTCATACCTTGTTTATTTTTCTGTGAACTAGTAGTATTAAACAATAATAAAAAAAAGAGCCAAGAGGCTCCAATAATGAAAAATATGAATTATTATTTTACTTTAGTGTCGTTGAGTGAATGTTAGAGAGGAAGTTAGTTTTCTCTTCTCTCCTTTATGCTATATATATACTTGTGTTAGATAAATAAATCACTTGAATTCTTTTCTCTTATATCTTCGTCGTTTTCGGCTTGCCTTTCCCTAAGTAGCTTAGCGTATTTATCAATTAGTTCATCAACATTTTCAGCTGAAGGTGGCGCCTGTGAACGTAAATGTTCGCTATGATCGTTGTTTTTATTGTTAGGTGTTGAATATCTTGAAATAATGCCTTGAACGTATTTGTGCTGTTCTAACGCTTCCATATCCGTTAATTTTCGCGGAAAATCCTTCTTTTGTAATTGTCTTCTTTTGATAATATCGCCATCCATAGTGACGAGTAGATCTGAACCATGCTCAGAATTTGCGGAAGGTAATTTTGCTCTCGTTTTAGGAGTATTTCCAATAATATTATCATCATCAACAACGATACCGGCAGGTGTGGATATTCTCCACTCTTCTATGGATCTATTAGCATCTTCTTGTTTAGATACATTTTCGCTGCTTAGTGAAAAACCATTTTTTGCTTTATTAAAAACCTCTTGTCGTACAGCTTGCAAATTTGGTGATAAAAGGCTACAGAATGATGAAGAGCTCTTCTTGTTCAATGGCAAGTTCTCTTCGTCTGTCCATTTTTTGTTTTCTTTAGGTGGAATATCAATAGTTGTTGATTTTTTATCAGTCAAATTCTGTAAGGAAGAACTGGAATAGGAAGATTTGCTTCTTATATTACCTGTCGATTGTAACAATTTAGGATAAGCGGCTTTTCTTTTAACCTCTTCTCTCTCTTCATAATTTACTAAAGGATCTTGCTTTACCATAAACTTATCTTTGTCTTCGTAATTCGATAACGATGTCATTCTCCATAGTCTATCGGGGTTTTCGTAATTTCCTACACCCCCACTTTTATTCATTACCGAATCCTCCTTGTCCTTCTTACTTAATAACGGTGATTTAATCCTAGAATAACTTGACTCTAATGAATTTTCCTTTTTTTCGTAATTAATTAAAGGCCTATAATTTAGCGGTGATTCCTCTTTCTTTCTAAAATCACTGGTCGTTCCGCTTTTTGGATAATCCGATTCCTTGATTGAGTAATTAAGTGAACTGTTATTTGCTAAATAGTTACTCTCAACTGAGTTTGGTCTTGCCAAATCGTCGTTTCTATTGTCGATCTTTGAAGTATACATTTTAGGAGATTTTACCTCTTTACTTTCACTATTACGCAACGCCGACCTTGAGCCCAAAATGTCTTCTCTTTTCTGTTCGTAAAACTCCGGAGGATTATACTTTGATGAACGATTTTCGTTGTTTGGAAGAGTTTTCGTTACATCTTCTCTCCTCTTATCATTTTTCAATAGACTTTCGGAAATGGTTGTCTTGTAATTAGAGCCAGGAGAAGAAGTTCTAGAGAGCAGTTGTCTTTTATCATAGCTAGCTAACGGTGTTGTTCTACTCAAAGGGTCAATAGTTTTCTCAATGTTTGTCGACGGTAATGGTGTCGTTCTTGAAAGAGTATCTTTATTCCGATCGTAATTTGTATAGGATGGAGTTTTCGTTAATATTTCCTTCTTGGTAGGAATACTAGTAGATAATTTTTCCTCTTCTCTACCGATCGATAACGGCTCATTTCTCTTTGATAACGTTTTTGCACGATATTCCTCTAAACTACCTGATTTTTTGTTTTCATCTGGACAGGGATTCTCCTTGGATAATTTCGGTTGAGCAATCTTTCTAGCGAATGGTTTATATTCAGCAAAAACGCCCTCATTACCTAATTTAATGGCCTCTTCTGCTAGATTTAACGATTCGTCTTCTTTTTTACCTGTATAGGCTTCGACTAGCATGGCTAACCTTCTTTTCCTGAGTTCGTCAGTCGTTTTATTTGTTTCTAATCGTCTCTCGTACAATTCAATTTGGATACAATCAATGAGAACCTTAAGGGCGTCTTCGTCGATCTCCGATAGTATTTCCTTTGCTTTTGTCTTTTTACTATTCTTAATATTGTCGAGCCATTGTTCGGTAAATACCTCATGATCCGAAGGTAATCGAGTTTGTATGTTTGATCGAGTGTTGTTTAATAAAGATTGTAGTTTTCTTAAATCTTCGACTTGTTCTTCTAAATTCTTTTTCGATTTATCCTCTAATAATTTAACAGCTTTTAAAAGATATTGCTGTTCGGATTGCATAAATGTCAACTGTTCCTGAAGGTGTAGTTTATCTCTATCCCTTTTTACCGTCTCCTCCTCCTTTTCGGCAAGTTCAGTTTGAAGTCTAAAGATTTTCTCTTCAAGAATATCCTTCTTTGAAGAATCACCGTCTCGTTGAATAGATAACACTTCGTTTTCGTTGCGTATCTTATTCATATCCGTTTGTGAACTCTCTAATCGCGTAGCTAAACTGTCCACTTTCACCTTTAAGTCTTTATTTTCTTCGGATAGAGATTTCAATTTTGTCTGTATGTAAAATTATACAATCATTACCGTAAAAATCGATTAGCTCTAAGGCTTTTCAGTGTCAGACAATATAGAAATGAGAAATCAATAGTTTAATACGAATTGTACAAGTTTTTTTTTCCACAAACCTCTTGTTGAGAATCGGATCTCTTGGCCATTTTACTCATCTGGAAGAGTATCTTATCAATTAACTCAACTGCTTTCTCCTTATCGTTTTCGCTTCTTAATTGACTTTTCATGGTTTCTAAATCGTCAAGTTGATGTTGTTGTTGTTCTTCTTCTTCCTATTATTGGAAGTGAGTGAGAAACCAAAGAGCACAAAAAAGTAAACAAATAACAAGGAAATCCGAAGGCCAAGGTCAAAAAATATAAGTAAGAAATATATATATATAAATATATATATATGTCAAAGCAAACAAGTTGATTGAACGTGACGGTGGGAAAACAATAAAGTGCGCTGAACGAGGGTTATCTTTTACCGTCAGGTGGCAGTTTAAATTTTCTGTTGTTTATAGGCCATATTTTGATTTATGAAAAATTACACGTTTAGAAAAGAATGTCTAATAAGCTCTAAGGGCCATTAAATGAATCTAAAATACAAAGAACACGGGTTGAGAGTATGAAAAATTGAACAGAGCTACTAAATTTTTTTGATGTTAGCCTATTGTTCAGACTGACAGACAATAGAAGAATTTCCTTCTTGACTAATTGAACGTTTTCGATTATATTGCGGTACTGCATCCAAGTATTTTATTTCCCAATTATTTGTTTAATAAATGGTAGAATATTTATTGTTGCCCTGTAATCGTTAAACTGCAATGTAGGTTACGTATCACGTAGTGTTATTTGTATGACATTTTAGCATTTTGTTAGTAAGGTATTTTAATTGCTGTTCTTCCATTGTAACAATTACTCTTGTCACTCGATATTAACTTTTCTTTTCATTCAATCCTCCCACCTATAATGTGACAAACTCATTCGATACTACCCGTTGAATACGCGTACAATTTCAATTACAACTTTTAACCCAGTCATACTATATAAAGCTTACTTTTTGTGTGTTGGAAAGTCACTATATATATAGAATACTATATATAAGAATATGATCATATGCATATCATTCCTGATTTGCTTCATGAATAAATTATACTGAACAATGTCATCTCTTTATTGTAACTTTTAATGCTTTTAGTGCTTTTAATGTTAGCCTAATTTATGACCAATTATTTATTATTTAACTTTCTATAACTAATTCAATTGAGTGAATTTTTTATGCTCTATCAAGTTTACTTTGAACTATTTTGAAAAAAAACCCGCTAGATGGAGTACAAGAACGTACAATATTTTAATCGTTGATTTTCCGCATTCACTCCCTGGTGTTGTTTAGTTTTTAATTAATTAATGATTAAATAGAGAATTAATAAGAAAAATAATTAAAAGAAAACGATAATATAATAAAGCTTAATTCAAGAATGGTATTTAATTTATGCTGAAATTCGATCAGCGTGTAAAAAAGCCGCCTCGTTCAGAATATTTTTCGCTTTATTGGTCGTTTATAAAAGGAGACCAAATCTGTCTGTTCTCGGTGAAAAATGAAATAAAAGACCTTTTGAAAGGTTTAAAGACTTGACTATTGCATTGACAAGTGATAAAGATGAGATAGGCTTTATAAAATTTTAGAAATTAATAAGAAAGTCATCTTACCTGACATTCTAACTTGTCCAATTTCGTTTGCAAATGAACCCGTTCTTTTGCTGCTAAGTTAATTTCGTCGTAAAGTCGTTTATTTTCAACGCTAAGTGCGTTAACTTCCTCGGATAATCCATGCATAATTTTAATAGTATCACTTTCCGTTCCATTTTCGTACAAGGGCTTATCCTTTGGACGATAATCGTCTGTGCTACTATTAGATTGTTCGTCCATTATTTTCAATTCACCGCAAACGTTTAATTCATCGCTAGAAACAGTTTTTGAAAGAAAGGGGTCTAACTCGGCAAAGTCGTTCAATACATTCGATTTAGGCGTCTCTTCCGTATCCGTTGTCGATTCAATACTCCTACCGTCGGAGTTTATGGTTTTCGAAGGATCAGCCTTTAGTTTTAAATAGTCGATTTGCTCTTGCAATTCCTATATTGTGATAAAGAAAATTTGAAGAACTGGAACGTAAGACAATAGTTACTCAACACAGTTCACAGTTTGATTCGAAATCGATAACTGATCGAACTAGGCCTATATTTGGAGCACGCCTTATACCCAATCGATAATTTATCTAACCTGTTGGCATCTGAAACATTGATTTTTGTAACGTACGTTGCGGTTTTCTTTCCACTACTACTACTACTAGTATTACTACTACTTTACTCTTTTGAAGTTTAATAAATAGGGTTAGGAATAGTTCGGCTCCTTTCAAGTATTGCTTAAATTCCCTCTATAACCCTTAAATCCATCAAGTTAAGTGCCATCTATCGGTGGTTTAACAATTACCTAAACTTGAGCCCCGCCCGTGACCGCTATATAATTGCCTAGACTTTGGCTTTAGAATAGATCCGTTGAACTTGAAAGGAAAGGGAGATAATAGGCCTAAAATAATACATCCAGCTATCTTTCTTCAAAATAGGATAAGTACTATAGTAAACAATCTATTGTGAAAAAGTTATTAATTTCAATAGGAATATTTCAATAGGTGAAGAAACTAAATCGATTAAGGCGTAATTGGTTAAGTCGATTATAGAAATTTTCAAGGAAAAGAGGATTTATATGGTATTCATAAAAATTAGTAAAAATAATATAAATACATAACATATAGACAAAATACTATGTTACAATTATTGTTATTCATACTATTAGTAATATACATATACCTCTTTCTTTTTTCGATTGGCTTATCAATCGGAAAATCAGAGCTGGAAAGTAATCACTTCAAATGTCTAGGTGTAAAGGAAATATCTATATGAAAAGTATGTATGCGTATGTCTGCTTGTATTGGCGTGAACGTGTATGTGTATTTAGGCCCTAAGGTGTTAAAGAACTCGCCATAATATTTATCATATTATTGTATGTTTCGTATACTGATTAGCTAAATTTTGTTTGCTTAGTAAATTTCAATTGTTACACGATATGTTTGTCGTTAATTTGATCGTGAGTAAAACGTAAACAACATTGTGATATTACATTTTGGTGCTTTCTCTTACTTTCTCTCTCTCTCTCTCTTTCCCTACAACCTCATTTCGTCTCTTTTATTTTTCTGCAACAGTGTAACTGATTGATTGAAGAAAAGGAGAATGATGTAAACATAACAATGATAGAGTAGAAGAAATAATAATTAAATTGGCGTTTTATTCTAATTCTCGTTCCCTCTCTGTATTAAGTATAATTACGTAATGTTTATCCATTTATGTAAGATATACTATTACACGGATCAATTTCTTTGTTCACTTTAAATATATAGAATTATTATTAAAACTATTTATAAACTACTTTATCAATATATTCTCATTAATTAATGATATCAACTTATATATAGATGTATATATCAAATAAACTCAATATAAACTTTTAGCTTGATCTAATTTCACCTGATCAATTAATTCAACTAGATTAGTTACTCCAAATTTCCTACAAACTACAAACATTAATGATTTATTGTGAAAAAAAAAAGATATACAGTTTATAGCTAAAAATAAGCAATGAAGAAAAATCTACTTAGTCACTAGTCTGTTTTTTTTTATTTAACTTTTATAAGTCAATGGTTTTTTAAAATATCAATAAATACTGTATATTGTATACAATATATAGAGTATACAGTATACGTTCACAATAAAAAAATACATACATACATCCTAATAACGATTTTTAGGGCGTGGACATGCGACGGAGGGAGGTTGACAGAGACTTAAATCCCATAAAATATACTAAATAATATGATAAATATCATACCTTTATGGCGGCTTGGGATAATGCTTGCTGATCCATAAGGAATTTAATAGTTTCACCCGTATATGCCATACAAGAAATTTATATAAGGCAAATATGTTCAATTCTTATCTCTAATTACTCAACAGCCTTATTTAATCTATTCTATCCTTTATATATTTTCTGCCTGTATAAAAAGAGAATGAAGTTAGAGTTGCTAGAATTACAAAAAATATTCAAGCTTTTTCATGTGATATGTTTAAAGAGAAAACTCAGTTGGACAGTTGTTATATGTTGTTTTTTCTCTCTCCCTATTTTGTGTCTTTCTCTGCAATTTTTCACTATACAAAACCATTTATCTATATAGACTATAAACTTTAAATAAAAATTGATTTTTATTTTAAATATTCACAAATCGACTAGTTTTTTTCTTTTTTTTAGAGAAATTTTATATTTTTTCTGTATCTTTTATGCTAATTGATACAAAAACATACTTGAATACGACTTGTATACTGTATCTTGAACTCTTTTATCCTTCTTCTCTTCGCTTCTTGATAGAAAGAAGAGAGGGGATATATAAACAATTTAATTTCAAAAGTTTATAATTGGTAACAATGTTAAAGAATTATTAAAAATTATTTTAATATAGTTGAACTACTGTTGAAAAAGTGGGAAAAAGTCAATTAATACTTTACTTTCTTTTCTTTTTCAACTATTTAATAAAGATATCATTTAGATATTTATAGGAATAAAAATTTATGTTATAGGCGTTTTATAGGTAGATCATAACGCCCTACCTTAAGTCATAAAGGTAAAATATGGCTTTCAGCGACAACAAACTCACCTTTGCTAACATTCTACCGATAATAACCTTTTCAGAGGATGGTTTCGTGATGGTTTAGATATTAAACTATATCTAATCGTATAAGTTATTAATGAAAATAAAATGAGGCATACCTGTAGTAAAAAAAGATGAAGGAAAACAGATGGCGAAGAAGAAACTGATGGTTTCCTATCGATTATAGAGAGTAACACACAGCGGCGCCACTTTCGGCGTCATTACTGCAAAAAAGTAGCCAAAGACAGTCTTATTTGTCTATACTAATCTCCTGCATATATAAAATACACTCAATAAAACTAGAAAATATAGGATTTAAAGTTTAGGGTAGAAGGAATCATATTGCCAAAATATCATGCCCTGACTTGTAGTGTAAGGGGATTACAAGGATTAGAATGGAGCTTTGTACTCCTTTATCATCAATTATTCATTTGTAAAGGTGTTCAAGCAGTTAAATTGACGAAATTTTGTTACACTGACAATCTTTTAAATCCTTTTGCACACTTTTCTTTTATTTACATGAATAATTAAATGTTTATTTATTTATTTATGTATTAAGATAAAAAATGAACAATTTGTTGTTTTACGTTCATTTTTCTCTGTTTGAACGTCTTTTTTTTGTTTAATGAATCTATATAAAATAAATTATTTAGATAAAGGATTATATTATTAAATGACTTCTCTCTCTCTCTTTCTCTTTATAAAAGATATTTTTGAAATGATTTCTTAAAGCATTCCTTTAGAGATTTAAATTTAATTTTCTCTGTTATACTATTTACTTTATAGATTTAGCAATGTTTATTAATATTTTTTGCAACCAGTTTTTTTTTACTTGTTCACTCACTCACTCACTCTCTCTCTCTCTCTCTCTCTCTCTCACTCTCTACTTTACCGCCTTTTTTCTTTATTATGATTATAGGCCTATCGCTATGGACTATGCTTTTCTTCTTTTCCTTAAAATATTTGATACGTATTTGGTTTTTAAATTAGAGCGCCAATGTTCTTATTATCACCCTCTTTTTTTTACCTTTTAGTAATTAAAGTTTTAATTAGCATTTAGACAATTCTTTAAGCGATATTTATAAATAGTTCTCTTACGGATATGTAGGTATACTTAGAAAAAAAGCAATATGACTGATCCATTCGACGACGGTTTAGATGATAGCTATTTTCAAGATGTTCAGTTGGAATTTGAAGAGGAAAAAAAGGACTTGACAGGTTAATTATTACAAATAGTTAATATATTGGAATAAATTTATCTTATTTAATCGATTAATTCTAATATTTGTTTCATTTATTAAAGATTCAAAGATAAAGTTACCTGTACCAGAAACTTTTCCATTCCCATTTCCTCCATACGATATTCAAGTTGGATTTATGAAAAACGTTTACGAATGCCTGGAAAATCGTGGTATAGGAATATTTGAGAGTCCTACCGGAACGGTAAAGTTAATTCGTAGCTGTTATGATATGGATTGCAAAGACAATAGTAATAATATCTTTATAAATCATAGGGTAAATCCTTAAGTATAGCTTGTTCTGCGTTAAAGTGGTTGATTGATAATGAAGAGAGGCAAAAAAAGGATTTGGATAATCTATTGTCGGACAATAACGAGGAGGAGAGCGGTAAAAATACTCTGTTATTACCTTGCACCGGTTATTAATTAACAAAAATTGACAGGTGGCGATTGGATAAAGCAACATGAAATTAAAAAGAAAAAAGAGGACGATGCATACGAATTAAAGGTGACTACAACATTTTGAATAATAATATACTATAAATATTATCAAAATAATTAAACGGCGGTTATTCATTTGTTCTTTATTAGAAAATAATTGAAAATAGAGAAACGTTAGATGCAAGATTAAAAGATTTAAAGAAAACTCTTAAAGAAGCTTTAGAATTAAGGAAAAAGGTAAAACAAATATAACATAATTTAATTGATTTTAATAATATTTCATCTAAGTATAGACAGATAAATTGGATCAAGAATTCAGACAAATTTATAAAGATCAAAATGTTCCTGATTTTAAGAAAATGAATGAGAATTTCGAACCGTTAGATAATGACGATAACGATGAAGATAATCTTCTTGTCGACGATTACGATAGTGACGAAAATGATAAAAAAGGAAATCGTTGTTCGGATGATGAGAATGAAGAAGATCTTGTAACGAAAGTATATATTATTTCTTTGTAATTATACTATTGTATATTTATATATACTGTATTGTATATATTTATAGATTCTCTACTGTTCAAGAACTCATACCCAACTTTCTCAATTTGTTCACGAAGTTAAAAAGACAGATTTCTCAGAGAATAGTAGGGTTATATCTTTAGGATCTAGACAGGTTTTGTCAAATATTTGAAAATAATAGAATTCATTCTATTCAACTGTTTTCTATTACAGAATTTTTGTATTAATCCATCTGTACGAAAGTTAGAATCGTTAACCTTAATAAACGACAGATGTTTAGAATTACAAAAGAATAAGACTAGTACGTTAATTAACATCATTATATATTTTATTAATTGTTATATCTTTAATTATTGCCTTAATAAAGAGAAAAAAAGCAGCGAGACGCCGCCGAAAAAACGCAGAAAGTCGGAAAAAATTGAAAAATCTTGCCCTTATAATAAAAAGGAAAATATCAGATTTTATAAGGATAGAGCATTGGTTAATTAATTTATTTTTAGTATATACAGTATACAATTTATATTAATAATTCATTTTTCGAAATATAGATAGAAATACAAGATATAGAAGATTTAACACAACAGGGAAAAAGTATTAAAGCCTGCCCATATTACGGTTTAAGAGCTGCAATACCGGATGCTCAATTAATTTGCCTACCTTACAATACTTTATTACATAAGCCTACGAGAGAAAAGAGTGGAATAAAACTGAAAGGAAATATAGTGATAATAGACGAAGCACATAATCTATTCGAAACTATAAGTTCTGTTTACAGTGTTCAAATTTTTGGCAGTCAGGTAAAAGATATTAAAAATAATAATTATATTTTTAACGTATAGATTTTCACCTTTAAAAAGAAAATATTGATTATCGTTAAGCGAGTTTTTATGTATTTTCTAACCCCTGTTTTTCTTTTTTTCCCCCTAATTGACGGCAGTTAATTCAAGCCCATTCTCAACTGCAACAGTACCACGATAAATATAGATCGAGATTAAAGGCAAAGAATTTATTATATATCAAACAATTAATAACCATATTAAGCTGTTTAATAAAAGCATTAGGAGGTTATTATTACTATTATTATTATTATTTCTCCAACTATTTAACAGTTATCTTTATGAACAGGAAAAGCTGGTATAAACGCTGACAGTCAATCAGTTGGAATAGGTATATAAAGAATAATAATCGGAAGATGATGAATCTATTTTAATGAAATTTCTATTTCATAATAAATTAGATAGTAGACTAGAGACGTTGAACGATTTCCTATTCAAAAATCAATTGGACCATATGAATTTCTTTAAAATTAAGAAATATTGTGAAAATAGTCAAATTTCCCGAAAGGTTTTTATATAAATATACAATATATACATTAATATATTTATTTATTCTATTCTCTTATTCAAGTTACACGGTTTCATTGAAAATTCGTTGAATGAGGATGAAAATGACAAAAGTGAAAATACTAAGGGAGTAACATCTTTCCTTAAAACGATATCAAAGCCAAAAGTAACAAAGAACGATATTGAAGGTAGATACGGCATAACAATAATAAATATTACTTTAATTGATCTTATTCTATTTCATAGAAAATGAAAATTTGTCTGTTGAAGAGAAACAATTAAAGAGATCTTCTCCTTTAATGATTATTGAAAGCTTTATTGAAACTTTAACAACAGCTGATGTTGACGGCAGAATCTTAATAAGTAAACAAAGTAAGAAAGAAAGAGGATGAGAGAGAGAGAGAGCAATTCTTATCTACTTTTTTTTTTAATTATTTAGATTTACTAAGTAAAAGTTGGATAAAGTTCGTATTGTTAAATCCTGCCTTATATATCAAAGATATATTGGAAGAAGCTAGAGCAGTTATTGTCGCTGGCGGTACTATGCAACCAGTTAGTTAATTCATTAAATAAACTCTTTTAATTGTATATTAATGACGATATTCTAGTTTTCAGAATTTAAAGATCGTCTTTTCTACGCTGCTGGCGCAACTTCTAATAGAATTATTGAATATACTTGCGGTAAATATATAAGAGTATTAAATATACCCTTGCCCTGTGCATTTTACATTTCCTTTTTTCTAATAGATCACGTTATTCCTCCTGAAAATATTCACCCTATGGCGCTGGCAAGAGGGGCCGGAGGTATTCAATTAGATTTTAGTTACGATTCGAGGCGCAATTTCCAAATTGTAAGCTCAAATAAATAAAAACTAGTAATTTTTTTCTTCAATTAAATCTCTACTTTTAGCTCGACGAACTTGGTAAAGTAGTTTGTAATGTTTGTAATATTGTACCAGCCGGAGTAGTTTTATTCTTTCCATCATACGATTTTGAGAGAATTGTTACAAATCGATGGAATGAAACTGATATTATTAAAAAGATTGAAATAAAGAAGAGAATATTTAGAGAACCTCAAAAAAGTTCAATGGTAGAAAAGACTCTAAACGAATATAAAACTTGTATAGATGTAAGTTTTACAAGAGAGAGAAAGAGAGAGACTTTAATAATAAACTTATATATTCCTTTTTTGGATTATTATAGAAAAATTACAGGAATTTTACTGGAGTAAATGGAGCAATTATTTTCAGTGTTGTTGGTGGTAAATTGAGCGAAGGAATTAACTTTTCTGATAATTTAGGAAGGTAGGCTTATTAATATAAATTAATAATAATTCTCCTCTTTTAATAAATACTTTAAAGAAGAAATATTTGAATACACATTTCGTTATTTTAGATGCGTTATAATGATTGGTTTACCGTATCCGAATAAAAAATCTGTTGAACTACAAGAGAAAATGAACTATTTAAATCAAAATATGGTAAGAAATAAATAGAAAAACAACGGATAAACAATATAATCGTATCGTTTTATAGCCAAAAAGTTCGGATGGAAGATTACCAGGTCAAGTTTTATACGAAAATTTATGTATGAAAGCGGTTAATCAATCTATAGGTAAGAAACAAATAATGGAAAGGAAAAAACAATAATCTATATACTGTATAATTAATTATTTTTCTTTTGTGGTTCCCCTTTTTCGTTGAATTCTCTTTTTGTAATTAATTACTTTAATGTAATTTATACTCATTCCCTTTGTTTTTAATCTATATATTCAATCTTCCTTTTGATAGGTAGAGCAATAAGGCATAAGAATGATTATGCTTCAATCTTACTATTGGATCATAGATATTTAAGGCCATCTATAAAATCAAAACTTCCAAAATGGATTGCAAAAGAATTGAAAGAACACGAAAAATTTGGTCCAGCTTTTGCATCGTTAAACAACGTTTGTATCTATATAATTTGCTTATTAATTATTATACTTTTTTGCTTTTGATAGTTTTTCCGAGAGAAATCCAAACTAAAATCCTATTGAATGTAAATGAATAGCCTTTAGGCTAGAGAAGAATTATATTACAATGTATTCTAACGCCCTCTGGTATATATATTCTAAATGATTAATTTTCAAGATGGTAAAAACTTGAACAGAATGGAAAAAAGCAATATTTCTTATTGAATATTAATTTTTATTTGCTTATTTAATAAATTTTTATATAAAGAATTACGAATTCTTTTTATTCACAATACACTGCAAATACAGTTGCGCAACAAAACGCCGTTGCCGTTTGATAGCAACCCGATGCTGAATTATCAGTTGTAACATCCCATGTACATCTACTACCAAGTTGAATTGATTGCTTTTTATTCTCTCCAATGAAAACTTGACAAACGAATTTATACCGTTCAACGCATAACTGTTTTAATTCTCTTTGAATCTCTTGACTAATAACGGGACAAATCATTTTAGCCCTTTTAGAATCATAATCGAAATTATCGAATATGGTTTTTAATACGTTATCAACGATATGCTTTATTTGATTATATAGAATTTTCTTATCCGGTTTAAGTTTATAAGTAGGTTCGAGGTGTGGTTGCTCTGTTGAAAGAAATATTAAGATATTTTCATATTATAAGGTTGAAGAAATATTTTAAAAAGACTGTTTACTGTAAAAGAAATTTCAAATTAATTGCCAACAATTTGGATTAATATGTTTTACAAAGTAAAAATCCTTTTTTACGCAGGTCTAACTGCTTTAAGGCGGGTACGAAGGAATTGTATTTGAATGTGTTCCCTATATTACATTTTTATAGAGAATAATAATGATTGATTAATTATTTAATTATTATCTGGTTAAACATTAATTATGTAGATATTTTTGAAAGAGAAAATGAGATAAAGGGAAGAAAAGAGAAAGGATTGTAATCCAGAGAATACAGCACTTTTTCTTTTGTTTTTCAACAGTTGCTTTTATATTTGGATAATGATCTCTCTTATTGGGAAACGATTTGTCCTTCTGTTCAATTTTGTTTCGAGTACTCTTTTCTTTCTATTCCGCTATACCTCTTTCTTTCCTTTCATCATTTATAGTGTAGGATTATAATATGAGCTTACTTTTTACCAAGAGTTTAATATTTAAACTAGATTGATACCACTAATGAAACAACTGAATAGATAAACTTTTTATTGCTTTAAATATCAAAATATTTATTTGTTTGTCCACTTTTACCTTTTACTGTTGTACTCCTCCTATCTTTTATTCTGCCCAAAAGTGTACTTGCCGCCTTTTTAGCCGCTAATGCCGCCATTATACTATTTGGTTGCATGTGCACAGATGATCTCCTGTCGGATGACACTGATGATTTTCTCCTCTCATTTGCGTTTAATTTCGAACTAGCCATTGCCGTTTTCAGATCACTTTTGACTAGTGTTTAGCGTAGTAGGATTACCATTAATCCTTTTAATATTTCAAGATTTTATGCATAAATAATAGCACTAGCAGTGTATATCAATTCAAGACGTGTTTAATAGTCTGTTCTTTTTTACTTTATTTCTAAAAATTGTATAAGAAGACTATAAAGATAGATAAAAATGACAAAATTCAATAAAAAATAAAATTTATTTTCCATTGCTTTCAAAGACCTTTAAATGAATTATAGATATTGCATCTCTTTCTCTTTTGTATACTATATACTGTATATACTGTATAGAGTAATATTAATAAATTGGATGTATGTTGTTTGAGATGGAGGGGCTGATGTGGAAAAATTAAGTATAAAGCATTAATTGTATAGCAGTTGTTGAAGAAAGTAGTTTCCTTGTTATTACAGTTTTCCTAATATGCATCTATGCAGTATAGATTTAAACAGGGTAACAGGTTCTTATACAAATAGTATTATAGACTGTAAAAGCTACTGTCACGAAAAGCGTATTCAATGTGAAAGGCCTTTAATATCAAATATTTCCTTTCTTAATATTATATAGTGAAAACTTAAGACTGACTCAGACTCTTACATTATTCTCTTTTAGTATACAATGTGATTTTTATCTCTTATTATATGGATGGTTAGTTAATAATGTATTGAAAGATTAAGATTATTTAAAGATGAAGTATGTATATTTTAATAAGCAACTAATTAATATTCATATTACTATTTATTTTCCCTCATTTCAAAGTTTTGGAATACAATTTAAAAACCACTCGGACTTGAGATATAAGGAGAGATTCTATACCTTTGTCTTAGGATCGGCTGGTGGTACTCTGGGAGTATTTGTTATTCTGGCTTTATGCTATAAATTATTGCATTATGTCGTATTTTGGATATTGAAAAAGAAAGAAGAAGATAAAAGGGACAGAGTGATAAATTTCTGGTTAAAATTAAAGAAGAATGCACAATATTTCGTTGCCGGGAAGACGTTACTAGGAAGAATTTTGGTATACAAATATTATATTGATTTGATTCATTTATCTTATATTCCTTTTTTTCCCCTATCACTATTTCCTTCTATAATCGAAGAGCGTTACAGAGTGTATTCTAAATGTTTGTTCAATTGGAATATTCCTCTATGATCTGCAATGGTACAGGGAATTTTTTCCATTTTGCATCACTACTCATAAAATATACTATAGGCTCTATACATACATTTTTAATATGGTTTAGTATTAATCTAACCTTTTTCCCTTTATAGTTTATCTAATCTTATTGAGATGGATGTTCAATTTGCTAATAATCCATCATTAATTATTGATTTTATGCTTCATTTGTGTTTTTTTCTCTTTGGAGTATTAAGAGTAAGTTAAATATTGATAGAATTCCATTTTACATTCCGTTTTCTTTCGGTTAATCTTTAGTTTATCGCCACCGAAGATAAAATTACATTTTGGTTCGACTTGTATACACTAATAGATATTTTAACAGTTCCTCCGTTGGTTTGTTCAATATTCTTGAATAAGAGATGGATTGGATTAAGATTTTCGAGAATTCTATGCTTTTCCAAAGTTACTAAGACTCTTACAGTGTTTAATCTATTGCGCTCGTCCCTAAGTATATTTGCCTCTCAAATGTTCTTTTATTTTATTGGAATTTGGGGTTCATCAGCCGGTTTTATATATTTATTAGAGAATTTTGAAACGGCCTATATATCTTATTGGGAATGTTCTTATTTCTTAATAATAACTATGTCAACTGTGGGTTATGGAGACGTTACACCTACAACAGTTGGCAGCAAAATATTTACAATGGTATTTATTTTCATTGCCCTCTATCTCTTCGCAATCAACCTGGAAGTATTCTATCAAATAGTGAACGAATCTTCAATATTTAGGAAATCTTACCAGAAGCCAATAGGCGTAAAGTTAGTTAATCAAATATTAATAAATCTTTGTTAAAATACACATTCACAAACTCTTTACTTTTTGCAGGCACGTTATAATAGCTGGCTCTTTATCGTTTGATTCCATAACTAAATATATTAAAGATTTCATGCATGAAGATAGAGATCATGATAATTATACGTTTATATTTGTTAATAAGTAATAAGATTGTTCATGGGTACTTATAAATAACTATAATAGTTTATTTAATAGGAAAAAGCCAAATTTAAGTATAAGATCTCATTTTGAAAAGAATTATTCGCATGTACGCTATCACAGAGGAGATCCAATGGAGAAGAAGTGTTGGAAAAGTGTAAAATTAAAGGAGGCGGACGCTCTCTTAGTAGTAACTGATTATCATACAAAAAATCCTGATGAAGAGGATAGAAAGAATATATTACAAGTGATATCAGCAAAGAATTATTCGGAATCGACACGTGTCATATTACAACTATTAAGATTCCATAATAAACATTATATAGTACATTTAAACTTTTGGAAAGAATACGATCAAGTTATATGCGAAGATTCAATTAAATTAGGTTTTCTAGCTCAAAATTGTTTAACTCCTGGTTTTTCAACATTAATATCTAATCTATCTAACGTTCAATGCGAAAAAGAGGTTATTATCTTCTGTCTTATTTCCATAATTATAACAGTAATATAATTATTGTAATAATCCATTTAAAAAGATTCTTACTACGTCGTTAACAAAGGATACTGAACAGCATAGACAAAATTGGAGGTCAGATTATGTGAAAGGTGCAGATATGGAAATTTATGCTAAGAAATTCCCTTCTGCCTTACATAATTATCCTATAACCGAAGCGGTTAAGTAAGAAAGTTGAATATTATATCTTCAAAAATACATCATTTATTCATTCTTACACTATATACTGTACATTTACTTGTAGATTCTATTATAAAGAAAGGAATATTCTTCTTCTTGGTATTAAAACTATTGAAAATAACGAAGAAGAGATTAAACTAAATCCTAGTTCTAATTATATCATTGATAAAAGTACTACTGGTTTCTTTATTTGTAAATCCGAAAAGGTTTTACGAGAATGTAACAAGTCATTTAAGAAGAGGGAACTACACCAATCAAGTATATCATTAGGTTAATATCGTTAATATGTTAACTTAGTAAATTATTAACATATTCATTATCACTATCATCTTTTCTCTCTTTCTCAAATAGAAACAATTCAACTTTCTGAATCTTCTCTAAGGTTAGTTTCAATTTTATATACTATACAGTAGACAGTATATACAGTATATGCACGTTACGTCCTCTTTTCACAGTAATCAATGCAATTCGGAAAGTTATGCTGATGAAAATAATCAAATAAGACGTAAATTAGACGCCACAAATAACTTTCATTGGTCAGAGAGTGTAGATTTCGATACTATTTCATTGGTAAATAAAATATTGTATTTCTAATTTCTAATTAAATTATGTTTCTTTCTTTTTCTTTTAAAAAGACAGACGAAAATATGATGAGATTTTCAATATTAAAAAACCATATTGTAGTCTGTCTATTCTGCGATGAAAATTCACCTTTGATTGGTCTCTACAATTTCGTACTACCATTGAGATCTTCGTCAATTGACTATAAACAACTTTCGAGTATTGTATTCTTGGGTGACGGGTATTACTTAAGAAAAGAATGGCCATTGCTCAAGAATTTTCCAAAAATATATGTGAAACAGGTCTTCATTAAATTCATTGAAATAAAAATTCATTATTATTACTAATACATCAATATTACGATATTAACAAAGGGTTCACCTTTAAATCGTAAAGATCTAAGAGCGACAAATGTTGATTCATCAAGAATGTGCGTTGTTTTAAAAAGTCCTAAATGTACAGTCTGCGAGAGAGAGGATGAAGAAAAATCTTTGGACGATGACGTTATTATTTGTACACAGCTTATTAAGTCAATGGAATTTCACAATCCAGAGGGTATAGAAAAATGTAAAAATTTAACGAATAAGCAAAAATTTCAAAGTAGGGAGAATAATTAAAAAGTCATCTCCACTATGTTTTCCCTATATTTTAAACCAAATCCATAGATATTGCGAAAAAGATAATGAAAGAATATTTAATTGAAAGATTAAGGTCCAATAGTTTTGCTGATATAGTATTAAAGAGGGAATTGATAATTCATAAACGAAAATCGTCAAATAGAAGAACAATTAAGGAAGATAAAGGTACATAGTTGAATTCTATCTTTATCTATGCTGTGTTACTTTGTCCTTTAATATTAGAAATATGGAAAAATGTTGAAGAAAGTGGTCAAAATATTGAAATTGTCAGCGATTTAGGTAACAATCTATATAAACAATATTAAAAATGTATAGTACCATTTCTTATGTACGGTTATAGATTGTGATAGTAAAGTTCGTCTGCTTAATCTTAACGGCGATGGTGAAGATGATATACCCTTTAGACTATCTCAACCATTCGCTAGTGGAAAAGTTATCACATCAAATCTATTAGAATCGCTGCTTTGCTCGGTAGAAATTGAAAAAAAACTAGCAATATCTATTATGAGTATATACAATTAACTATTTTGTATTATTTCTCCACCAATAGGTCTACTTTAATCCGGATTTATTAAAATTAATAAAATTACTTATATCTGGTACTGTTACTAATGAATGCGAAGAGCTTATTGACGAAGGATTTGGTATCGCCAAAGGTCTCGAACAAGACGGTGAAACTGAAAATGAAACTAAAGGAAAGTGCACTCTGGTTCAATTGGATTTAGAGAAAGGAGATTTAAATGCTAAAAATTTGAAATACTACTCTGAATTATTCAACTATTTATACGACAACTATAATATCTTACCAATTGGTGTGTATAGACAAATTGAGAATAGTCAATGTTACAAGTCGAAAAGTATACTATCTAACGAAATTATCTCTCGTTACGTAATAACAAACCCAAGTGGAGAATTCGTATTGAATAGGAATGACTATGTAATAAGAAAAGTTTTCTCTCTTTGACGTTTACAAAAAATATATATTTTATCTTTTTATTCATAGATATTTTGTCTTCTGCCGTTGCATTCAAGTATTGAGGCTCATATCTTTAAGAATTCCGTATTGTGCGCATAGGGTGATGATGTGCCTGTTTTATTCTCGTGAATTTAATATCATAGTACTCGTGAGCTGCAAATGAAATATTTCAATACAAAAATACACTTTCGTTTGTAAAAAGTCTTTTGAAAACAAGTAAAGTAGTCTTTAGCTATAATATTTTATGAGTTTCAATACATATAACACTGCTTTAGAAAGCAGGGTCCTTTAAAACCCCAACCTAGTTACACGCGAAAACTATTGTTGATGGAGCAGTTAGTCTAACTGGATAGAATAGTTAATATTCTATAATCAAAATAGTAAATTTAATGATTTAAATTAATATATTCCGTAGGGAATTATGGGGAATATTAAAGATGAAAAAATACCTTTAAAAAATTGTAAGTAAAGTAAAAATATTGATATTAATACAGGTAATTTTAATATTTCTTATTTAAAAAGCATTTTACTCTCATGAGAGTAAAACTAAAGAAGAAAAGGATAAAAATTCAAGAAGAGAAGAAGATTTATCCTGTTTTTCTAAAACTTTTCTTTGGTATGTACACTGTGATTAGTAGATAACAGCCTATGTTTAAATATTTAGAATGAGTTATTTATTGAAAATATCTTAGTAGTGTACGTTAATGTATTCGAATATAGTAGATTATTATTCAAATAAGTGTTGGCTATTAACTTATGACTAATAATTTTATTAGCTGGGCTAATGATATCTTTCGAGCCGGATATAAAGGAAACCTTGAAAAATACGATAAATTTTATTCTTGTGATAGAGAAGAATGTGAAGATATTAGGAATAGGTAAGAAACAAACAAACAAATTATTTATGACGTAACACTTTCATATTTAATATTTGTGTCGCAGGATTAATGTTGAAACTTTAAGAATTTCAACATTTAGAGCAGTCTGTCATGTACTATATTCTCAAAAACTACTTCTCCTCGGTACAATATCTGCTCTTTTCATATCGGAAATGCTAAAATTTGTTATTATAATTCAAATGAAATTGCTGTTCAACTCCTTTGAAATACATAACACTTTAAGCACAACAAAAATTTATGTCACAGCCGTTTCGTTACCATTCGTCATTTATTTATTGCTTAAATTGAATGGAATTTCGTTTTACTATCAAACTAGGCTACAAGCTAGAGTTAGAAGTGGATTTTGTTTATTAATTTACGAAAAAGTAAGATATTTATTATAATAGAATTGTTATTCATTAATTTATCCTTTGTTAAGATATTAAAAATACCTACTCATATTCTTCAAGATTTATCTGTTGGAAAAATTGTCAATTTGCTATCAACGGACGTTGAAACATTTGTTAACAACGATGTAATCCTTTACATATTTATAGGACCTTTTCAAATTTTCTTTGCACAACTGCTATTACTAAAAATATTTGGACATATTGCTCTGCTATATCTGCCATTAATGATATTTTTCATGACTCTAAATTCATTCCCGGCATTTATTGAAGGAAATTTAAGGAAGCAAGTGGCTGAAAGAACAGATAAGAGAGTAACTTTAATGAATGAATTGATAAATGGAATCAAAATAGTAAAGATGTATGTTTGGGAGGAAAGTTTTATAAACATGATTGCAAAATTAAGAAAAAATGAAATGAATATTTATATTATAACTTTTACTTTGAAAAGCTTCAGATACGCATTAAGCCATACCTCCACTGGTATAATACTATTGATCATATTTACTATATTCGGAGAGAGTAACCAATCTCAACCTCTTCATTTATCATCTTCGTATGCTGCCATAGCTCTACTTACAGATACGGGTCAGTCTCTCTTTAACTTCTCGACAGAAGGTATTGCTCAGTTAAAAACTATGCAAAAGAGTGTAGTGAGAATTCTGGTACGTTTAACATATTTAACAAAAGATTTATGTTACATAACAAATAACTGAAGAATTTTTGTTTTTTAAAAAACAAAACAGGACTTCATTAATAATCCAGAAGTCGTAAATGAACTTGTCAAATACAAGAAGAATTATGATGTCAATACACTTTCTATTGATAAGATTACATCATACTGGAACAAGTCCATGGATTTAAAATGCGTTGAAAATATTAGTATAAGCTTAGAGCGAGGTGAAAAGCTCTTTGTCGTTGGTGCAGTAGGCAGTGGAAAGACTGGTTTACTACTTTCAATTATCGGTGAACTACACGGTACTGGTACAAACGAATTCAGGAAAAAGTTTTCGTTTAGCTATTTTTCTCAAGAATCGTGGATATTTAATGGAACCATTAAAGAAAATATATTATTCCATTCAACATTCGAAGAATGTAAATATAATAGGATTCTCGAAGTATGCGCATTAAAGAAGGATTTAGAGATTTTCCCTGCAGGCGACACTACTTTAGTAGGAGAGAAAGGTCTAATGTTGAGCGGAGGACAAAAAGCAAGAATCGCTCTTGCTAGATGTCTTTATAAAGATTCTGACGTTTATCTACTGGATGATCCGTTAAGCGCCGTTGATAATAAAGTTAGAGATCACATCTTTTACAAATGCATAAGTGAATATCTAAAAGATAAAATTGTCATTCTCGTTACGCATCATCCAGATTATATGAAAGATAGGGAAAAGCTTGTAATAATGGAGAAAGGTAAAGCTGGTTTTTATGGTACTTATGAAAGTTATAAAAAGGAGGGATGTTATAGTAATCTTGTTAAATCAAGGAATGATGATAATAACAACAATAATAACAATAATGTAATATATGCAAATGAAATTGATTTGGGATTACCAAAATATGAAGCAGTGGATAAAAAAAGTTCGGGTAGAATTTCTTGGAGTGTTTATAAAAGTTATATACTTTCTGGTAAAGTATGGGCACTCTTCCTTTCGTTGGGCATAGCTTGTGTTCATATAACGCTTACGCTATACTCCAATTATGTATTAGCTTCAATCTATAAACCAATTATAAGTACAAATAGTAATATTACACTCAATGAAACAATACCCTCTTTGCATAAGACAGTTTCCGAAAAAAAGTCTCTAATAACATATTGTATTGCTATAGTTCTGATATTTTGCCTGGAAATTTTAAACAAGATCTTCTTATATATCTTTTGCTTCTCAGCCAGTTACAATATTCATAATAAACTCTTCTCAAAAGTTATTAGAGCAAAAATGGAATTTTTTGATAAAACTCCATCCGGCAATATATTGAATAGATTTTCAAGAGACTTGTGCTTTATCGATTTTGTTATAACTAATTCTATAAGAAGAATCTTGACAGTGAGTTTATATCTCTTATCAGGAATTGTTACCTGTTTATTAGCTCTACCTTGGTTAATTATTCCAACTATTATAGTACTACTTTCTATTATATTTTTATTTAATTATTCAATACCTACAATAAGAGATATGAGAAGATTGGAGGCGGCTAAAAGGAGTCCATTTTATTCTCACGTTTCAGAAACTATTAGCGGTTTAAAAGTTATAAGAAGCTTACAAAAGAGCAAAAAATTCAGGAGAATATGTGTGCAACACTTGAATAATCATTCAAAAACGTGGTTGACTCTTTTAACCGTTATGAGATGGTTTGGATACAAAGTTAATAAAATGGTAGCAATCTTTATGCTATCAATAGTTGTTCCGTGCGTTGCTGAGAGAAAGCATATAAATATTAACCTATTTGCCGTAGGTGTCATTCAAATTATAGGACTAGCTGAACTATTTGAATATCTCTTCAGAGTGTTTGTTGAACTTGAAAATGCGGTTTGTATTCAATTCTCCCTTATCTATTCCCTCTCCTATTTAATCTATTTTTACGTTAACTTTTATAGATGACCTCTCTCGAAAGGATAAACGAATATTCGAATTTGAGTACTGAAGATCCCTTCAGTAACACTGCAAAATTACCAGATGAATGGCCTGAAACAGGTAATTTAGAAGTAAAGGATCTTTCGTTGAAGTACACTGGCAACAATTATCATTCATTGAAGAGCATAGAGATATCATTTAAAGATGGCGAAAAGGTAAAAACTAGGGCAAAGAAATAAAATTCATTTATATTTTCTAATCATAAATCTTCTTTCAGACGGGTATTATAGGAAGAACTGGAGCTGGTAAAAGCTCAATTTTAGCGGCTCTCTTCAGGCTGCAGGAACCTGAAGGGAGTATTTTACTCGACCATATCGATTTGACCAAAATTGCCCTGAATCAGGCAAGGAAAGTACTTGGTGTTATACCACAAGATCCGGTTATCTTTATAGGAAACATCAGAAACAATCTAGATCCGTTTAATATATTTTCAGACGATCTTATTTGGGAAGTTTTAAGGAAGACTCAGCTATACGATAAATTTAATAATTGTAGCGAAAAGCTTGACTTTCCCATTGCAGAAAATGGAAATAATTTAAGTGTTGGTGAAAAACAGTTAATCTGTCTAGGAAGAGCTCTACTAAGAAATCCAAAAGTTCTTGTTATGGACGAAGCAACTGCAAGCATAGACAAGCAAACCGATGATCTAATACAACGTATAATAATGGATAACTTTAAAGAATGTACGAAAATTGTTATAGCACATCGTTTGGATACTGTATCTGATTCGGATAAAATAGTTGTCCTTGACACAGGTGAAATAGTTGAGATTGGTAAGCCTCAGGATGTTTTTAGTAAGATTAACGGAACATTTATGAAAAATATTAACGATTATTTAAAATAATCAGTTTTGAATGAATTGTTATATGAAAACTTTACAAATTTTACAATACAAGTAAATTAACCAACAGATGGCGGTGTCAGTTTTAAGAGTCCAAAGGAAAAAAAATAAAAGACTAATGTAATACGCGCACACAATCCGAAATTAAGCCTACGGGAATGGAGCGTGCGTCTCCTTATTATTTTGTGAAAATTTCTAGTCCGACGCTTTTCGCGATAATTTAACGTTTACGTGACGTTACGTTCTCAAAAATTTCTGAATAGCGTGAGGGACACTAATTCTGAAGTCACGAGTTGGTTAATTTTTCTGAGTGAATGAAATATGTAAAAGACAAAAAAAGGCGAATATTATTACTCATTCGCAAAGAACTCACTATTTCTCTTCCTCTCTCACTCTTTCTTGAATGTTGTTTTTACCTTTCCTTTCTTAGTCTGTTCAGCTTGATTTAACATTTCTTTAGGCAAAGAAGAAACTTACCAATTATGAATAGAATTTATAATAAAGATGGTATTTTTCATTTTTCATAATTTATTTTTATCTATCTATCTATCTATCCAGCCATCAATCTATCATTCATTTATCTTCATTCTTACTTTCTATCTCTCTCTCTCTCTCTCTCTCTCTTTCTCTCTCTCTCTCTCTTCTCTCTCACATACACACACACACACACACACACACACACTTACATACACATCCTCCCTATCTCTTCCTATCTCTTCCCCTTTTTTTACATTGATGAATATTAAGGCAAACGAAATTTTAGGCTGTTAGTCATTATGCAACATAAAACACAATGTATAAAAATACAACTCTGTATGGAACTACCGTTACCAAAAGGCGTCATACGGCGTCACGAAATAAACTTTTCATTTAGTCACGATTTGATTTAGGTGTGCAAGAAAAATTGATTAATTAAAGTTTTACCATCTTTCCCTTATAATAGTTTGTCATTTAAACTTATTTGTTTGTCAATATATGTATACATTTTCTAATATATGTGTAAAGAGAGATAGAGATAGAGAGAGAAATGGTGAATATACAATATATATATATATAAATATATATATACTGTATGTATAAGACAGAAGACTATCTCGGAAAAGAAAGCCTTTCTCGTGTAGACTTGAGAACGTTAGGAAAACAATTAATTTATGCAGTAAGCGTCCAGTAACGGAAAACATTATACTGAGACCCCATGGCTAAAGAGTATCATTGCAAAAGTTGTAGTAAGATTGCTATGATAGGTTGCACTGCTCATTGTATAAACATTTTTTTGAAAGAGATAATTGATAATGAAAGACTGTGAGTCATATAATATTAAAAAAGGCAGGGAGAAGCAGCGGAGGGATTTATTAGACATAGTAAAAAACCTTTAGAACATAAATTATACGAGAGATATATAAGATAGGACGAAAAATCACATTGAAAAGTCCCAAATAAAGTTGAAGATTATTAAATTATAAAGAGAAAGTTGATTAACTTTTTCCTCTTTTCATTAGGAATATTTCAAAGAGAAAGAGAGAGAGAGATAGAGATAGAGGCCACGAAATTAAACAAAATAGATACTATCCAGAAGGGATAGTTGAGAACAATTAAAGGGGAAGATGTGGGCAAGTAGAGAGCAGATCTGCACTGCAAAGAGAAGTAGAGAACAAATTTTAGAAAAAGTGCTGGATGATGGGAAAGCTGATAGATTATGCGTTAAATTGCTATAATACTTATAATATACTTCAAAGGATAAGAAAAGGGATAGAGGGAAGAGTGGACAAAGTTAGGGATGGGAAGAGGCGAAAAAGTGGTATGAAGTGGGGAGGTTGGTGGATGGTTGGAAATGAAAAGACTAGATAGTAAATTCTTTTGTTAGCTATTTCAAATGAATTTCGTTTTCTTTTATTCGCTTTAAATAATATATACGACCGAATATAATTAGGTTAATTCGGCCTCAACCCCGAAAACATCAGACGATGAATTTCATTGCCTTCACCATCCAATTTCTTTTATATATATATATGATTCTATACGTGTATCAGCAAACATTTGTAGTGTATGTTTTATTATTACGTATCTCTTTATGTTTATTCTTTTTTTATTATTTATTTCAAGTTTAAATTATCAACTTAATATTTATTTCTACAGCGTCGCGTTCGATCGATCAATTAATTAAGGTGTCTACAGAGAAATTGCCTTCAGATTACCATGCACGACTTATCAACACCAAATTTTTAGCATGTTATGTAATAAAGAGTCACGGTTTACCCCACACGGAGATAAATAGTGGAAATAATTACTATTATCATCATTGTCTGTCTTACGAAGTTTTATGTGACATTCCTCTGTCCCTCCTCATCCTCTCCCATTTCCCTCCGCCTCCGCCCATCTCTTCCTCTTCCTATTTCCACCCTTGGCCATCCTTATATTCTATGTTTGTAATATGTCCCATTTTATTGCCACTCTGCCCTTCCCCTCCCCTAGTTTTACTACTATAAAACTGTATAAATATGTACAGATTATTCAACATGAAAGTTTTATATAATTATATATGTTTATGTTTATACATGAAATGTTTGTAAACAAATAACGCGCTTTGTGTGCGTGGAATGTATACTGGGAGACGTTGCGCATATAGAATCCCTCTTTACGAAGTAGCTCTTGAATGTTTTTATATAAAGACTCTATATAAGAGCCAGACAGGAAGTGCTAGTTTGTTGGTATGTCAGCAGTGTAAACTGCCAAACAAAAAACAATCGAATCCCCAGTTTTTTAAATGAGATAAACGCTAGTGGCGACATCTCTAGCCCACTTTTTTTCTTCCTTTTCTTCTTCGTCTTTCTCTGTTTATATATACAAGTTATATAAAGGATATCAGTAACCTAATGGGGATTTATGGGCGTTTTTCGGGCACGCTAAGGGATTTACTTACTTTTTTCGTTACCCCTATTTAGCACAGCTTTACTTTTCCAAGAAAGCGAAGAAATAAATGAGCTACTGTTGTATTGTGCTTTTTAATTCTGGAAATAGCCATAGCTTAGGCCTATTTATTAATTTTTTTTGTTTAATATTAGATATATATATATATATATATATACTGTATAAATGGAGAGAGAAAAGGAAAAATATATATATATTAGTATATATAAAGATATAAGGAGGGAAGGAAGAAGATAAGAATAAAGGATGAGAGAGAGGATAGATAGATAGAGAGAGAGAGAGAGAAGAGTTTGATAAAAGTTTATTCTCTTTAAAAAGTCATATAGACAGCATATATATTACTTTTCTGTCAGTGAAAGAATAGAGAAAGTATACACTGTTAAAAATAAATAGAATTTACCTTTAACAGGTTAGTTAATCCTCTGTGGATTAACCCACTATAAATCTGAATGTCTATAATCGCTAAGACAATAGATTGTACAACAGAAAAAGTATAGGCTATAAGTAATGGTAATAAAATGAAGTGAAGTGAATAACTTTAGAGTGAAACAATTATAGAAAAAGTCTATAAAATATTAAATTTCCAATATAGGGAAGAGAAATAAGAAAGAAAAACTATCAATTCTTGCGGTCATTTAGCCAATTTCAAGTGGACGCTTATTCCGCATCGGCCGTCCCAATATGAATAATGCAATTACAATTTAGCTTACATAACAAGTAGTCCCTAGAGGTGCGTCCTAGCCGATGGGCATGCTGGAATCAAATTGTGGCGTGATGCCCGCTACGAGGGTTATCTGTTTTACTCGGGCAAAAATTTCCTCTCTCCATACCTACTAAAAATTCTTTATAAACTTTTACAAGATTATCTCTAGTTTCCTTTTCATTCTTAATCTCTTTTAATTCTTTTATCAGTTAAGTTTCTAATATATACAGTATACTTTTACTTTCTTCTCTCTTATCAATTAATACTTCTTTTCTATAAATTTTCATAGTTTATACTAATAAAGAGGAAATATTTGGGGAAAATAACAAAGAAGTCATTGGGATGAATAGACTATAAAGGAATTTAGTATTCTTTGTGCAAAGTATCCTGCTCTTCGGCATACGAAAGGTTAGGGAGCGTTCCCTTCTTCTATGCAGTCAATGTCGATACGATCGCAACAATTTATACCGTGTTGCCTCCGGGCTTTAAGGATTTAGAAAATTTTCCTAGTTTCTAACCAAAATTACCCTGTTTATAAACGAACAGCTTTAAACGATCATATCGTCATATAATATTTCTTTTTACTTTTTTCCCTACCCTTTTCCTTAATTCTTACCTTATTATCCATTCGAATATTAAGGTAACCCTTGTAAATTTTAATTATATTTCATATTACAAAAGGCTAATTAACGGTGAACAGACGAAAAGGTAGAAGAAAAGGAGGAGGAGGAGGAGGAGGAGAAGGAGGATGAGGGAGGAGTTTTACATTAATTTGCATATTCAAAGCGAATAATTAAAAAGTTGAAATTTATGTAAAAATAGTTAACGTTTTTTAGACAAATCTATATGCATTTACATGAGTATAAACATATATGTATAAAGAAGCAAAAGACACGTAGACATACACAACCGCAATGCATACACACGCAAATAGATGGAAAAAATATAAGAAAACTGAATGTATTGTAATAGGAAGGAAGGAAGTTGAATTAATAATTATATAGAAAAAAAATGAAGAGATGTGGCAGTTCTCAACATTCGAACAAGATATAATTTCATTCTCAATTAAAGGAAAAAAGGGAGAAAATTGATCTTTTACATTAAGATAGAATGGGAAACGGACTACAGTGTAGAATATATACGTAATAATTAGGCATACGTGACAACAATTCTAAAATATCACGCATCCGAAAGTTGCTAATGAATGGAATATATAAATAGGGAAAGATCGTCGGCCTGGTCTCTGATGTAAGGTATCCGAATACGTTGAAAATAATTAACTATAAAGGATAGGGAGGCGTTCCTACGAACTCGACAAACCCCTTGGGTTTTTTTTTAGTTTCAATCCAAGACGACAGAGCGAAAAGAAAGAAAAACGCCGTCGAAAAGACGCTAATCGGATAGATTGCACGCTGCTTTCCAACGTCTGTCATCTCCCGTTGAGCGGCCGTTTCTCTTTTTAACACAGCACTCCGTGATACGGACGTCGGCATTGCTAGTTTCGGTAGCCGGCTTCAAAAAGTGACGGGGCAGAGACAGAGGGGTTGAAAATAAAAGAGGAAGGGTTGAGAGCGGGGTGGGGGAAAAAAGCACCTTTTCATCCGGTCACGTTTCGTAGGCAAACTGTCCTCGCCTCGCCGTTCGTGACGTTCTTTTCAGCGTGCGTGATCGGTAAATGAAAGAAGTCGGAGCGTGCGTGATTGATGAATATAGAATATATGCGTGCTGTATTTCGAGTCACGCACTCACAACTTTACCGCCGCCGGTTTCTCTCTCTCTCTCTCTCTCTCTCTCTGGCTCTCTTTGGCTCTTTTTTTACTCTTTTACTATTTAAATTCCGCCTCCCCGGAATCATAATCAATGTATAATTTCTTAACTTTTCACTTTTGAAAGAGAGTTTAGAAGAGAAGAAATGCAAACCTTTCAAATGTTTCCAGACTATTTCATGGCAATTTTTAATCAGAGACTTTTTTATCGACCATGCTTAGCTCTAAGGGAAAAAAAAGCTAGATCGCGATGACCGTTTCTACCCCGTAACCATTACCTCCTGCGGCGAAAAAAATAGACTGGTCAAAAGCTTTGCGAACGGGGGAAAAGCAATCTAGTCCCTTTTCTCTCGTTTACCCTACAGCAAAACTATTTTCGTCCTATGAACAATAAAAGATAACAAGTAAAAACCCCCCATCCCCTCCCAACCCCCTCTCCCCTCAGTCCGTTTCCCCTCTAGCCTTTAACCTCTTCCCTCCAGTGCTCTCCGTCTCTCTCTCTCTCTGTTTCTTTCTCTCTCTCTCTCTCTCTCTCCACCCCTTTGCCGTTCTGTTTGCGTCCCCCTCAAACCATTTCTACGTCGTCCCCTCATCTTCTCTAACTCGTTTTGCTCGGTGCGCATGCGCGTACGAATCTTTTGCCATCACTCCAAGTTATTCAAGAGCATGACTAGCAGGCGCCAGCACTGTTATCTATGCGATCTTCCAAGGACGCCTTGGGCGATTTTGCACGATTTTTCAGAGCCTGTTTGTAGAGGTTAGTAATAAAAATGTATAAATATATGAAAAATATTAAAAGAAAAGTTATAATAATTACTTTTAATAGTCTTATTTCTCTATGTTAAAATTTTAAAAATTTGTATACGTTTCATGGATTTTATCTTAAAAAAAAGGGGAGAAATCATTGTCTCATCTTTATTATTATCTAGGACATTTGAATATATGGTACTTAAGATTTTTACATATATAAGTAACTAAAAAATGATTCCATTCAAATAAAAATTTACTTTTTTCCCCACCCAATACGTTATCTTGTAAAACTTTCTTTTTCTTTTCCTTTTGCATTCGCTCTCTCTCTCTCTCTAGTTTCTTTAGTTTTCTTCTTAAGGGGATAAACACATATAAACCTATTGATAGTTTCTTTTCTCTTTTTTTTTACATTATGCCTAAAAAGAGTTACAATATTTGCAATGGATAGTTATAAAATTTTTGTATATTTTAATTATTTTCCTATATAGTCTTGTATGAATAGATTTGGACTGTAGGTGAGAAAAAAATTGAACAATAAAACTAGATTTTCATGAGTAAAGACTGCTTTTTTTTTCCATTCTTTTCTCTGGTCTGCTTATCTTCTTTTTACTTTTTATTCATTCTGTTAAATATATATATAGATGTATTTGCTTTTAATTAATAATCATATGCTTTAATATAGTTGTACGCTGAGATAAACAAACTTTTATTTAAAATTTATATAAATAAGATAAAGTAGGTTAAATTGAGAAAAAATTATCAACAATTTTATATACTTTTAATGTTTTATACTATTAATAGAAACAATCGTTAAAAAAATATTATTAAGTTAACTAATGTTTGCTTTTAAAAAAACAAAAGGTAAATTAATAAGTTGTTATATTTTTTTTTAAAAAAACAAAATATTCTCTATAGTTGTTTTTTTTTTTCTTCTTTTCCCACTAATAAAAAGTACTTTATAATTATTATAGAACAATTGTATACTTTATGAGTTGGTATAAATTTTTTATAATAGAAAAAAGAAAAGTAAACTGTAGGCCTAATAAAGAGTCAATTGGTAAGAGAAAAGAGGAAGAATTGATGATAAAAAAATATTGATAAAAGTGTAATAATATAATGAGAATGATTGAAAAAGATATATAAATATATATGTAACAAGTACAGAGTTTGCCCTTTTTGATTATTATCAGTAATTTATTATAGAAACTTTTGCGATTTGGGTAACGCTTATCTTGAACGTGTCCTTTTTACAAATTATGTGTGTATACGCACCGAGAAATATATATATATATATATATATATACATAATATTATTCATTCAAACTCTCAAAGGACCCACCCATAAGTATACTTAAAATAGTGATCATTGTCTATTCCACGTATTTTAAATATCGATGAAGTTGTACCTTAAAAGTTATTATATCATAATAACACCCTTGTTTGTTTTCTAAAGCATTTCATATATGAAAAATCTATAGAATAGAATATATAACATTTATATATAATTTATTAGATAGATATTTTAACAATTACTTGTATAATGAATACTATTGTATATACATATATACTGTATATATTCAGTTTATAGTGTATGCTAACACCGGAGGGGACATAGCAAGAGGGAGGGAGAGAGCGAGGGAGAAAAAGAGAAAAAACACATTTTATAGTTTCCTTTTTACAAAAATTAAATGACTGTAAATAATTTGTGTGTTCATCGCTTTGGAAAATAATAATAATGGTAACAATAATGATGTTATTTAAATGTAGGTTGTGTAAACTATGAGGGAACGGAAAGAATAGAGATGGTACTGCAAGCCGCAAGGCAAATGAAGAGGATGCACGAATTAAGTAAATCTGACAGATGCCTGAATTTTCCTCACCCGCCCCTTCATCTCCTACAAAATCCCTTACCTCCTCCCGCACATCTTAATCCTCCGAAAAGAGACGAAGCTTACGAGATTGAAAAGGAAGTTATTCTAGCCCTAACTGCCGTTTCACCTTTCCACGTGCGATGTAAGGACGATTCAGCTGCAGTTGGACGAGCGTTCGCTTTCGATATCGTAAAATCTGGAGGTGAATGTAACGAATTGAAAATGTATGTCGAATATCCTATCGGTTCTGGTCAAGTATTCAACAACGCAGCATCACTCGTTAAACAAATGTCTGACACGTCGAAATCGGATAAATTGAGCGTCTCCTCTGCCCTAAGGATGCTCGAATACGAGACGAAGCATTCGCCCAACGAATGGAAAACCTTGTCCGAATTACTCAACGACAAAGTTAGATTCTTTAAAGAGAGAGTCAGGTACGGAATAGAAATTACTCTTTTTTATTATCCTTACGATTATACATAAATATTGTAGTTACTATAGAGATATTTCAATAGGGCAATTTTACAATTCACGTTCGACAGAAAATATAAAACATAGGGAAACATTTATTGTAGATCTAAAGTCATATTTCAGTCGTTTGTTTTTAGCACGTATGTACTTAATAATTACATTTTCCCCCTCTCTGTTAAAATACGTAATCGGCAAACCCTATACGTAACGTGCTTTCTCCTATGGATAAAAAAAAACAGTGGCCTAAGGACGTTCTTTAACGCAGAAGCACTTATTTTTTTTCTCTCTGGTGAAACGCCCTCCAAGGCTAATTAATTTTTAAGAAAGATAAAAGAAATTGAAATCAAAAAAAAAGCAAAATCTTTCCCTTGGCTAAACTGAAATATTAAAAAAAATACCAACATTATTAATATATAGTCCTATTATTCAACTATTTATAAGTAATTATAATATACAAAAAGAAATCTGTACAAACTAAAGGCAAGAAGTACAGCAGGAATAACCGAAAAAACTTGAAAGTTTTTTTTTTTAAAAAAAACAAAGAAAATTGAAATTGTTATCATGAATATTAAAAATATTACGTTTAATATATCGGAATATGCTTGGCCTAATCTGCCTTTTAGTATATTATAGTATTCTCTACATTTTTAGATGTATATACAGTATGTGCGTATGTGTGTTTGTGTATTTGTTTCTTTTTCATTGTTGTTGTTGTAGTTGTTTGTCGATTTATTCTGTGTTTTTAATTGAAATTCCCTAGGACTCTCTTTCCGGATTTCGTGCATAAATGTAGGGACTTTTAAACAAGGGAGAAAGAGGAACAATTAGTCTTCTATAGTTTATTTTCATTCTTCCTGTTATTCCATTATATATATTGAATTTTACTTTCTCTTTAATTGGAACTTGAATAGTTATTTCATACATTTATATGTTTTATTTCAATTTCTCTCTCTCTCTCTCTCTCCCTATTTATTCCTTATTTCATGGGTTGCATTACTTCCTGCTGCTACTTCCACCCCCAGCTTCTTACCATTACATTTTCTGTCAAACTGAGATATTCGTATTACCTAATGCAGGTGGGCGACAAATACTTTTACAGTGGTTGCTGATGTATTGAATAGTAAAAAAAGGGAATTTTAAATGCGGTTATTTCTAGGTTTTTCTTTAAAAAAATAATATATATAAATGGAAAAATCATGTTAGCCGTCATAGTGTTACGTATAACGATCTCTTTTTCCTGCAGGAAAGAATTACTGCCATCGGCCGAATGTGCTAGGTATCTGGGTATAGCTAAAAACAGGAAACGCAAATCGGAAGAAGAGCCAACAACAACATCGAATATTACAGCATCAAGATCGCCGGAAGCCGAGTTACGCTGCACTGTCTGCGATAAACGTTTGGAAGACACGCACTTCGTACAATGCCCAACTGTTCATAAGCATAAGTTCTGCTTTCCCTGCTCTAGGGATTATATCAAGCAGCAGGGGGTCACTAACGAGATATATTGCCCGTCGGGTCAGAAATGTCCACTGTTGGGTTCCACCGTACCTTGGGCGTTTATGCAGAATGAGATTGTGACGATTATTGGAACGGATAGGCCTAAATCATCGTCACCAACCGATCTAAAGATAAAGAAAGAGAAATAACGACAAATTGAAAAAGAATTTCCTCTTTTTTTTTCTAAACTTTTACTTGTCAGGCTTATAAATATTGTATTGCATAAATCTACTTCTATATATACATACATAGAGAAAAGGGGGTTTCAACACCTATACGCATAAATATAAATGTATATACAAAGTAGTAAATACATTTATATCTTAATATTATATATGTTTCAAATAGAATATATACAGCATATGAATTACTATGTTTTATATACATTGTATTAGTCAAGTATCGTTTGTAACAGACAAAAAAAACATATTGTTAAACGCTTTCTCTTCTTTTCCTTCTTCTTACTCTTCTTCTCCTTCTCTACGTTAATGTAACAATTTACTAATACTTTTCAAATGGTAAGGGAAAAGTTTATTCTCTTTGAAACTATTCAAATTTTTAATTCTCCAATCAAATGTTTACTTTTTCTTTAAAAATAGGAAGAGATATCGAAAACTCGAGGATATTAAGATTGTTTGCTGTTTATTCAGGATCTATATATCGCCATTAACGGCCCCTTATAAGTCGTCCTAATACGTAATAGTATATTTTATAAGTCAATACGGTTTGGTGCTATCCCTGTGGGCGGTATATAGGGGGACCGACTCGCTATGTCCAATAATTGCCCGTGCGATATTGAATTGAAAGGGAAAGAAACCAGCCAATTACTAGGCCTATAAAAATTCTGACCACACAATAACAGTAAAGGTTCCCAAGGGTCTTGTGCGGGAGGGTTTTTTTTTATGTAAATCATGCACATTTTTACGCAATCCATAAATGTTAAATTCCAACTAAAGCTCTTATGTTTAGACATTAAGGACTAAGAAGTAAAAACAATATAATTTCATAAATTTTCATAAAATGAACAAAATTGAAGAATGAATGAAAGAGAGAGAGAGAGAGAGAAAGAGAGAGAGAGAAAGAAAAATTCTTTTTTTTTTATTTTAGAAAATTGTAAAGAAAGAATTTTCCCTCTTCTTAGTGCTCTTTTATATTTTTGATAATGCCTTAAGGAAACAATTTTTTGACTATTAATTTCGTACTTTACGTACTAAAGTTGATATAGGATAAAAAAAATGAGTGGAAAAATAGTTTGTCTGTCAATCACAAACTGCAAAATGAAAAATTTTATTTTAATTTCCTTTTTCCCCTTAAAATTAATAGGAAAACAGAAAGAAAAGCAATTCTGAGTAAAACTCTTCATTTTCTCTTATTAATCTGTCTATCTACGCTTTTACCATATTTTAGAACCTTGTCAAAGCCAAAATACATACCGCAGTCGACAATATATATATATATATATACATTATGTACTCTCTTTTCCTCTACCACTTTGCTCTCTTGCTCCCTCTTCCCCCCTCCCCACTCTATTTATCTCTCCTTTAGCCTGTTTTATATTCACGTCATGTATATTACTTTTATACAATATGAAAAGTAAAGAAAAGGTGAGAATTTCATAAAAATTTTTCCATCATAAAATCACTTTGCAAGATTTTCATTCACCTCTTGCGCAATAATAATGGAAAGAGAAACGGCACGGGAGTTTTTATATTGGAAAAAAAAAGGAAAAGAAAAGTAAGAGGATCTTCTTATTCGTATGTAGAATTAATTGGACAAGTATCACACGGTAAAAAGGCCAAAAGGAAAAGAAAAACCAATTCTCGATTTCTTCTTGAAAACGACGACTGGTCATTAATTAAACTGAGAGTCCGCGTAAATATGCTAATGAGCTCCCTAATGAGCGTATAGAGAAAATATGCATGACGTAAAACTGGGCGCACCTGGCGTTCGATTAGTACGGTTCGAACATGCAAACTTTCGTGCTTCTAATCCGTCGAACGTGCTGTCGAATACCTAAAAAAAAACTGCGAAATAAGACTGAAAAAACTTTTCGTGTCGAGTTACCCTAATTTTTGCACCTGGAAATCGATTTGTTAAAATATTTGAATAAATTCCATGTGTTTCTCTTTTAATTGAGTATTTATTAATAAACGTTCTAAAGGTAATTTCATCATGAATTAAGGCGATACAAGATAATAGCAATAATTAAATAAATATAAACTTAAACTGTTAAATAGTGAAAATATAAAAACTGGTATAAATGAAAATTTTATTTAAGGAAAAGATGAAGAAAGGGAAAGTGAAAGCAATAATTTGAGATGAAATGAAAATAAAGGTATCTATAGGATCTCGTCCCCTTTTTTATTCATACATATAAAATTACGTAAAAAAAACATGGCGATCGAAGACAAAAACGTGACAGTTTTTGAATAGAAGTGACTAGCGGTGGTAAAAAAATCAAATACGTTTGAATAAAAAACTTTCTAAAGCAATTTGATAGTTTAGATTGAATTTCGGTAAGCGTCACCCTCTCTTTTTTCTTCTATTCATTCATAGCCTCTGCCCCTTATACTATTTATTTCTCTCTCTCTCTCTCTTCTTTCATTTTACCTTCCCCTAAGCATCTATATTCCAACTCTTTATCACTTTTCTTTACAAGTCTCCCATTCGAAGAAAACCTTGGCGGCATTAAAATGCAAATAAAAGCAATTAACTGGTAGAAAACTTCCACATCACCGCCTCTGAGTTGACTAATTATTTGAACGCAGCTTTAGCTATATAAGTCCAAACCGACTTAACTGACAGGCTAATTCTCTTGATATAGTAAGATGCTCGCTGAGAGATAGAGAGAGCAGAGAAAGAGAAAGGGAGAGGGAAAGAAGGCAACTTTTTACGTCCACGAAAGAAGATCAAAAACGGATAAAGAGCATTCACAGTTTGATAACAAAGAAAATATAAAAAAACTAATTACGTAATAATATTTAAGCTTCCCGCGTTATGTTAATTAATTAATTAATTATTAATTAATTAACACAAAAAAATATTATCGTTTAAAAGGTAACAAAAGAACGTTATCAATTTATTGAATATTTACAATAGATATATATTTTTGTTATTAACGTTATTAAATTTATGCTTCGGTTTAATAAATGGAATAAATCACAGCGCTTTCTCTTTGATCTTTTAAGTATATTTAGTATTAGTTTTATTTTAAGTAACTCTTACTAAAATCAATCCAAACTTTTTCTATTCTTATATATACAGTATAACTTTAATATAAAAGATATAGTAAAGAATTGCGAATAATCATTATTTTGTCATTTTCTTTAATTATTATTAGATTAAATCAATTAAATCAATTATACTATCTAGTTTTTTAGTAGAATTTATCAAAAATTTGAAATGGAATTAATTTCATCAACTTCGATTAATACCATTAACCTTTTCATTTTCTTACTCTTTATTCTCTTCTTGTTTTTCTTTTCTCTCTTCCTCTCAATCTCTTGTTTTATTTTACTGTACTTAAGCATAGAATGAATAACAAATGTAATTGTAACTAAATAAACTTAACAATACTAAAAGAGCATGCTTTATCTTCATACTCTTTTTATTCACTCGTTTATTCACTTTCTCTCACCATCTCCCTCCTTCTCTCCCACTCTTCCCCCTTTCTCTCTCTCTTCGTAGACCAATCGAAGAAATAACTTTTCATCAACTTTTTTCTTTTCTTTTACCTATTTAAAAAAATCAATGAACAGTAAAAACATTATGTGGGGGATATTTTGTAACATGACTGGTTCCGCTACGTTAATCTGATAGGATCTGTTACACTTATAAAATTTCCACTATCGCTCTTTTGGAGGCTCGTTTCATGTGTTTATATCAAATTTCTCTAAATAAAAAAAAACCTCATATATACAAAACGTGTTTGACCTTAAAGTTAAAATTTTATTAGTTATAAAAGGTAACAATGTTAACACTTTCTATTTTTATGAACGATATTGAATCATTTTCATCATTAAAGCAAATTTAATATATTCAATATTCAGAAACTAATGACGTTATTTTCATTATCATCATAGCTATCTGTACCATTATCGCATTTTTCTTCTTCTATTTCTTCTCTAGTTCTCTCTCTCTCTCTTTCTTTTTGCACTATCCTGTTTTCTTCTTCTCCTTCCTCCCCTCCTTCTCCTCCTACTTCTACCCCCTTCGCCATTTAATTAGTTCATTAATTATTGAAGAGAAGCCCCCATTTTCCTCTTATTCGTAACAATACATAAATACAACTGGATATATTCTACATATGTAAATACTTTAGCTTTGATTGTGTTCTCTTCTTTTTCAAGTTTAGATTCTTTTATATCAGTTTAAATTGTCTCAAATCCTTTGCAATTAGAATAAGTACAGCGTGAAAGTTTGTTCCTTCGCTAAGCGTCTCACTCGGTCCAATAGGCCGATAACAAGAAATAAAGAAAGAACTATGGAAGAGAAGGACAAAGGGAAAAATGTATTTCGGAAAAAGTTTACAAGGATGATAATAAAGGAATTTGTTTTTGTTTTTTCTTTTTGAATCATTCTTAGGATAACGCTTGCATTTGAAAAAAGAATTTCCTGTTTTATAAATAGACGCCCCATCGCTTGACAGTGTGCAAGAAAACATAAATGCAATGAAGCGACGGCTGAATTGCTTGAGTCTATTCGTTCAAAGGTCAAGGTCTTTTATTTGTTAAAAAATATGAAGCTAGATTTAAATAGAGAAAAATAAGAGAGACTAAAAGCGGGAAAAGGAAATTTCCAAACCGACGCCCCCTAATCCTAAATTCCTAGCACATTCGACGGCCAAATGAAGTGACGCCGTCCTGCATTAAGTATTGTACTTTCAGCGTCGCTACGTCGGTCGAATACCTAATTTATGCCTACGACTCCGCTTTCGCTTATCCGCAAACTTCTACCGACGCCGTACGTGACTCGAAATACGCTATTCGATACGATCTAAGCTCCGTACCGCCGTTCCCGTTTGACCACGTGACCTACGGGGGAATAAGGAAAAAGCTAAATTAATATATTTAAACAATATTATTTGAAGAGTTTGTGAAAATTAACTTTTTAAATTATAATAAAAAGCTGTTTATTACTTAAAAAAAAACAACAAGTAGTTCTAAGAGGGAGACAGAGAGAGAGAGAGAAAGGTGTACAAGAGGAGGGTGAAGGAGAAGAGACAGAGAGAAAGAGAGAGGAAGAGCGAGGAATAGATATATAGACAGAGAGAAAAGGAGAGAAAGAAAAGAGAAGACTATATGCAAAAAGGAAATGAAACGAAATAGAGTGTATGAAAGTATGAGAGAACATGGAGGGAATTGAAGATACGAAGACGAAGCCAGACAGCAACGACGAAAAAAGGATAAAATTATGAGAAAGCGAGAAAGAGAGAGAGAGAGAGAGAGAGAGAGAGAGGGGGGGGGGGGGGGGGAAGAGGGGGAGGTGGAAAGAGAAAGAGAGAGAGAGAGAAAAAAACGTCACGTCTTTATAGGCGTCACGCGAGAATTTTATCGGGACGTGCTCGGAGTTCGATGAATGAGCACGGCGTCGAACTCGCACTCTCGTTCAGTGCGTTGTTATTATTATTATTATGTATTTTTCTTTTTGATTATTGTTAAAAATTTATTTGAAAAATGATTAAAGTATTAAGAAAGGATAGAAAATAGCAATTAAAGGAGACAAATTAAAAAAAACGTGAACTAGAACGGGAACGGGACGGCAGATAGATGCCCTTAGGCATCTAGTTGGCTTAGGCCTAGGGGCCATCTACGTGAAATGCTCGCTTTTCGGAGACGACGCGCTAATTAGAACGGATCGGTCGAATGCGAGTTGAATTCAGAAATCGGTAAGGCCCCGAGTTTTTCGTCTCATCGTCCCCCGCCGATTGTTTCTATTTACGAAGCGTTTACATAGGCCTGAGGCAGTGAATTGGCCTCCCGGCATTTATTTCGTTAGGTGGCCAACTGTAATTAGGACATAAGTGTTCCTCTTTCAAAATAGCGACATCTATTGCCTGGTTATACCTATATAATAACACTTTAGGGCGAAAATCGTAGTTTTTGGATCAATTAAGTATATTTTAATGACGTAAGTTTTAAAACGCTAAATTATTCTAAATAGAATATAAAGTATTTACATTACCGTTTTATTTTGCAAACTAGTACGATCACGTGATGAGGTTTTCCAGTTAATTCTGTTGTCAGAGAGCCTATACGTGAGAAGGTTTTATTCTGATAAAACGCTTATTAATATGCAAAGGGACTATTTTGTATTTTAGTATTAGTTTGATTTCCATGCTTTGTAGCATAAACAGATTTTATAGCTGGAATCTTTTGCTTTTATTTATTCTTTTAATATAAGTCAGTTAGAAGGAAAATATCACAAAACTCTTCAATTAATACTTTAAATCTCTTATTATTTCCCTTCTATTGCAGGTTATAACAGAATTTTTAGTGTGTGGTGTGTTTGTGTGTATATGTATGTATATGTGTACTCGTACGTGTGAATATAGGTGCGTGCGCATGTATGGGTGTATATATAAACAGTATTCTAATACATCATTAATTCTTCTTCCGCTCAGTTTTAACGGTCGATCCAATCATATTAATATTCAATTACATAAATAAATTAATGAATCTATATATATATACATAGATATATAGCAATCCTATAATTCTTTATAGTTAATTAATAACTGTTACATAACTTGCCTTCCTCTTTTAATGCTGGTAAACAATTTCCCTTTTTATATAGCAAACATTTAATTTTTTCGATTAGTGCGCCATCTATAGTATCTATAAATGATATATCTACAAATTTGTATATTCTATAAATGTAGATTAATTCTTTTATAGGTAATTTATAAACAGAAAATGTTCTTTTCTTCTATATATATCCATATATACTGTTTATATATATATATATATATATATATATATTGTATATATCTAAATACAGTATATGATTGAGGAAAGAGTAGTTTAGGAACTTATTAACTCTGATTACATTATATATTTATATATTTAAACAGGTTTCCATTTATTGTACAAAGTTATATACATGATTTAAAGTACAAGGAACGTTTCAAATACATAAAAGTAACATATTCGTTTTATATTGAATTAGAAAAGCTTTAAATTTATTACATAATCCAATCATAACTTTTATATTTCCATCAAAAACAATAGAAAAAGGAATCATCTTCTCTTCTTTCATCCTTTTTCAATTGATTGATTTATTTAAATGATGTAATATTTACAAGTGGAACAAAAGATTCATTTTATTGCTTTTCATCTAGTTTTAAATGAAATAAAGCTACTTCTTTGATATTCTATTTTTTATTATATTTAGTGAAAATTTTAAATTACTTTCCTTTCCTATTTTTTTATGATTATTAAATGAAATCCATCAGTCCCTTATAGTTTCTTCTATATTCCCTCTCCTTTCCCTCCCACTCCCCTTCTTCCGTTCTGCTCTCCTATTTCTTAGCTTCCTTATTTTATGGATACCGCACTTTTTTTAAAAAATTAGAACTATTTTTTATCGACACCCATTTTTTTTAAAATATATATTCTATTATTTTAAGTTATTATCTTTTATTTATTTCGTCTTACTTATTTTTCACTTATTATTATACTTTTAAAAAATATTTATGCCGTCAACTGCTAAAGACTATGCAAGGTAAGGTTTGTTAACTATCTAAATTGGTTTAATAGGTTGTTTACATTGAGCGATAATACAAACAATTTTCTAATAGGCAATTAGGTATTATAAAAAAGTGCAGTTTAAAAGGCAGATCGAATCTGAGAGTATGTTCACGTAAGTTTACGATTAATCATCTTTTAAGAATTGTTTTTGTATATATTTTAATAATTGATGGACAGGTCAAAAATTTAGTTATTTTGTTGTTATCGATTTTGAGAGTACTTGTTGGAAAGAGGAGAAATCAATTGTTCAAGAGATCAGTAAATATACTCGTATCTTTATTTTAATATATATAATACAAACAAATTATAAATAACTTAGTTGAATTTCCTGCTGTACTAATAAATTCATCAACTGGTAAAGTGGAATCAGAGTTCCACTATTATGTGCAACCGCAAGAACATCCAATTCTAAGTGATTTCTGTAAAGAATTAACAGGAATAACGCAGGTAGAGATTCGGAAAATATATAACTTATCCATTTTATGATATACAAGAAATTTAGTTATCAATTGATTTTGATAGGCTCAAGTAGAAAGAGGAATACCATTAAGACTATGTCTCGACCTATTTTGTAAATGGATGAGGAAGATGTCAGAGGAAAAAGGATTCGTATTCGATAATCGTTTAGGGAAAAAAGCATGCGCTTTTATTACTTGGTCAGGTAATAATTAATTGAAAATAAACGAATAGTATAAAGTGTTGCATAATAAATAGAATAACATATATACATCTTTATAGATTGGGATTTAAGCGTTTGTCTACATAATGAATGTAAGAGAAAACAGATAAGAAAACCCATCGAATTAAATAGTTGGATAGATTTAAGAAGAGTTTTTAAGGTATTTTTTTATCTTATCTTTTAACGAATATGTCTCTGACTGTACTACAATGTTTTTTGCTATGTTTAGAGATTTTATGGGAAAACTCCCGCTGGTCTTGAAGGAGGACTAAAATATGTAGGTCTAGAGTTTCAAGGAAGACAGCACTCAGGTAATCTAGTATATTTCTTATGTCCAAACTAGTATATGTCATCTAAGCTACAGTTACAGCAATAATAATTAAGAGCACCTATATAATTACCTATAGGTTTAGAAGATTCGAGAAATACTGCAAAATTAGCATACAAGTTAATATGTGATGGCTGCGTTTTAACTCTGACAAGAGATTCTAAAGATGTATGGCAATATTTTGTTATTATTATCAATTTACAAGAGTTTTTAATAAACTTTTTTTCCACTTGTAGATATGCGCTACTACTCTTACAACTAGAATTATTCACTCTCCGGATGTTAGTATTGATAATAACGATGATAATAACAAGAATAATATCATTAGTTTAAGGGAGAAAGAAACAAACAATACAAGAAGTACATATCAATGTATTAATAGAAAATTTACAGCTGTTGATAAGATCAGTTCACCAACTATTAAGAAAGATAATAATAAGCTCTTTGCAATATCCGAAAATGAACAACGAAAGATGAAAAAGAAAATACTATTGAATCCTTTTCAAATAAAGGATAATTCAAGAGAAATTAGTAAAGAGAATAAGGAAGAAAGTGAAAAAACTGAGAAAATGACGAACAATCATGATAATGGTAATGAGAAGCTGATTACAAAAAGTCGTATTATTATTAAGACTAGAAAGTTTAGTAGACCTCAATATGAGATAATTCAGGAAAAGATTCCTATTAAGGACGCTTCAAAAAATCAGTTATCGGAATGTAAATGGGCATTGTCGAAGACTAGAAAGATTAATGATCAATTGAAAGAAAAAGAACAATTGGGTAAAGCGTCTACACCTCAAAGAACAAATGGAACAAGTAATCAGTCCAACGAATTCAAAACGCCGAATAGTATTGTTTTAAATACATCGAAAAATAAGAGTAAAATGTTAAAAACGCCACCGATGTGCCAATGTGGGCGAAGAAGTAAACGTAAGTGCGTTCAAACACCCGGTCCAAATATGGGAAGGAATTTTTATACCTGTTCCTACGGAAGAAGAAGTTCAGGATCTGGTGAAGGTTGTAGTTTTTTTTCGTGGGAAGGAGAAGATAAATCTGCTACAAACTTAAAATCGGATTCAACTTACAGTTATTCGATAAGAGAGGAATATATGTCTCCAGAAATGAAGAGGGCAAAAATGAATTTATCATCCGAGACGGTTGATACAAACAGAAAGGAGAAGATTATCGAAAAGAACCAAGAGAATGTTTTTAAACCAGTATTAGTTTACTCTGCAAAAAATCAATTAAAGAGTAATCTTTTAAAAAATCCGTTTTTATGATTTTGTTAATTTTTAGATTAAGAAGAGAGAGAGACACTATACTATTTATAATTATGACTAAGAGATTATATGTAATTTTCCGCTTGCTTTTTAATCAATAAAAGTAATAAAAACTATATTTGAAAGATAATATCTAGATGCAAAATTAGATGAAAATTAAAAGTAAACCTATCTTGAGTGTAAATATTTATTTAACCAAATATTGATGAGTTTTACCATTAATCCATAGTTTCTTTTTATTATAATATAAAAAGAATTAAATCCAGATTTATCAAGTATTTCTATAAAAGAAGTTATATAGTAAGAATATTGATAATTTTCATTATTTAAAAATTTCTTTTCTTATTTCTTATTGTCAGTTTAAAGGTTTTGAAAAATTCAAACAAGGAGCGAAAGATTATTGAACTGTTAAAATATAAAGAGAAAATGATTGCTATTTAATTATAATTATAAGCATCGTCTATTAAATTAATTGATAATTTTTGTTATTTTTCTATAAAAATACTAATTATAATTGATTTTAAATGTATAAAAAAGGAATGTTGTATGCTGCCTTTTATCTACAAATGAAGATACTTATGTAAAGTTTATGTATATATCAATTATATAATAAAAAAAGAGAATAAATGCGTTTTTTTTGTTATTTATAAACAATCACTTAAACGTTACAGAGAGTTGAAAAACAGTTTTCTTTGTATTTATCGATTATTCATTGAATTGAACAAAAAAATATTCGATATCAAATATTTCGACTTTTAAAAATCATTCAACGTACACTGATTCCCTCTCTCTTTCCCTCTTTCTCTATCCGCTTCACTGATTTCCCGTGTCCTTGAACATTTTTTCTACTTGATAAACTCGTTCTTGCACCTTAATTTGTTCACTCTCTCCCTCTCTCTCTCTCTACAATATCGATAGATAAGTAGAGCATTATAGGTAGTTCTCCTGTTCCAAGAAAATTCTTTTCCATTCTTCTTTCATTTTTGATTAAAAGTAGAAATTATTCTAGGTTTTTATTGATTAGATTGAATTATTATTAACGTTCAATAGTTGAATAAATGACTTTTGATGATTGTATTGTTACTTGACAAAAAATGCATCTATTTTCAGTTGGGGAAATATTGAATAGATCTTTTGTAAATGTTATAAAATATGTAAAGAGAGATTTTACTTGTTTAAAAATCATCTTCTTTAACATTTTACTTATAAAAAGTTTATATAATTTTTCCTTTCTTTCTTTCTTTCTTTCAAACAAGAAAAAAACAAAACCTTTTTCATTTGACGTCATCAATCTTATTAATATTCAAAGTAGATGGTAGCGACGCAGTCATTTAAAAGAAAATTAGTACTCAGTTACCTTTAATATCAGCTAAAGAATGAAATTTGTTCAAAAACTTCACTTAATAATCTGTTTAACTTTGTTTGTCTATAACTTGAAAAATTTGTTGATAAGAGCAGCGGCAGCCAACCAAGGTAAACAAACAAACAAACAAATATTTTTTAATATAATACTACTTTGTAAAGAAATATTAACCAATTAACTTTTACCTTTTTCTCTCCGGAGTTTAGGAAACGTTCTTTTCAATCTTCTATATAAAAAAAACTATATAGATATACACTGTATATATATTCTCTTTCATTTCTAATGCATTTAAAGAAACTGAAAGAGCCGATATTTTTCATTGAGCACTGGTCTTTTTATTAATATTATTATTAAATGTATATGTACATGTATTCATGCTTATTCGGAAAAGAGGATTATCTTCCGTCTCTTCTAGTTTTTCCCTATTTTTTTCAGTCTTTGAAATTTAATTATAAGTTATATTTTAAATGTAAACTTTTTCATTGACTGAAAGGATCGAGGGAAAGAAAAAGAAGGGTATGAATAATCCCTAATTAATCTATAACATTCATCTTTCAGATCCTCCTCCCACTCCCTCGTGCGACGGAGATGTCTGTACTTGTTCACAAGCAGATTATGATCCAATAGATAACAAATGCTTGAAAGGTTTCAATCATCAATCAAACTAGTATCAATTTACTTTCTTTAAACATAAATCATCTCCCTTTTAGGGGTTGAGTTGGGTCAATCTTGTAACGAAGACAATCTTTATTGTCTGGATATAAACAGCCATTGTTTAACCACTTGTCAATGTAAAGCTGGTTTTGAGAACGTTGGAGAAGTTTGCCAAATAAGTTTGTTATTCTAAACTAATTATATAAATATTAATATCTCATTTATACATGTAAATATGCAAATATATATTAAAGGACTTCATACTGGGAGTGATCTTGCTCAACAATTCAGTGGTGGGGTTCAGCCGACAACCGAACGAAATACAATTTTCCTTCTCGAAAATTCTGTTATAAAGGCTAGCGGAACACTTTTGCAGTATCAGTATAAGCCTAGCTCAGGTATTACGAAATGTTTCAAAGATTTTTTATATATATTATATACAATTATTGTATATTCAATTTAGAGGGTTCTTTCACAATACAAATATGGAGGCTAATGAAAGTTATCGCTGAATCAAACTTTTATTATAAGCTGATACATGAGAATGAATTAGTGGTATCCAATCAACAATTAAACTCAATCTCTAGTTTTACCTTAGCAACACCTATAAGGGTAAAGACATATTAATCATGCTCTCTTCTCTATCTCTCTCTATCTCTCTCTCTCTCTGTCTTATCCTAATTATTTTCTCTGTATTAAGGTTGAAGCAAATGATATAATTGGCTATAAGACGGTAGAAAGTGCAAACATCGGAAATGTTTTATCTTATATTTCAACTGCCTGCCAATCGGATACTGAGCGCGGTCAATTATTAGCCAACTATCAAAGTTTATCACCAAATTCAGTTTTAAAATTTACTAAAAGACAAGATTCGTCAGATTGCCAAATAAGAAAATATCCAATAAACGCAAAAATCCGACCAGGTAGTAATTAACTATTATAATTTATTCAAATTAATAAACTAATGAATATTAATATTGTAGACGATCCTATTCATAGGGGATGTGTTAAGAGTAGAACAAGTGACGAAGATATGTCGATTTTAGTACAGAGTTCTAAATTATCAGTTGACCAATGCTCCCATTACTGCTGGAATCTGGGATATCTCTACTCCGAATTGAAATACGTAAAGAATAAGAAATATTCCACTATATATTCATGTAGATAACAATAATTCTATTTAAATAGCCGAATATGTGTAGATGCGGTCCATTCTTTGGTACTAAAGATGATGATTCAGTCTTCGCCGCTAACATACGCTGTTCTTCATCTTGCACTAGAATCGGTTCAAATAGCAACTGGAAATGTGGAGCCAGTTCATACGCTTCAGTCTATCAATTTCCATGTACAGCATTAAATATTAATAATTACTTAGATTTATATATTAACTAATTAATTGATTTAATTATAATCAGCAACATTTATCAATCAAAAGATTGATTCGCTATTCAATTCCGCAACTGAATTCTATTATGGTATAAACGCCACTATTAAACAGCCGCAAGGTTCTGAGATTTGCAAAGAGGTTGGCGGTACTTTAGTAGGTGATCCTACTTTTCTAAATCAAAATGGAGGAAGTAACATGTATAGAAAATTTCATTTATATCTGACTTAAATAGTAACAATAAGTTGTAATCTTTCATTTTTTGCAATTTTCAAATGAAGATATGTTACTGGAATTATGAAAATATATGACTTACCATCGGCCAATGGTCAAGAATCAATCCAATTACTTATGAACGAAAAAGGGAACGTTGTGAATAAGGATAATATTGAATTTTTACCTAATAGACCAGATAATGTACAAGGAATAGAGGTATTTCAATTAACTTTTAACTAGATAGATTAATAAAACGTATTCATCAACTCGCAGAATTGTTTAACTTTCCGAGGTAATAGCAAATATGAAGATAATAGATGCGATGAGAGTTCCGGACGTTTACTTTGTATATTTGACAAATATCCATTTGATAATTCATTCGGTTAATTTATTATATAATTGCTTAAACTAATTAATAATTACTACGTTCATCTTTAGATACAACTCAAGAGATAACCTTATCATTCGATAATGAAATTAATACAAAGTGGGCTCAAACTGGCGGAGTAATTTCCTATGTTGAAGGCGTTATTAACAAAGCTATATCTATAACGAATAACGCATACATTGATATATTATACAATCGTTTGAGTTGTTTTGATCTTCCGGCTCAATGCCAATCAGGATTCTCGTTTATGTTTTTCATGAAATTACTATCCACAAAAGATCAAATAATATTTGGATTAAGTTCAGATACCGGAAATATGAAAACAATAAAACTGCTATACATCAGCCAACAATTGAAATTATCTTATCCAACAGTCGGAAATCTGGAGACAACTATATCATTAATATCAAGCACGGATTTCACTGCTTGGAATCATTTGGCAATCATTCAGAGTGTTTGTAAATTGATATTTTTTATATTAATGTTATAAATAGGAGGGAAAAAAGTACTTTTGTCAATTTGTTTGTTTTCGTTTTCTACTTTATAGATCAATGGACAAACAATAATATGGAAAGTGTACGTTAATGGGGAACTCTTGCAAACAGTAAATATAGGATTGGTCGAAATGACAAATTTTATAGGTATTAGATACGGTAGATCTATTAATGACCAAAACCTTCAATATAATTCTGATATCTATTTGGACGAGTTAAAAATATCAAATAGATTACTTCTTGACGATAATATCTATAGAGAATACGGTAAATACTATATTAAGATAATTCAATTGAATTGAATGATTGAATGAATGAATAAATATATTTTTTGTTTTATTATAGAAAAAGCTGCTTTAAAATTAAACAATGAAATGACTTTTAAAGTATCAAAAGAACTGTTGGAATTAAATAATAGAAATGTTGAAATTTCACTTGGTATTCAAGATATTGGCTATAAATTTAATAGTATTCAATCCGGTTTAAAAGCTCAAATAGCAAGTGTCTGCAATTCATTATGTACTAATGGTTTTACTTTATCAATTTGGTTGAGGATAAGACAACCAATATCCAATTATAATATATTAAAAAATGAAGGCAATGGATTTCAATTAAAGTACATTTCTTATTATTTATATATTCACACACGTATTTAATGTATATTTTACATATATTTTCATCATTTCTTAGATATTTAGTATCAAGTAATAAGTTTCAATTAAAGAATAAAATCGGAAATTTTATAACAAATGCAGAATTTTCACTTCCATTTGATAGTTGGTTTCACTTGGCTTGGAAATCTCATAGACAATTTGGAACATATGTCTTCCTGAATTCAAAACAAATTAAGAATGTTCAATTTGTACAAGATCAATCCAATACACCGTCTACTTCCGATACAACAAACTTTAATAGTTTAGTTATTGGAGAAGAAACTAGTAGTAGATGTCAACAAGGTTGGGAAAAGTATGGTGAAAAATGTCTTTATGTTTCAAAGACGAAATTTAATTATAAAAGAGCAGAGATTTTTTGTAAACACAAAGAGTCTATACTGCTCAGAATATCTAGTTTGGAGGAACATAAATTCGTGAAATCTCTTATGATGTAAGTTCATTACATTCTCTTCTTAAATATAATAGTCTATTGTTATTTTTAATTAAGACTGAAAGGTATTTCACATATATGGTTTGGTTTAACTGTAAGTGGTCCTGATAATAATACATGGACTTATGATGGTATAAAACCTAATTATATTCCTCCTGATCGAAATCCATCTATGGATGAACGTTATGGAAAATTATCAAAATCAGATACGGATCTACACGATTCTGACTATAAAGATAGTTATCATATTATTTGTGAAAAGCCTCTTTCTATTAAGCCTACAAATGGTTTGTTTTTATCATGCAGTTACTTCATTCTATCTTAATATAGTTATTAAATCACTCTTCTTTTCGTAAAAACGCAAAATTACAGATAGAGATGAAGCTTTACCCAATTGGAAACACTTTAATGGATTCTTTTATTATATTTCAACATTTTCATCGTCTAGAATGGAAGCTATTGAAAAATGTAACAACTATTCGTCCAATCTTGTTTCCATACTCTTCGAGAGAGAATATGAATATTTAAATAATCAATTAAAAGGGTATGTAAACAGTACATTCATTTATATACTTAATTAGGCTTATAAGAGAGAGATAATGTTTTTCAGTAAAGGATCTTTCTTTATTGGTATGGACTTTAATGCTAACGCTAACAAGTACTTTTGGAAAGATGGTAGTCCAGTTACTGCTGAGAATATTAATTATATAAACTTGGAAGGTTCAAATGGACCAAATATTCTACTGGAATGTAACTCTGGACAAAATTGCTCTATTGTTAAAAGCTCATTAGAACAAGCACGATTTATTTGTAAAAGAAAAGAAAGAGTATTAAATAGAGGTGGTTGTAACTTTGGAGATTATTCTTTCAATGGACGATGTCTATCAGTTATTCAAGAAGCTGGAAAATATTATGATATTGTTAAAAAATGTAATTTATTGGGTGGTGAAGCTGTTTCTCTGACTAATCAGGAAGATGTTCCGGCTCTCGAATCTATTATGATCGCTCTTAATCAAAGTAATGCTGTTGTTACAAATTGAGAAACTTTTTATAATGATATACTTAACCATTTTTAGACGGAAAGTCATTCTATATCGGAGGTCATAGAACTGTTTCAGGAGGTGATTACTACTGGATAACTGGCGAGATTGTAACATCTATAAATCTAAGAGATGAGGGTTCCTCACCGTCTTTCTGTAGCATAGCTAAATTATCCAATGACAATACTATGTACATGGAAAGCTTATGTAATAATGAAGATGGATTATTATGCGAATACGGTATGATATTTCATATGTGTTTATCATGTGTTTCTATTATCTGATTTACTATCTACATAGATGCTGGAACGGTTATGGAAATGGACGACCTTAGACTTTATTCTTCAGCTTTACCCGATACAGATATCACCAACATCTATAAGGAACAAAGTTGAAACATTAACGAATCGAATAATAATTGCAAAGCTAAAATATTTCTTATTTACTATTTTAGATGCCAACTTGAAAATATTAAAAATACCTTGCAGTACAAAGTTGACGGATAATACGGTCAGAGGTCAAAAGATAAGTGGATCTGGAAAAAGTTATATAGATATTGCAGCTACGTCAAAGTTAATTTACGATTCATCTATAATGAAGGATGTTCTAGATATTAAAGATAGTGAATTTATTAAATATACTATTGATTCAAATTGGAATGCTTGTTTGATGAGTTTAAGCAGTTGTCTTGGTGGTTTTTCAATTGGTTTTTGGGTCAAATTTATGGGAAATAAACCACTGTTTCAATTGTTATCCATTAGAAATCAACTAACAATTTCTGTTGAGACCACTCTAAATATTAAGTATATATGCTTATTAATTAATCTAAATAGGTGGATACATTACTAATAAATATACGTCTTCGATAGATATCTAAATTTGGTTATTAATGAATTGAATATAAATGAAAAAGCTTTTCTTCCAACTGTAAACGATTGGTTCTATCTATCAATTGCTTATCACTTAAATCATGGATTGGATGTTTATGCTAATACGCATAAGATTTTATCAAGTCCTACTCCAGTAGCTTCAGCGGGTGCATTCGCCCCAGGAGCTTATTTACAAATTGGCGGAGAACTACCAATGAGACTAAGAGATTTTATGTTTCAAACAAACTTTTGGAATGAAAAGATAATTTTTGATGAAGTTTGTAAGTGAAATATTACAGAATATCTTTGCTTTTCCTTGTATCAATTCGTAAAAAGAATAAATTTTATCTTTTAATAGATTCATTAAAACGATTATGGAATGAGAACTTTAATAGTCAACTCGCAGGTAGTTCAGCAGTATTGGAAGAACATAATCTAATATTTGGAAAGTCTTTAAGAATGTCCCCAAGTGATCAGAGTTATATTATAACTACAGACCAATATGCTAATTGTTTAACGAACTTTGGTAATAAACAAATAATAAGGAGAAAACAACATCTTAATTATTTTCCTTTTAGATAATTGCCAGAATGGAATAACAATATCTTTCTTTATGTTTTGGAAGGAGTTTACTCAAACATTCCTTAGATTCTATATAAATAAAGGAAATAATAACTTCTTACTGAGTATTATTGGAACAGGAAACAATTTCAAATTAACTATTCCTGGTCGAATGGCGTCTATTAATATACCAAGTAGTATTAGCAAACTTAAATGGTATCTCTACGTCTTTACAATCGATTTTAAAACGAATACTTTCCTGTTATACATCGATGGGATTAGATACGAAATGACTTCAGTATTTTCTGATCATTCATTCGATCCAACACATTTTAGTCAAATTCAAATTTCACCTCCTGAGGAAAGTCTACTAATTGATGAATTAAGAATTCATAACAATATCGTTGGTGATTGGAGTTACGCTATTCGTTAGTATCTTATTAGAATTTTGTTCAATATAATAATATATATATTTTCTCATTCAGCTTTTAAATCATGCTATGAATACTACGAGAATGGAATACTAACTAATGGTGATTATTACATAGATCCAGATGGTATAGAGAGTCCTTCACAACCAGTACTTGTCACTTGCGAAATGGACAATAATAGGGTTCAAAGTCAATTTGCGCATGACAGGAATGCTAAATTATTTATTAATCCATCTGTAATGCAAGTGGACAATGAAGGAAACGCAAAAATTTTATTAAATTATCAACTGGATACTAAAGTTTTAAGAGAAATTATTAAATCTTCTGTTCAATGTTATCAACAGCTAACTTTTGAATGTTCAGGTATCATATTTACAATATAGTATTCATATACTATATTGTTCTCACAAAATAAATCTTTACCTAAATAATTATAGGAACTCAGAATCCTGTAAGAATGATGAGACAGTCTATTGAAGAAACTACTATCGATTTTTGGAAGTCAACTCCAAAAGAAACGTCAACAATTCAATGTTCAACTGGTCAAAATTTCATTCAGAATACAGTTTTAAAAGCAAAAGATCAACTACCTATAACATCGGTAGTTATACAAGGAATTGAATCAAATTCAGGCGAACAAATATGGTCTGTTGGACCCTTAGTTTGTCAAGGACCTGGTATACTATTAATTAATTGTTAATTTAATAATTTGATCATTTTTTTCTATTTAAATAGATAAAAGAGGCATTAAATTTGCCTTTAATAAACCAGACTTTAGTAATATAATAACTGAAGAGGGAATGCAAATATCATCTGGACAATCGGATGGACTAATTCAAACTTATACATCTGAATCTATCAATAAAGATGTACTACTTGTTATTGGAAAAGAAATTACCATAGAAGGGTTTCATACAAGTTCTTGTTTTTTAAATAAATCCAATTGTAATTATGGATTTAGTATAAATCTTAATATAAACATTCAAAATATGGAGGATTCATTTTCAATATTTTCAAGTCCTCTATTGAAAATCCAATGCAGTCCTCAACCCTTCAATATCCATCAATTAACTTGTGTAGTTTCAATATCTACCTTCAATTTAGAATTTACAGTTTTATCCTATAGATGGATTTCAATAGGTGTTCTATGGAAAAACGTTGATACAGGTAACATTTTCGATCCTAATTCTTTGTTATTTGATTTTACAAGTTATTTATTTATGTAGAAACGGCGAAAGTTTATTTAAATGGTTTTGAATTGGCAACGACCCCTTCTTCTATAAGTATTGATAGAAGTTCAAATGAGAAGGTTGTCATTGGTTCAGCTAGTTCAATTAAAAATCAAATACTAATTGAATCATTAATTCTATACGAAACTTTTGTTGAAAAATCAAAATATGAGGAAAAATTTCCAAGATTTCAACTAAATTACAACTTTTTTATGGACAGAGTTGTTGAGATAAGAGGTCAAAGTAACTATATTGTTCCATCGAAAGATAATAAAGACCCTTACTTTACTATAATAACCGATAATCCAATGTCTCTTATGGCTAAATTAGATAACAATATAAATGGCATAAAATTAACTGATGGAGCGTTAACGGCATATTTTTATAAGGAATGTATAGTTAATTTAGAAGCTTGTAATCGTGGCTTTAGTTTAGGATTTTGGTTCATTACAAATTTCAGAGCGAATAGAAAGATAACTGTTCTAAACTTTGGCAGTAACTTTAAAATAAGTATCATCTTTGAAACAACCACAAAAATAGAAGTTGCATTAACAGAGGTTAATTGATTGTCCATATTTTTTGCTATATATTAATATATATATATATATCGGTATATACATTTATTTTATATTAACTATAGAATGACGGTTCAAATATAATCAAAATGGCTCCTATAAGTTTTAGCCATTGGTCACATATTGGAGTTGTGTATGATAAATCAATGAATGGAGCAGTAAGACTCTATGTAAATGGTGAAAATATTGTATCTAGCTCAACGGGCAGGAGGAAAAGGTCAGCGTCTTCCAATTCACAACAAAACATTCCTAGCGAAGTAGTTATAGGATCAAAGGAGTCTTCTACTAGAATGCCATTTATAATTGATGATGTAATATTTAAAGATGACATCGTAGACTTCAATGAAGTCTATAATTCTCCAGGTAAATCAATTCAGTATCTTATTTCATAAATAAGTGTGACCTGTATAACATTATTCTAGGATTTCAACGGTCCAGTTCCTCGAGTACATCTTCTACAAGTGGATTCATTAGAAGAATTCTATTTAACGAATTTGAAGAATCTTCACAAACTATTCCGTTATATCCTAAACCAGCAAGTGGCTCGTTACCGAATGGAGCTGTTAAAACAAATGACTATATCTCGTTGAACGGTGAAAATCAATACATTAGCACAACGACATCGTGGAATTCTGATTGTATAACAAATCCTTCGACTTGTGGTAACGGATTTGCATTAGCTTTTGAATTTAAATTTGATGAAATAACTAGCCAAGATCAATATTTTCTAACATTGGGAAGTTCTGGTATTAATGAAAATGGTCTAGTTTTTGGCTTTTTACCAACTGATGATACGCTACCATTTAGAAGGCATTTTACTATAATATATAAAGATCGTTATAAAAAGCATTCGATATGGTTTGATGGTGAAAAAGATACTTGGTATAATATGTTTATATCAAAAAGTAGCTCTATCTCTTCGGGATTAACGGTTTTTCTAAACGATCAAAAATTAACGAAAAATATCTTAACCGAAAATCTACAAGGTTCACAGACCGAAATACGAAGTTGCATTATTGGTAAACATGATAAGGAAAACAAGAATTTTGCAAAGATATCGATAAGAACATTTACGTTTTGGTCTCATAGCGCAGACCATCCATGGGGTAAATAAGAAATTGAATAAAGTTTTCTTTAAATATAACACCTTTATTAATTGATTCCTCTTTTCTCTTCTTCCCTATAAATGTAGACAATAACATTTGGCTTTCTATAAGCTTAACAAAATTAACTGAATATTTTGCTTACTTTCCAATGTCTGGAGGAAAACGATGTCAGGACATGTGTAAGAACAACGACGCTTGTCTATCATTTAGTATAAGAGGCATCCACTGTTATCTATCAACTAAGACACGAACTCAGCTGACAGCCTTAACATCTAGTCAGACTAATAGCAATTTTGTCGAAAGACTATACCATTATTTACCAGATGAAAGTAAGTATATTACACTGTTTGTCGTATTAATTAATTACTAGAATTCATGTATTTTAATATGTTTTAATAGAATGCCAAAGTAAAACTGGATTCGTTGCTAAACTCTACGGTTCAAAATGTTTGCAATTCTCCCAATCAACTAAATCTTTTACCGAAGCCAAATCAAGTTGTGAGAGTTTAACTGGTAAACCTTATAAACTATTTAAGATAGACGATGAACAAATCTCTTGGTTTAACTCAAATGAAGACAGGTTTTTATAAATACAATTAAATTTTGATAAGAATAAATAATAATATATAAACATACGTTATATGTTTTTAGTTCACAGTCGACCTTTTTCACTGGTTATACTTTGGAAGATTACGATAAATTGACCTATAACAACTGGGCACCGAAGCAGCCAGACTATTTTAGACAGAATTCGGCCAATTGTGTACCGATTTTTGGAGGGAAAACTGCTTCCTGGTCAATGAACGATTGTAATAACAACGAAAAGTCATATTATATATGCTCCACTAATCGTAAGATTCAATTAATAACAAGATTGTTGATTATGAATATTCAATATAATAATAATGCCATTTTCCCTAATTATAGTGTATCCAATTAGCTACAAGGGTTGTTTTAGTGAGAGTCTCTTTTCAAATACTGTTATTGCGAGTATAAGCAATGTTACCGTGGAAAAGTGCGCCGAAGAATGTAAAACCCTACCAGAAATGCGTTACGCCCTTTTAAAAAATGGAAATATTTGTAAATGCCTAAAGTTTTTCGATATTACAACTATATATAATTCAAGACACTGTATGATACCTTGCGAAGGTGACATCGAACGTTATTGCGGTGGTCAATCGTCATTCGACGTCTATCAGATTGACTATACAACCTCCATTAGCGTTACTGGCGTAGACGATTTCAATGCGATTATCCTACCTTCAACGATACTGAAAACTGGACAAATTATATCCATAGAAATTAATACTGACGTAACTGATAAAGCAGGTTTCTATTTTAGTTTTTCGGATGGTACTAAGAAACCGTGGTCGTTGGTAAATAAGACAGAGCACGAATTTACATCACCAGGCGTCTATTACGTAGACGTCAGTGTCAAGAATGAACTAAGCTACTTGAACAAGACCTATACGATAATAGTTCAAGATGCTATCGAAAATCTCGAGATACAATCGGACGATAGGATAAAGTTTTCACAAGAATATTCTATAGATTTATCGTTTACGAAAGGAACAAATGTTACTTGTAAAATAACAGATGAAAAAGAGATAACTATTAACCGTTTTTTCCCTACTCATATCTCTCAAGAGAAAATAGTAATTCCTTTCTCAAAGGTCAATAATTATACTATGAATATTACCTGTTCCAATTTACTAAATGCTGTTTCAAAAGAAATAAGCGTTATTGTACAAGAAGAGATTAGAGATTTAACTTTAAGTGTGAAACCTGATAAGGCTCCATTTGGTAAAACTATACTTATTATTTGGAGTATTGGCAAAGGCACTCTCGTCTCCTTTGTAGGCCTATTAGATAATAAAATAGTGCCTATTGATTATGTTCATGGTCAATTATCTGGTAGTTATAAGACATCAACAACACCTATTGGCAATCATACATTTATGTTACAAGCTTCTAATCTTGTTTCTGGACCTTTAAATAAGACAGTTAAATTTCAAATAACGAATGGCATATCAGACATGAAATTAAGAGTTAATTCTCAAATAATAAGAACAGGGTATGAAACTATAGCAACAGTTTTTCTCTCAAAAGGTTCCTTGTTTACAACAAAGATATGGTACGGTGACGGTACAGTTGAAACTCATCAAACAAATGATGAAATACAAAATTTTGAGAGAGTTTTCAAATATAAATACAAACAACCAGGCGTTTATTTATTAGTTGTTCAAGTAACAAATGGTTTAAACTCATTTACTGAAAATTCAACAATTTACGTTCTCAACACCGTAAAATTCATTACAGTCGCCACTCAAAATGTTTCTGCTAGCGAGGAAGCTGTATTCTTTAATTTCCTATCCTATAAAAACAATCCAAAACCAACTAACGCAACTATGACAATAGATTTTGGAGATGGCGAAAAATTTAAGACTATTGATGTTAATAACATAATATTTCCCTATTACGAAAGATACCGATACCTAAGGGAAGGATTTTATCGACTTCAAGTAAACATAAGCAATAAATTAGATGACAATACTTTTACAAGAGATGTTCAAGTTGGTCACCAAATTAAAGGATTAACCTTAACTGCTCCAAAGACCACTGTTGCGACTAACGTACCATTAGTATTAACAGCCGATATGGTTAAGGGAACAAAGTGTCGTTATTCGTTTAGTTTTGGTGATGGAGAAAGTTATATTGACCAGAAATTAAGAACTGCGCCATTCGCTGAGAAATTCTTGTCTCATTCTTGGAAGAAGGAAGGATCATTCGATATTTTATTAAATGCTACAAACATGTTTGGACAAAAATCATCTAAATTAACAATTATTGTACAAGAACCTATTCTAGGCTTACAACTTACAAACAACGGACCACAAATTCCTGATAAACCAGTAAATTTTGTACTAACGATATCAGAAATTGGTACAAACAGCTGTTTTAAATGGGAATTTGGTGATGGTAAAGAATTTTTGTTCGGCTATCCACTTTGTCCAGATAAGAATTCAAACTCAAATTTCTTAGTTATTGAATCGTCTGTCTTGAAAATATCACATAATTATACAACTTCCGGTTTGTATAAAGCGACAGTAACTGGATGGAATAGCGTTTCAAATACTAAAGCTTCGTCGGAGGTAGCTATAGATAAAGTATTATGCAATATACCGGAAGTTGATTTGCAAAATACCGGTAAAATAATTAAAGAGGCTAATGAAGTTTACCGTTCCGAGATCGTACAGATAAGTTCTACTGTACAAATGCAGTGTAATCCACCGAAAAAAGCTGTAAATACTTGGTCTCTCTATCAAGTAAGCTTTTATTTTAATGGCACTGAAAAATTAACTAGAATTCAAATCCCACCTCAAATAAATCAAATGTCATTAAAATTGCCAAAACGATATTTAGCTTTGGGAATATATAAGGTAGTTGTTACCGTTAATCCCGAAGGTTTAAAAACTATATCTAAAGAAGCTTGCGGTTACTTTTTAATTGTATCTTCACCTCTACTACCAAATATGGAAGGAGGAAGCAGAAGAACAGCACCTAATAATAGAGATCTTTCATTAGATGCCTCTAAATCTTACGATCCAGATGTAGATAATCCAGCATTCTCAGAATTAAGCTATAACTGGTATTGTAGACTTGAACACGAAAAATTTGCTAGAGATTCAAATGAAAAGTTAATAGACACTGCGACACAAGCTGGTTCAGGTGGGTGCTTTGGCGATGGACCAGGAAAATTAACATATTCGACAGCCAAAGCCGTCGTAGATAACAGACTATTAAAATATGGTCATATTTATGTATTTAAACTTGTAATCTACAAAGATGATCGATTGGCCGAATATGATCAAACTGTTGAAATAATTGGCGGTCAAAATCAAAAATTATCAATAGAGTAAATAATTTACATAATTTACTTGATTAATTAATTAATATTCATTTTATATTCAATCAGATGTAAGTCGAATTGTATGAGAAAAGTGGATGCGAGTCAAAGTTTAAAAGTGATTGGAAAATGTGATTCGTGCGATATGGCTAAACAACATGCTTTAACTTATTCGTGGTCTCTATACGAACAAGAGGATAACACAGAAAAGTTTAATTTAGTTAAAGAATTTCAAGATCTAACGAATTCAGGTAAAATAAGGCATCAATTAATATTATACAATATTTGTGCAGTATATATGAAATGAAGACATTCACTGTATAAGCATATAGTATACGCGTAGTTAATCAAGTACAGTTAAAACAGAAGTTAGCAGAGAGATAGAGGGAGAGAGTGAGGATTTGCCAATTTTTTATCATACGATCGTATGAAGGATCAGCAGACAAATTCTTATGTAATATCCCGCAGATTTGAAGGATAAAAAAAAACTAGTTGAAACTATTAAATTTCTAATTTCAATAAGTTGGAAAAGTTACTTAAGTTGGCAAAAGGATGAGGAGGAGTAGGAAGAGGGGAACGACGACGAGAAGGTTTATTCTCCTCGCCCTCCCTGCAGCCGATATATTTAAGATATTCAAATCAATCATTTCATATTGTTTATTATAAAAGATAATATATTTATCACAATAATTCTCACCTTTATGGTTTAAACATCTGGGTTAAATAATTATAATAGGTCAATAAAAATTGTAACTAGATCATTCGTTTCGGCTTTTAAACTACTAACCCTCTTCTTTAATTATTCCTTTCGTCTTTCAAGGTTATAATATAAAATAATTGGCACAATCCCTGCCTTTATCACGTAAAATCCTTAACATCCTTCAAGGTTATTCATACTGAAATAATATTCATTTAATATCCTATTGTAATATCAAAAGGTAGTTTATATGGGAATTATATCTTTTTTCTTGAACAACCTTGACCCGTTTGCCAGTTTGAGTATGATTAATGATGACGGATTTGGATATGTAAATTTGGAGGAGAAGAACATAGTTTTTTCTTTCTAATTATCATGTTTTCTCCAATTTAATTCTATAATTAAAAGATCGAGAATGTCATTGATAGAATTCTAATGAAATATCTCATATTATACGTTCGCAGGTGTTACAAAGAGATTTCTAGTCCTTAAGGAAAACGTTCTGACCTTCGGTAAAAGTTATAGGTTAAGATTTGGAAATTTGGAGGCATATAGCGAATACGATTTTAGCGTTAATTACCCGCCTTATAACGGTCATTGTGCCAGTAATATTCCTATAGGTAATTTAAATGCAAAATATGCTGATGAAGCAACATTTTTTGATAATTTTTTATTCTATAAATGTTATGTTTGATAGGATTCGCTTTGGAAACATATTTTATCTTTAAATGTGAAAAATGGTTGGACGAAGGTCCCAGACAAAAACGAGATCCTATAATGGATGCGAAACAGCCGGTTACGTTGTCTTACATCTTCCAATATGCTGTTCGAGGTCGGGATACTACGCCTATACTGCTTTTTGAATATACAGGACCAAAGGTATAATTGCTAGCGTTCCTTTATTAATAAATTAATTACTAACTAATTTTATTGTTTAATGATAAATATGCTTTGTAACTAACTATAAATCTCTTAAACGATTAAAATGGTGATTGGTACTTGAAGCGCCAAGTGATGATGGATGTAACAATTTTTTGACATTTATATTATTACAGCTACTACTCTTATTTAACATAGTAGCTTCTTTGTAAACGCCCTCTTTTTTTTACTAATTGATCTATTAAACTATTAGTACTGTATACTTTCTCTTCAGCCTGAAACTAGAAAGATTCAAATGCCTCAAGGAGAAGAGATGCACGATAATCTTATCGATATTTTTGTTACAATAAGGGATAAGCAGAACACAGCCGCTCAAGTACAATTTAAGATACAAGTTCTTCCGAGTAGAAGAACTGCTAAAGAAATACAAAATTCTACCGCATTGGAGAAACTCGAAGCCGACGGAGATCTCGTCGGAGTGTTTAGATTCTACGGTCAAATATCTGAACTTCGAACCAAGGTTAGCCTATTTTTTTATATTTTACTATTTGTAATAGATAGTTAACCACGGTTATAAAGATACGCAGAGATTGTTATATGTTATCTTACCCTATAAAAAATATTTAGACGCCATTTTTGTTATCACAAAGCTAATTGAAACAATCCAAAAAAAGAAGAAAAGTAACTTTACTTCCGATAAAGATACTAAAAGAAAAAAACATTATTTTTATAAGAAACTTTACTCTTCTAACTTAAAATGAATTGCTAAGAAGATAAGCAAATCTTTTTCATTTAGCCTTAGGGGTTATTGCGAATGTTTCGTTTTCCTCTTCGTCTTTTTATAGCAACCACCCCCTCCCCTCTATTCTGTTTCTCTCCATCCTCCTTCTAAAAATAACACAGAACGTATCCATAGAGAAATAATAAGTAATTAATAACTTTGAAATATAAAAATCCATCATAGTCTATATTTAAAAAATTGATCAAAAGTAAACAAAGAAAGTAAAGATAAAAACATTCTTTTCTCCAATCTTTTTGTCTTGATTTAAGTCTTTAAGAAAAGCTAAAAAAGAGAAGAAAAACTAAGAAAAAAACTAAAAACAGACATGTTAATAATCAATAGAATATCTATTCTTTTAACTTATTTTATTATCTATGGAATTGCGTCTGTTGAATTGGAATCTGTAAATTCGACTATAGAGAATTTAGAGAATGGAAATGAGCGAACGAAATCAATTAATAAGCATGGAATAATTCCAAATGATAATCCACTATTAGATAGTAATAATAATAATACTAGAAAAGTTGGAGTAGGACTAGAATATTCAAAAGATTTAAACAGTAGTTTAGTTTCAAAAAGAACATTTCGAGAAAAGGTTGGAGCGCATAAAGCTATTCTAGATACGAATAACGAATCTAATTTATCAAATAGTTGTAACCAGGTTCTAATTATTCAATTATCTCTATGGTTTTATCTAATTACCATAAATATGATTATTAATTATTAAACAAAATGAAAAGATTACTGTAAGATAAATAAAACAAAGAACAAGTAAAACTTTATCCATCCTTTTTTGAAAGTAACGTTAGTATTCCTTTAAATAACTGTTACTCGGATGCGGTTCGACCGAATTACAAAGTACACAAAAACTGTTTAACCTCTTTCGCTAACCCCATTGGAAAATTTTTGGTTAATAGAAGACCAAAACAACCTAATTAACAGTACACTTGTCCTGAACTCTTTCTTTTCTTTTTCAATTCTCTGTTGTTTCCAATTTATTTACGTAAATAACAGTGAAATTTGAACTAATTTTGGGACTGTTAACTAGACTTTTTGCGCCCTTTACCATCTGCTTAGAATTTTCCCTTTTCTCCATCGTTCTCTCTGCTTCATTTTACAATTAGATAGTAATATACATAGACAATAAAGTTGAAGAAACGGGTAATAAGATACAAAACTTAAGCATGAGTACATTTCTCTTTGTTATTCTCTATCATATTTAAAAAAAAGAGTGTTAAATAAATATACTATTTCTACTAGTGATTATGTACAATGTACATGCTTTATACAAATATGCAAATTAGCTATTTTTAATATGTTAATTACTGTATAAAGTGAACATAATGTTTTATAATCTACTTATCATATAGTGAAAAAAAAAGAGAGAGGAATGTTATCAAGTGGTTTTCCAAGTGCAAACTTTACGTGCTATCAATAAACTTTATCAGCCTAGTTTACTTCTCTCACCTCCCTTCACCCCTCCACAAAAAAATTCGATATATTGTTATGGCCTTTACTAGGCTTATTATTTAAAACAGGCGTAGTGTTTTCTTGTAATATTAATAACAAGAATAAATAAACAGGAGCTTATGATTTTAGTTTGATAATACTAAATAAATTTATAAAAGAGATAATACTATTAATGAAGGAATAGCTTATTATAAACCAACTGCGGATTATATTCTACAGACATTGATAATTAGATGAGAGTCTAAAGAGAAGGTACTATATTGACCTTACAGGTCATTATGTTGTTCCTTATTGTTTGTATCCTTTGGTGCTTGCTCTCATTTCACTATAGACTTGTATATGTTCCAAGTATAAAGTTTTCGTCCTGTATTACGGGACTTTGTTTTTTTACTTTCCGTTTTCACTCAATAAGCAATAAGAGGGAATTGTTAAATTATAGATAAGCCTATTTGGTTGAAATGATATAAAGGCAAAACACGTTAACAAGTAATTTTTCAAGTCTAAAACACTTTTTTCCTTAGATGATTAATAGATTAAAAGATAAATGGATATATAGACGGATTGAAAGATAGATAGACAGAGATAAACAAATTCAATATACATATATGTATATATATTAAAGCCTATTAATATTCAAAGAAAGACAGAGAGAGAGAGAGAGAGAGAGAGAGATACGAATGATACAAAGCTAGAGACCAAGACGATGAGAGGGTAAAGTTTATTTAATAGCTAATTGATTTGTCGTCTTATTTTTCGCTTGCTTCTTTTTCTTGTTTAAAGTTTCTTAAGTGTAAAAAAAAAAGAAAACAAAATCTGATAGTTTGCTAAGAAGAGATTGGAGTAGGGTAGGATATATTGATGTTAGAAGGAGAAAAATTCTCTTTCGGGAAGCACTATAACGGATCTCCTCTAGTAGGCTTAATGATAATGTTTTAATTAAATTCTCCTTTTTATCTTGTTTAATTTCAAATATAATATTACATATATATATTATATTTTTTAACTGTTTTTTTTAAACTTTATAATACTGTTCTTCTCTCTCTCTCTCTCTCTCTCTCTTATTTCTTGTAGATTTACGATAATTCTAAATAGACAAGAAAAATTAAACTTTATAATAAAACCATTCATATCTTGCCTTCAATAGGCCTAATTTTCAATTTATTGCTCTTTGATTACTCTTTATTTAATTTCCTGCACTTGAACCATCTCTATCATCTTCATCACCTCCTTAAGATTTGTTTTGCCTTTTAAAAATCCTAGACTAAACAACTACGTAAGAGTAATATATTAGAAATAAAGTTTGTAATTTCTCTTCGGAAAACAATAGAATAAAGCCTTTATAATAGATTTAAATAAATTGTAGTAGAAGTTTTATTTGTAGTTGTAGTTGTCTTAAATTTACTAGTAGTATTGGAAAATGTATAGATGGAGAAGAACTATGAAAGACTGGATAAGTGGAAGAAAGGGGCAGCAGGAGCCAGACAAAGAAAAAAAAAGTTATTTTTTTATATATAAGTAAATAATCAGTACATTAATGTCAAAGAGTTCATTATTTTTTATACGCAATAAGGGATATCCTTACCGAAAATTTAGCCTATAGAACGCTCCAAAAACCTGTCTCTTTTTTCACCTATATGTATAAATTTTTATATATATTTATATATACATACAGTCCATATATTAAGAAAGGTAAATTATCACTTAAACTTTTATCAAGTACAATATTCATACAAAATTTTATTACGAAAAGGAAATTTAAAAAATAAATAAAACTTAAGCCATTAAATTATTAAATATGAAATACGTATAGTGTACATATACAGTATATATATATACATTATATATATATATATATATATATATATATATATATATATATAGTTATCAATAAATGCAAAATATATTAGTACTTATATACATAATATATATATATATATATATATATATTACCGTATAAATATAAAAAAAGGCAGGAAGCAGGTTCAACCTGAGATATACTATTGTCCATAAATTGCTACGAAAACAAAGAGTAGAACACTTGTAATGCTCCAACAAATTTGGCTACTTCCGCTATCGGTCGAGTGATTTTCGGCATTCCCTCCAGAACCAAATTCTTTCTTGGGCCTTGTAAGCTTTTTTACTTTCGAGACGGTTGTTGGTTCAACTTCTTCATCTTCGTCTTCTTTGTCCTCCACTTCATCTACTCTCTTTACCTTTTCATGCTTTACGTCATGTTCGTCATGATCGTCGTCATCTTTTTCGCCCTTTGTATGTATTTCAGACGCGTCCGGCTCAAAAGTAGTCATTTGAACTTCACCAGAACCTTCTCCGATAGCTAATCCATTTTCCATTTTATTCTCCGACTTGGTTAAAGTAATAAGAAGAACTGCCGAAAGTAGCAACAACAGTTTAGCGAATTCCATAGTAGTAGTTTTAGTATGTTTCTGCCAGTAAATCTTAAAATAATTCTATAAATGTTTATCGCTTGCTTTTGGCCGTTCTCTTTCCCTTTGAAAAGTTTTTCGCTTAGAGTTTTTCACTCTCGACCAGGCGGCAATTTGATAACGTTTCAAGCGCTAAGCTGTCTGATAGAAATGTGCGGATGCTAACCGTTTTTATGCCGAGTCTAGATGCCTCCCTCTCTAAATTTCTTTTTTCTAAAATTACACTAAACTTACGGATTTTCCCCCTTAATGACGTACATACCTATATGTTTATTGGTTAATTCAAACTCCGCCTGTAATTTATTCACAAAAGAAAGCCTAACTGATATAAAAAAAGGAAAATTTATTACCGTCAATTGTTTTTCAGTACAATTAAACCTATTTACAATTGTGAAATATTCTCCTTTCTCCCGACGTTTAATCTTAAGAGTTTACATATCGTTTACTCATACTTCAATAGCACATTGACCTTTAAGCTTTGTCTAATTGGTTTGTCTGTTGACGAGTTATTAATAATTTCTATATATTAGTTTATATAAATACTGTATATCCATATACATTTTAACATTTCAATTTTCTCACGTACGAAAGACTACGAACAAGTTAATATTCTTTTAATTTGATATTTTATATTTTTTTGTTTGTAATTACTATCAATGATAAAAAAATGTTCCCTATTGATTTATCCTCTTCGGTAATCATCTACCATTTCTAACTATAGTAAGATTATCCCCGATGTTACGTAATATCTCTTTTTTTCGTTATTAAAACAAGATTCAGTCTGGCATTTGGATAGATTTTTTTTTAGTTTTTAAATAATTAAGTATTAAAGATACCCCGATAAACTAAAATTGTCTTTGTTCTTAAGAAAATCAGGCTGGAGAGGAGGGGTCAAGGCTGTTTGTTCACTTTGTAAAAGACTTTACAGATATGATTATATTGTTTTATTTAGTCTGATTTTTTGTATTTATATATTATAGGAGAATCAAGGTAAAAAGGTTAGCGCCGAAGATGAAAAAGAGGCTGAAGAGGTGAATTTCTTATATTAAAATATAAATCCTTTTTATTTCCTTCTCATAAACAAAACAAATATGATTAGATAACGACAAGAGCATTGAAAGCTGTTGAAGAAAATGTTGATAAACTATTATCATTCCCCGAAAGGTTATTAGCATCACAAACAACCGAAAAGCTATTAAACTCAAACGCAAAGATTGGCAACGATACCAAAGTTTGTAATAATAATATATAAGCAATACTTTTAATTGACTGATTGATTTGATGATTGATTAGTCGATTTTATAGGTAAACTATTTATTTAACGATAATTAATCTTTTTAAGGAAAAAGCAGCCGATGCATTATTTAAAATTTTATCGAATGAAGATAACGATCTAACATCTGAAAGTGTTGATTCCAAGCAATTACAGGATATGTCCAAATGTTTGTATTATTATTATTATTATTATTATTATTATTATTATTATTATTATTACTGCCTAACTGTATTGATGAACTATCTTTATCTTCTAACATTAATAATATCAGCCAGAGAACTATAAACTTTTACTAGTTACAGGACTTTCGCACTTTGTATAGTCGCGTGCTTACGTCGTGCGATTTTTACCAGAAAGACTGGGAATTTAAAAAAAGAAAGGCCTATACTTTTCCACATTTCTTTTCTTTCCTTTTGTAAACCTTATACGTACATGTCATAAAAAATCTCTTATACAAAACTCTATACTTTATTAGTAAACTTTTAATCGAATTCTATTCATAAGTTATTATAATTAAATTCCTAGTAGCGTTTCACTTGTTACTCATCGCGAATAATTAATAGATTAATATAATAATACTATACATTCTATGTATATTGTATGTAATTTCTTATAAATACTATAGATGTAATAAACAAGTATTTTCTTTATTTGTAGCCTGTTTAACGAGTTCAATTTCGTTAACGGAGGGGTCAAAGGGTGTAGCTGCTTGCCCAGAACCTATTCTTGACTTTGGAGATGTTTCGCCAAAAGTCTATGCAAGACTTAAGAAAGAAGCCGTTGAAAAAGCCGAAAGAGACTGTAAAGAACAGAGAATAGAGGTTGTATATACAGTATACATTTCTGAAGTTTATTTTATATTAAACGAGTTATTTCTTAACTTTTAAAGGCTTCAAAATTACATTTAAAACTAAGAAAACTAAATAAAAAAGTTAGGAAATTGGCATTAAAAAAGACAATTCAGGGAGAGGGAATGACTCATTCTGTTGGCGATAAAAAGGTTTGTATCATTTTCTATAAAAACCAAGTAATATATCGTAGTTTATAATTGAAAAACATTTATGACAATAAATAAAAAGGTTTGTAGGGAAAAGGAACAATGTACCTTAAAAACTGTTAGTAAACAATGTCCCTTGTATATTATTTTTACAAAATTTGATCTCTCCATTTTCCTTTTACTTTACTTTTCTTACATGAAAAACATATCTAATTTTTTACATGTTCATATTTTATATTAATAGATTTCTATGACTAAATTTGATCCTCTCGACGTGTCTAAAGAATCTTTGAAAAGCGATAAAGGTAGCTTCAAAATACCATCTTCGGTCAGAAGTAAATTTTCTCAACTTGACCAAATTGAAGTTGAAGTGAGTGCATAAACAATAAACAACTAAACCAACCCTATAATAATATAATTAACCATCTAGATTACGTCGCGAAACGATAATCCATATGCCTATGATGATTCAGCACAAAAGGTCAATTCGTCCTTGACCTCTCTATCTTTCAGCCGCGGAGACGATGATATATCAATTACGAATGAGAATGAACCAATAGAGATTTCTGTTCGAAAAGACGATGCAACATTACCAGAAAGTGTAGTGGTAGGTTAAAGAAAGAGAAAAGAGCATTTCACAAATATAATTAATATTCAATTTTGTTAAAGGTATCCTTTAAGAACGGTTCCAATCCTCAAAATCTTTATCTTCATAAATTCGATGTAACCGACCCTAACGCTGCAATAATAATTTTTATACAAGAAAACGATCCATTACAAGAATTAAACTATTATATCAATTTTGATCAAGTTGTTAACGTATCGAATGCTTTAATAACTGGTCAAATTCCAAATAGAGATGAAAGTGAAGAAAACTCTTGGAGAATCTTCATAAATCCAATTGAACATTTGAATAATGAAACTTTAATTAATTCATCACTTTCAATTGGTTTTAAACCTGTCAGTAAGTTATATTTAGTTATTTTTTCAACTTTAAATTAGAGTATTATTTACAAATCTCTCTCTCTATCTATCTATCTTTTATATCATTCTTCATCTCTACTTAAAGCTCTGTAAATTATAGAAAAAAAAGCATTAGGTTAACAACCTAACAATAGGCAATTTACATATACTATATATATATATATGTATGTGTGTATGACATAGTAAAACAATCATCAGTATCCAAGTTAGAAATTAATACACAGTATTATGTAATGATACGTAATTAAGAGACTTATAGATTGATATGGTCGACGAAAAGACATTTAAACTTTGTACTTTTACCGAAAGTATACAATACAGTATACTATAAATATACGTATATATAAAAGAAAACAATTGTAATTAACAAAAACATATAACTAGGATGCACCGTAGAGATATATTTATACATTGAATGTATAAACAAGTAACTATTGTTTCAATTAGAAGAGTACCAATTATCTTTTATTACATAATCTCTCTTTCTCTCTCTCTCTTTTAACTTAATTCAAATTTCTCTGTTGATTATAGAAAAATATTTTTTGCTCCATTTTTCAGACGATACAACAACAAAACTTACATTTAATATTACAAGTTATAGTTCAGCATGTGTATTCTTTGACGAAGATAAGGAATCTTGGTCATCGGAGGGTTGTAAAGTTTCAAGTAAAACTCAATTGAACGAAACTGTTTGCCTTTGTAATCATTTAACATTATTCTCAACTTCCTGGTTCGTTCCACCCAATACGATTGATTTTAGTACCGTCTTCGATAATTTTGGAGCTAAACTATTAGAAAATATACACGTTTTCGTAACAATTATTATACTAATTGTTATATATTTCATATTAGTTGTGATTCTAAGACGTTACGACAAATTAGATATAATTAAGGTAAAATCTATTCGTATACTATTTAAAAGTTGACAAACAATCAAAGTTATTCCATTATTACTGTTTTTATTTATATTAGTGGGGTGTCAGTCCGTTGAAAGACAACACTGCTACGGATCTATATCATTATCAATTATCAGTTCATACTGGTATGAGGAAGAATGGAGGAACTGACTCTTCGGTCTTCTTTGTACTTGGTGGCGACGATAGTGACACCGAAGTTAGAAAATTGGAAGGAGTAGCAGATAAGGTTCCGTATTTGTTACTCATATCTACTTTTCTTATTTCTAAGACATTTTTTTTAAAATAGAAATTGGCTAGAGGTTCAATAAATAATTACCTATTGAGCGTCCCAGACAAGCTTGGAAATCTACTTTATCTAAGAATTTGGCACGATAATTCGGGTGAAGGAGATAACGCTAGTTGGTATTTGGATCATATAACTATACAAGATGTTCAAACGAAAGAAAAGTCGGATATTTTTTACATTAATTAAATAATTATATTTTATATTTTGTTTTTTAATAAAAAAAAATATTTCCTTATTATTTTAAAGGTATGTATTTATATGCGATCAATGGCTAGCTGTTGATACTGGAGATGGGCAAATTGAGCGATTATTACCCGCAGCATCCAGAGAAGAATTAGCCAACTTTCAGTATCTCTTTTATTCATCTACTAAAAAAGATATGACTGATGGTTACTTATGGTTCTCACTTGTATCAAGGCCAACTAGGTCGAGATTTACTAGGGTACAACGTTTAAGCTGTTGTCTGGCACTCCTTTTCGCAACAATGATAGCCAATGCCATGTGGTAAGTAAAAATTTTCCTTTTCTTCAATACTCGACTAAAGAGTCTGAACATGTTAACGCCATCTATCTATCATTCTTTAAACGTATTTTTCTCTTTTGAAAGGTACAAGACGGATAATAACGAAAGTAATGATAAATCCGTTCAAGTTGTAACGTTGGGACCATTCAGATTTACACCTCAACAAATATTCATATCAATCTCTTCTTCTTTAGTATCTATACCAATATCACTATTAATAGTAACGCTGTTTAGAAAGGTAATTCAGCCTAATTTCCGTAAATGTATTATTAATTTATTCCACGAAAATAGAGTGGACCTAAGCCCAAGAAAAGAAATCCTACCAACGATAGACATAATGCGGAAAATCCCATTTCCCTAAACAACTCTCAAGTTTATGAAATGAAGGTAAACTTGTTTTCTTTTTTTGTGATTAATCTATTAAAAGTAATAACCAAAATCATGTGTTTACAGAAAACCGATGAAATAACTACGTCCAAATCATCCATATCGAATGATAGAAAGAAAAAGAAAAAGAAACCATTCTTACTACCTTGGTGGTTTATCTATATAAGTTGGATATTGGTATTTATTACAGTAGCTGCTTCTGGATTTTTTACTCTACTGTATAGCTTTGAATGGGGTAGAGAAAAGTCTAGCGAATGGTTAACGGCTTTCCTTCTCTCATTCTTCCAATCTGCTCTCATTATTCAACCTTTTAAAGTTATTATTTTAGCTGTTACATTATCAGCTATTTTCCGAAAGCCTAAAGACGAAGATGAAGATGAAGGTGAAAATGATTTGGAAGAGGATGAAATATTAAACGTTTCAACAAAGAATTCGTACCAACGCTACGGTGTTTCAAGTAAATCTTAATTATATGAAATTCATTTGAATAGATTAACCTATTCAATATAATATTATATAATATACTGTAGAAATAGTATAATAGACAATTTTTGGACATTTTTAAGGATTTATCAACAACTTTCTCTAATTAGTTACCCGTATGTAAATTTCTAGCAAATGCAATTAATCTTGGTAAACAAGTCAATATTTAGAAAATCAGACGAATAAGTTATTTTAATATACAAAAAAAACAAGTCTTTTCTTTTACAGAGCATAGAGTGCCCTACGAAAACTCAGCTGTAAGACACGATGAATCTAGATTAAAGGAAATGAAGGAAACTAGAGAAAAAGAACTTAAAATGTTTAGTATACTCAAAGAAATTTTGGCCTATCTGTTCTATTTAGCCGTTGTTTGTACACTTGGATACGATAATAAGGATACAAGATCATTCCTTTATAAGGATCAAATTCATCAAACATTCGTAGAAGGAATTGGAAAATTTGGAGCGGTATGTTTTATAATATATACAATAAATTCTCTTATTTAAATATATATATATATATATATATACTGTATAATCTCATTAATCTCCTCAAAAAAGATAAGAAATTTCGATCACTTCTTCAAATGGACGAATACTACTTTAATACCCGAATTATATTCGAAGCAAGAATACAACGGCGATCCTGTTCATTGGAGGATTGAATATTTCTTAAATGATGGAGTAAACTATAGAGTAGGATCACCAAGATTGAGACAGGCTAGAGTCGTTAAAAGTAATTGATACATCAACAGATAAATTATCTATATACTGTAATAATCATTAATGTATTGTTTTTACGTTTATTCAATTAGACGATTGTTCAATACCCAGTCCAGTTGAGGCTTTGATAAAAACCTGTTATCCAAGCTATTCAGCTACCAAACACGACGATGCAGCTTATTATCCCCAGTGGGTAAAGGCTCCTAATTCTTCGGCGGTTGATAAAGATTCACCGTGGAATTATAAAGGAACACTCGAATTAGACGGTCTACCCTACTTTGGAGTGTATTCTGTGTATTCTGGAGGAGGTTTCGTTGCTAGTTTTGGCGATGAAATAGAACAAGCTATTAGTACAGTTGAAACTTTAAAATCAGATGGGTGGATTGATAGGGGAAGCAGAGCAATTTTTGTCGAATTTAACGTTCATAACCCGAGTGTAAATCTTTTTTCGGCTGTTAGTTTGGTCCTCGAAATTCCAACGATAGGTTCAATGACTCCAACTGCAGTTATTAAAACCCTTAGATTGTACAATTACGTTGGTCAAAGAGCCCTGTTCAGATTAATACTTGAAATAATATTCGCCTGTTTCCTCCTCTATTTTCTAGTGGTAGAAGGTAAAAAGGTAAGAATATCTATATAATTCATTGAATATTTATTATAATCATAAAAAAACAACACTAGCTAAAGAAAATGAAACGCTCCTATTTTACATCCTTTTGGAGTATTTTGGAAATATTAAATTTAATTGGATCCGTGACGGCAATAGTCCTATATGCCCTTCACTATACCTTCACTCGATTGACTATAAAAAAATTCCAAGAGAACAAAAGTAATAGATTTTCATAATATATAAATAAACGAATGAATTAATTAATTATTAAATCATTACAGAGAAATTCATTACTTTTGATTATGTCGTTAGTTGGGATGAAGCTTTTACTTATTGTCTAGCTTTTATTGTCTTTATTGCTTCCATTAAATTCTTGAAATTGCTAAGATTCAATAGAAAGGTTTAATTAATCTATTTATTTTCTCTTTATTCAAAAAAGAATTGAACATGACTATTTTTTTTTTTTAAAAAAAGGTTACTGAACTAATATCAACTTTATCTGTTGCAACTAAACCGCTATTATCTTTCTTTGTCTTCTTTATTGTGATTTTCTTATCTTATGCCCAATTTTGTTATTTAATTTTTGGACAAAAATTAAAAGACTATTCAACTTTTATCACAACAATGGAAACTTTATTTTCAATGATGCTTATGGAATTTGACTTTGAAGGATTGAATTCAGCCAATAAAATAATGGGACCATTCTTCTTTATTTCTTATATAATCGTTCTCGTATTCGTTGTTATGAATATGCTAATAACTATTCTGAACGAGAGTTTCTATACGTAACTATAACAATTGATTCAGTTTATTAATACTATTACCTATTATTGTTCACAGAGTTAAATCTTATTCATTGGAAACTTGTACCGATTATCAAATGGTTGACTTCATGATTGGTCAATTTAAGAAATTGATTGGTTACGATAATTGGTCGATGCCCAGTAAATATTTATTATTTATTATGAAATTGTTAATTGAATAATGTTTTCTTTATAAAGCGATAACAAAGAAGAAAAAAGCTAAACCAACAACAACTATGTCGGTTCAATGTGATTTTGACGATTTGGGAAAAATATCAACTGTCTCTAATTCTGGATATGATTGGTGGACAAATGACCAATCGAATAATTTTAATCGTTATCAGCATTTTTAAAAATTGAACAAGAGGGGAAAGAAGAAATGAAAATTCACTTGCAAAGACTATAATCTATCTTTTTATCTATATCTGAATGAAAATTTAATCACTGCTACTAGCACTTAAGTGTCTTTTGCTATTTTTATCTATCGTTTCCCTTTTTAAACCAAACATACTCACTTACTGTTTTTTTTCCACTGCAAAATGAAACGAAACAAAAAAATAATAACTAACGAACTGCAAAATACATTGCAGAGAATATATTAGTAATATTATCTATATAAACAGATATATTCACTATATACAGTATAATGTAGATTGTTCTAGATATATTCTGTAGAATCTTCTAGAAAGGTTAGAGAATATTAAAAGAAAACAAACAAACAAGACTTGTTCTTTCATTTATAATAATTTTTATTAAAATTTAAATCTTTCAACATTTCTTCAAAAAAGAAAAAAAGAATCTCAAACCAAAAAAACCCAAAATTAAAGGTAAGATGACCTACTTAACTAAGGATACATTATAAAAAAGAAACAATTATTTTCTTTTTACTGTCTTTTTCTTTCTTTCTTTCGTTTTTGAATTGTTTTTATAAATGAACGTTCAAAATATCTCTTTGAATTTGATAATGTTGAAGTATTTTAAGATTTCCAGAAATTTGGATCATTATCAATCTTTCTTAGGAAATTTTTATACCACCCTTGCAGAGCTGACATTGGGACAAAGGTCTCTGATGCTGCAAAGTGTATTTGCTCCCTTTTAATACTAAAAGAGGAAATATAGTTAAATAAGTTCTCGCACATCTTGAACGAGAATTCTTGAAAATTCGCTAAGTTTGATGGAACTGTATTACTAGCCGGAGTTTGATTATATATTTCTGCTGCACTTTCAATTGCTATACCAAGTTGAGCACAGGTTGACGACATAGCAACAGAATTCATCCCATTACCCGATTCTTTCGGTTTTACGCCGCTTATTTTAAACATTGCACTCGGCTTCTCATTGGTTACGTGTCCCAACAAAGTCCAACTTTGCTCGGAACCACTACCAGGCCAGCTAAGATAGATGGCTGCTCCGTAATTGTCAGGTATTGGTGTTTGTCCGGTCAAAAATACGACAATGTGATGAACATTCTCGTGGTCAGGAATATTGCAGACTATTTGATTTTCAGATATTTGGACAAGTTCAGTTTGAACCATTTTACCTGGAACAATTACTCCAAACATCTCTCTGTTTATTTGGGTTAAGCTAATGATATAAGTGTTGGAAAAGTCACTTGCGGGGAAAAGACTATAGCGATAATACAATAGTTTTAAGTATAAAAGTTGTTTTCGTATTAAATAAGTTCGCAAATTTTCCAAGTTCAGCCCCTGCTCTCTCCCCTAGACAATACCTAAATGTCGGTGAGTAGTTTTACAGCTGAAATACTACTCAATTACATAAACAGAGCGATCAATAGTGCAACATAATGAAATTGTAAACTGGTATAATTTTCAAGTGATAAGGCGGGAAAGACTTTTTTGTTGTCTACAATAAAGATCAGTAAGTCGTAGTCCTAAATAAATGTTATTTATCTTTTCTTTTACATTTATTGCAAACATCCGTTAAATTTCAATTTATTAGTAAAGACAGCTGAGCAAACAATTTTTCACCTTCTGCACTAGAAAGACCTAGTTATTATTTTGTATACGTGGAAGAACTAGATAATAATTGATTATAGTAGACGTATAGGACTGATTGATTTTAATAATAGAACGAAAGTAGCACAGTTACTAAACTTGTAGAATCAAGAATCATAAAGAATAAACAACAAAGTGTATTCGTAAGGTCGTTTTAAGAAAAGTAAGAGTTAAGGGGCAGAGAGAGAGAAACGTCCTGCGGATAGAAAGAAAGTACATATTAAATTGATGCTTGTAAACAATAAACAAACACACAGAATTTTGACCAGCAAAATCGTTCGCTTTTACAATGACCCTCTTTAAAATGAAGTAAAAGAAGGATAAATGAAATTATCAGACTGATTACTATTTCTTCTCCTTTTCCCAAAGTTGAAAAAATGATGTGTTGGCAAGTTCATAGTTTAAAAATCACGAGACGTATATCTAACATAAAATATAGGCTTATAAAAATTATCTTATTTTTTTATTATCAATAGGATTACTTACTGTTCAAATTCCAATTTCAATCGGCCTTTAGCTTTAATGTAGGACAATTTGTTTTCTTTTTGAGTATCAGACTTGTTTAGTTTTACATTGAAGAAAATTTTGCTATTTTCTAAACCCTCCCCTTTTAAAGGACTGAAGGGTTAAAAATGGCTTTAGAAATCATAGGAAAGAAGACCGTGACGAATCCAACGAACAATGAGGTTAGACGAAATACTTAAATCCTTTGATATTAATTAATTAAACTATTAATTACGGGTGATATAATCAATATTTAGGTCGTTCAACTGGAAGACTTGTGGAAAGAAAGGAACGTAGTAATATACTTTTTAAGGAGATTTGGATGATCTCTTTGCAGATTATATATTAAACAGGTACGGTATGAAACTAACTATTGGACTGTATTGTAAAATGCTTTGCTGTATTCTTTTTGGTAGTTATCGGAAGTTGCAAACATTTTAAAAGAGCATAATACAACATTTGTTGTCGTTGGCGTAAGAGAAGCTGAAAGTAGTTTTAAAAGCTTTGTGGATGGGAAATATTTGGATGGAGGTAATAAACTATTAATTGTTCTAGAAGCTCTTTAACTATTGGGCACTACATCAGAATGTTAAATACTAAAATCTCTTTCTTTCAGAGGTATATACAGCTCATAGGAGACTCTATAGAGAAATTGGACTTAAAAGATATTCTCTTAAGGAAATTGGTTGGTATATGTGTACAATGTTCTGTAGAAAAGCGTCTCTTTCCAAAATGGTGAATATTATGAGAAAAAATATTTCCGGTGATTTAAGAGGCGATGGTCTTCGACTTGGTGGAACATTCGTGGTCAAAGACGGCCATTTAGCTTATAGTCACGTAATGGAAGCCCCTGACGATCATCCAGATGTCGCTACAATATTGAAAGCCCTTGAAATTCAAACTGCCACTAGCCAAAAAACAATTACACAACAGCCGAAAGTTATCTGTGATGAAGATGTTTGCAAACCGATATATTAAATAATATATAGATAAAGTGTATATAATGTAAACAGTATCGAAACTCGTTTTCACTTAGGTTGAATATTAATGACGTTAAAATGGATAAACCATTTATGGATCCATTTAACTGATATATATATACGTTTTTAACTGATATTGTAAACGATTCATGCTGTTAGAAGTAATTAACAAATAAAATTTTTAATAATACACTCAATGAGAAATAATCCAATTCTTTATCAGATATTCATTATATTCATTTTTCTTCCATATCTTAAGAATATGAAAGATTTTCCATTACATAACGTTGGGAATAGATAAGGCTATTTTAGTGGGGAAAAAGAAAACAGAATAGCTCTTTAGTCTAGCCGTTCCTTTTTTTTTGTCACCGATTGTAGAAGTCGTGTAATTACTTATCTGTCTACACTTTCTTATCAATTCTGTTTTTTAGAGTTTTCTCTTTATCTTTAAATTTATCTTTCATAGAAAACCGTGGTGTCAAGTTAAATATTTCTAGTAAAGTTGTTAATACTTAAACGATATTCTTTAGAAGGATTAGTAATAATCAGAATCTTTAAGGTTATCAATTCGACCTTTGTTAGTTTTTCTATCACTCTTTCCTTATCCTTTTAATTATTATTAATTTATTAATTGAATAAAGCTAATGTAAGACATGAACATTATAAACTTCTAGATAAACAGACAGATAGATAGATTGGGATATACACGTTGTAAATTTACTATATTTACATTTCTATTAATATATAATGATGCTAAGTTGAAGGGAGATTAAAAAGGAAAATTAAGCTAAATAATGTTAAATAGATAACTCATATTAATTTATTAATTGATAATTTCACTAGACTCTATAACTATTAGCCTAGAAAGAGGAACTTTAAACAAGCTGTTAAGAGTTGTCGACTTTTCTCCGTTGAAGGTAACAAATAAGGGTTGCAGTATTGATTTTTTTCCCCCCTGACTTTCTTCTGCAATTTTATCAACACCGCTTTATTTTATTATTATTATCAAATTTCCAATCTTAGTTTACAAAACATGATTTAAACTAGATTTAAACCCGGCTTAATATTGGATTAGCTTTGAGAAATACTATATTGAATGAGGATACTATTTTAAGTAAAAATTAGAAAAAAACATAGCCAATTAGCAACCCTGTCATTTAGTAAGTGCATAGCTATTGACTAATAATAAAGTTAATAGTCTTTCAGCAATTTCTCCTTTTCTTTTTTTTTTGCTTCAAAAGAGAAAGAATAACAGTATTATTACAAGTGATTTCAATGGCGTCCTTACTAACCCTAACCCTAACCTTCCTAAGCCTGCAATACATGTTTGCATGTATTTTCTAAGATAGCGAATTGTGTTTATTCGCGTATTATCTATAATAATTAGTAAAACTTATAAGATATATTTACACTAGTATATAGTATGCATGCTATTTACATAGTATACATGCATAGTACATTTATATTACAATAATCTTATTCATAAGCAGTTGACCTTTTCCACGTATCCAATTCTTTTTTTTGTTAACCGGGTCAAAATATTTCATAACGAGAATCAATAGGATTTTTTTAGTCCTATGTGAAATACATAGAGAGCAATTATATGCCAAAAAAAGCATTAGACTGGCTGTATCTCAACATTCGTTTCGGATCCTAAAGAGTTATCAGATAAGATAAGAATCCACACTTTATAAGTAGCAGACGCCATTTTCTCTACCCATTTCTTTTTTAATTGTTGTCCGGTTTAGGAAAGAACTAAAAAAACTAACTTAATCATGTCTTTCTCTGGTATGTGGAAATTGGTTGAAAGCGATAAATTCGATGATTATATGAAGGCAATCGGTTTGTATTTTTTATATACAATTTGCTTTTTTTCGTTTATAAAGAAAGAGAAAAAAGCATCATTTTCTATTAGAAATCGACTAATCTTCGTTTTTGATCGATATAAGTACGTTTATATAAAGAATATATATATATATAAATTTATATATATGGAATATAAGTGTCTATATTTGATTCAAGAGCTTAAATGGAGCAAACGCTGGTTGTATCCTATTGTAGGACTAAAACACTATAAAAGTATCTTATTACATGCTTTAAACAATTGTTAGCAAGCTATTTCTTTCCAAGTCTTATCGCTATTTATATCATTATCGCTGTTTTCGTAGTTGTAAACTCTCTTTTGAATGAAATTATAAAAGAGTATGATTAGGATCAATTAAAAAGAGATCTCTCAGATTACGGATACAAAATGTCCTTATAACTCATCTTAATTATCTTCCCCAGACAGCAAAAAGTAGTTGCATCCTGTGTAATAATTTTCTTTATCTAGCAGAAGTTAGATTACAGTGATATCGTATCCTCTTTATATTATAAATTTTTATCTGAAAGTACCGTATTTGTAAAAGATTAACGACTATTCCCAACCTACTATGTACTTAAACCGTAATATTTATCAACATAATTAGTCATTATAATCTTTCATTGAACAATAGGCGTTGGCTTGGCACTCCGAACCATCGGTAACAAAACTAAGCCATCTCAAGAAATCATCATCGATGGAGATAACTACACCATCAAGACTATTTCTACTTTTAAAAATACCGAAATCAAGTTCACCCTCGGTACTGAATTCGATGAAAAGACCATCGATGGAAGAAACGTAAAAGTAAGTAGAAAACAATAAAATAAATGTTATAGGTGTGGTTCAGGAAATAACTATTTCTTCACTCTCTTTTTAGACTACTCCAACTAAAGATGGTAATAAGATCGTCTTACACCAAAAGGGTGATCCCGATTCAATCATCACTAGAGAGTTGGTCGATGATAACACAATGAAAATGGTAAGCAATATGTCCTAAAAAAAAACAATAAAACCTTACTAAGAAAAAACAGAGCAAACATTCTGTTTACATGGATTTATCACAAAAAAACACATTTAACTTTACTATTGTTTAGTGACATTTAAACAAGATAAAGTCAACAAATAGTATTAGTTATCTTCTAATATAATAAAAATAGTTAAATAATAAAAACTATTAAAATTTATAATATATTTCAAATTTCAGGTTCTTACTTGCAAAGGTGTCGTTTGTACAAGAGTTTACAAGAAAGAATAAGCACTTGGCTTTTGGTCTTAGTCTCTAGTTGCCTAGAAAAATAAAATGTTCTTACAATTTTTAATTGTCTTCTTTGCTTTATTTTACTATTCGTTAGATGAAAATTTTCGCACTGCTTATACAGTATATACTATATATATATGTGCAGTATATATATATATTGTATAATATAAATGTTCAACAATTATACGTACATAGTTTATTCCGGTCAAAAGATGTCAACTATTTTAGACCGACTACTACTAAGATTATTAATTTTAAATCGGTTGAAAAAGCTTTTTAAGAGATTCCTTGTCGTCATTCACGGCGATTTGTAAAGCTACATCAAAATCTGGAACGTAAGCGGCTTGTTTAGCTTTCTCTTTCATTTCGACTTTAAAATCATTCGACTGAGATATAAAATATAAAAAAAAAATAATTAATTAACTATTTAAACATCTTAAGAGATCAACTTACAGCTTTTTTAAGTTTTTCATATCCTCTATTATATTGTGAAGATATTAAATCCATTTCGTTTTGTATTCTTTCCAATTGTTCGCAAGTTTCTCGATTTTCCGTCTGGAAAAAAAAAAAGCATTAAATATGAATATTTAATTACTTAGAAACACAAAAAATGCAACTGAAAACCTTTAATTTTTCACTTTCACATTTAATTTTTTTAATTTTATCTTCTTCCGTTGAACTCGCTGATAAATTATCACTCATCATCTTCCTAGCTTTACTTTTTACTTTCTCAACTTCTCTTTCTAATTTTATACAATTAGATTCCGATATCTCAAGTTTCTGTTTACTTTCGTTAAAAGATCTCTGATCATTCTCTAGACTTCTTCTCGCCTCGACGAGAGACGCTTCCACTTTTAATAATTTATCTTTTAGAGTTTCCTCAATCTTTTGCTGATTTTCATAATTATCAACCTCCAAAGAAAGTTCATCAATAAGACTGCTACAATACTCAATTCTTTGCATTTGATTGCGAAGTTGTAGCTTGTCTTCCGTAAAACGAGTCTTTTCCTCTTTCTTCTCCTATTAAGCATGAAAACAAAGTAGAGTTCAACGAAAGGTCTACAAAGAATGAAAAATTCTCTAATTGAGAATTCAAAACCTCAATGGTATGCTCCAATTTTCTCATTTCTTCTTCATGGTTTTTGACGTTAAAATTTTTAATACTTTGTAATTTTCTAGTCGAATCTTTTGTTATATTAACCATTGTACTTTTAGATTTCTGTATAGGAAATAATGGTCAAGTTGAAATAGATACATATATATATTAAACGTATTGATTTCAATTAATTAATTACGTTTTTACTGCCAATTTCTTCTACTTCTTTTTTCATGTTGAGTAAACGATTTTTTTCGTCGTTTTTCTCTTTCGTTAAAACTCTCTTCCTTGCAATCAGCTCTTCCAACTTTTGCTTTATCTAGATAAATCAAAAAACAGAATAGAAGAAATAGATACAATAATAATAATAATTTCATACTTCTCTTTGACGCACTAATCTTTCATGTTTTTCCGTTTTTAGCGTCTCCAACTCATCTCTTCTTTCAACTAATTTTTGTATTGTTCTCTCCTTTTCACCTCTCAATTCAACTTGCCTTTCCAGTATGTACGTAATGCTATTGTGTTGATGAGATTTGAACAGGTAATAGTTCAATAACGGACTGAGAATTCTGCATATCGTGGGACTATCTATAATGGAGAAAGAGAGAGAGAAAGAGAAAAATTGTGATTTTCTTTCTTAAACAAAATTTATACTCAGGAATAAAAAATCATGAACGGTGAATTGATCAACTTTACAAACTTCTAATGCAGTTCTCCTAAAATGATTAATTTAACAACTAAATTAGTAATATAGCTAAAAGTTTAAATTTTCATTCAAAAGAAAAATGAATTACTTACAATATCTTATAAAACCATAGCCAATTCATCGTTCCTACATATAACTGTTCGTAAAATTCAATGTTTGTATAGTTAAGGGGTACCTATGGAAACAAAGAGTTTAAAAAATTGTACCAGTGTCGTTTACAATTTTTAGATATATACCGTATCGATGCAAGTATCGGAAACACCAAGAATATGTTTTATAAAAAATCTGAATACAGTTAGCCATTTTGTTCGCTTAAATAAAACGTAGATCATTAATATTTCTTAAATATTTTTTAAAGTTTGGAGAAAATACAAACATCCGGTTTCTCAAAATCGGCTATTTCTAGGCGAAATTCCGTAAAAGTTTTATTACAAGTATTCACTAGATACTTGGGAGATTTTGTCGGACATTGATAAGTCGTTACATTAGCCATTATTCAACTTAAAGTACGAAAAAAACGGTCAACACGAACTATAGAGCTTATTTATTCCCGCTCGACGCCATTTTGAAATTTTTTTATTTAACCGTCACCTTCGTAATTTTTTATTTAACTGATAATTATAATATTAAATAATAATTTAAAAAATAACAAATTTAATGATTTGAATTTTTCATAAGAAAATTTTTAATTTTTAATGAGAACCATTTTGTAGACTTCCACCACAATTGTGTGTGATAGTCTGTCGATTTAAACTCTTCCTGAAACGACTCTACTCTCTTTTAAAAAATCTTATAAAAATTTCAAGTTGTTTATAAAAATGGATGAAACTTGGCGTGTTAATTTTGAAGAGATCAACTAAGAGATAGTATCAAATCGTAAACGCCATTGTTTCAGAAGAAGAGAAAGAAATTTCTAGTTAATTAATTCTTTAAATAGAGAGCAATAATGGATTGTCCTCATGTTGGTGGAATGGTGAAAATTGCTTCGCCACCGTCTAGACTTGATGGAGATCCTAATACTTGGAAATGTGAAGGTATATATATATTATTCAATTATTTGGTCACGTGATTTTTTCGAATTTATAAGTTACTATTGATAATTAGAACACGTGTTAGATGACCATACCCAGCGTTTGAAGTTGTAGATTGATTTAAAAGGATTATTTATAGGGCAAAAATGAGGTTACATTAGAAAAATAAGCCTTAAAGAAAGTTTATTGAATTTTATTTATCTTATCTATCTACTTTAAAGGGATTAAAGTAAAAATTGAATTATATTTTTAAGGAAAAAAAGACTGATCTTGTTAAAAAAGGTTGTTAGAGTTTTAACAGTTTAAGTCAAAGAGAAGAGGTGAAAGGTACGCTTTAAGGATTTAACAGTTTAAAAAAAAAAGCCTAGAGGGTAATGTAAATATCTTGAAAGAACTTTCAAAACTTTTTACCTAAATATAAAAGGTAAAACAATTTAACGACATAGTTTCACTTATTTTCTACATTCTTTCTTTTGATCGTATTGTTTGATAAAGCGATTATTATGTATATTTTATATTTTTACTCATACTCTATACACTTGCTACAGGTTGTGATAAGGACGTATACACATCCCTTTGCTTGTGTCTAACTTGTGGAAAGCTAAATTGTGGACGATATGATAAAGGACACGCCGAAGAACACTTTAAGAAAAGCTCAAGCGAAGTAACATGCGCTCATTGTATTTGTATGAACGTTTTGGATACGAGCGTTCATTGGTTAGTTTTCTTAAATAGATTTTAGATGTATGATGGAATTCTTTTCTCACTTATTTTAGCTATATATGCAATACTTTTATCTATACCGACACACATTCTCACCACGTTGAAAGACTAAGGAGAAAATTGCTCAAGCTAAAAACAACTGAAGAAGAGAATTCAAAAGAAAATATTGGAGTATGTTGCAAAAGGAAGATAGCTGTAACCCATAATGAACCAGTTAAGAAACCAAGATCCAATCAGTTATGTCCACTTAGACGAGCTGGTTTAAAGAACTTAGGAAATACTTGTTTCATGAATTCTGTTTTGCAATGCTTGAATAATTTGATTTTTTCGTCATTTATCCAATCTCTACCTGATATTCAGGTAGTTAAAGCAATGAGATTGACAAGAAGTAAAAAATCTTCGGATTGTATAGGAGACGAGTAAGAATTTTCTTATTTTTTCTTTCACACCTTTCCTCCCATCTCTCTTATTGTTTCTCTTTCACACTACTATCATTAATAAAATGCGTAGGTAGGAGTAACTAGGTCGTTGAACTTCAATGGCTTTTATTATATCCTCTGTGAAGTGTATCAACTAAAGCCAATTTATAAATATCACAAGAATAATAATAGATTTTTATGTTCAGTACGTAAATTTATATTTCATGACTTATAGTATTGTGATTCATTGTCATCTTGGCGTATAAATTTTTCAACCTATAAAAAGACATGTCTGCATTTCGCCTTGCCTTTTTTTCTCCCTACCAATTCCCTGAAAAGAAGGAACTTGAACATTTTTGTCGAATATTTTTATCAGCAGCGTTTCATTTAAATTTATTGGCTTAGTGGCAAAGGGAATTTGTCCTTGTTCTAAGACGCTCTCTGTCTCATCATGCTTATTTTTATTTATTTTTCACCTAATATGCTAATATCTTGTAATGCATTTATTGATTTTATACAGATTGCTAACAGACAAATTGAAGAAGGTTTTATCTGAAATGGATGTTAAGGGTAAAAGGACGACAGTTCACACTCAAGAATTACTTTCAACAGTTTGGAGAGTTGTTCCCAGATTTTGTGGCTATCAACAGCAAGATGCTCATGAATTTATGCGATATCTTTTAGATAGAATACGAGGAGAACTCCAAACATACGAAGTAATATAAATATATATTCATACATATATAGATATATATATATATATATTTTTTTTTTTCATAAATAGATAGGAAAGCAGAATGGTGTCAGTAGCAGCTCTAGAAATATTGTTGATGATGTTTTCGGTGGTTTATTGCAGAGTAAAGTAAAATGCTTGAATTGTTGTAGTTTATCAAATAAATTTGATCCAATGTTAGGTATGTATATATAGTTTAATTATTTATGGTAATTTTATGCGTGTATGTGAATAAACATATTGATTTTTAGACATATCTGTCGATATACCGTTCAACGACGACGATACTTGCGATTTAAAAGGTTTGTAATTGCTTTCTATTGCAATATGTATTTATATATACAGTAATATATATATATATTTATTTATTAATATTGTTAACTGAACTGTTAATTTACTTTTTTTAGACTGTCTCAGACATTTCACGGAAAATGAACTTTTAAGCGAAAATGATCAGTATTACTGCGAAAAGTGTAAAAGTAAGCAACCCTCGACAAAGAAACTTTCAATTCGAAGATTACCTAACGTAAGTTTCTAAACAATCGACTTTAGAAGACAAGAAAAGTCGTTTCCCTACATTTGACTAAATTAAATATCATTTAATCTCTTTTAGGTACTATGTATCCACTTAAAACGCTTTCGAGTTAACGCTAATCAGAGGTTGAAGATTTCTAAGCATGTTTCTTTTCCGCTTCAAGAATTAGATATGTCCGAACTGGGCTTAGAAGAAGACACTAGAGCTACTAGATCTCAACAGTGTGGTGGTACTGTCTATGACCTTGCAGGTTTAATAGTTCATCATGGCAAGAGTGTGTCTGGAGGTCATTATACAGCTTATGTTGTTGAAGATGATCATTGGTTACATTGTAACGACGCCCAAGTAACGTGCTCTGATGAAGAAACCGTCAAAAAAAGTCAAGCTTACGTATTATTTTATTCCAAGACGAAAATAGGGTCGAAATGAACGTCAAATATGATTTAAAACAAATAATATTAATTTTTTTTGTTATGTCTAATTGCTCAATGTCTTCAGTAATTTTTAGTCACTGCATTCTTTAACCAGAATCTATATCATTATTGTTTTCTCGTATGTTATTGTGTGGTACAATATATATGATAGAAATATAAGAAAATGTCCGTAAAATATATATATACATATATATATATATATATACAATATATGTATGTGCCTTAGTGAAAAGAGAAAAACAGAAAGTGTATTTGTAGTAAAGAAATTAGTGTCTTTGTTTTTAAACAAAGTTTAATGAATAATTAAAAAGAAAAAAAGGAAATAAACAAATATATATATATATTATTTGATAAAAAAGATAAAACAACGTATATGCACTAATTCTTATCTTAAAAGAAAGAAACGGAATTGAATCATTTTGAATAAGTTAGTAATGCGAAGGAAATAGTCAATTTTGCGGTTGTTTGAAATGTTTAAGCCTCTTTCGATCATACCCAGTATTATAATCATATAAAAAACAGTATATACAGTTTATACAACTGAAGGTAAATTGTTTCGCTTCATTAGAAAAACGTTACTAATTGAATTTTTCGAGGAAATTCTCTTACACGATATTAATAGATTAGAAATTCTTACTAATCAAAAGGTTTTTGTTCTGACCCTATTATTATTAAAAATTTTTTTACATCTTTTAATGAGGAGCGCACTTGTCTTCTATTTAGGTCTTTTTTATTCTATCATTAACTGCCAATTATTAAGCTTCCCTAAAGTAATAATTATCGAATACGTTGAGAATATACTGTATATTTTTTTAGGGCAATGTCAATTTCTTCTTGTGGAGAATGTACATTGTTTCCTAAAGTTCTATTTTCTTCTCTATTTTGTTTTTACCTTTTCTTTTTAATTAAATGCTTATTAATAGATTAATTAATTAGTTCAGTTTTGCTGTATATGCTCATCATGTCTTTGTTAATTATTTGTGACAAAATAAATCATTTTATTCAAAATATTCTTATTAATACATAAAATACAAAACCATTGATCATTTATTCTAAATACGGTATTGCATTCGAAATTCGTAGGACGAATAGGGAGTTGGAGAGGGAGAGGCGGAAAGGGAATTGAGGCAGAGATTGAAGTAAATTAAGGACGTATACACTAATCTATAAGATCCTATCTTTATAAAAATTAATTATTAGTGGAACAATGAAAAAAAAACCTATGTAGACCTATACGGCGTATTTAATTTCTATTATTAAGCCTACAATAATTCTCCGTTATCAAAGAAAAACACTGGAAGGCGGAAGGGGGTAAGAGAAGAATGAAAGTGTGAGAAGCGATTAAGAGATTTTCTCGTAGTTTATCAAAAAATGTTGCGTAACATTATGTTCCTATTCGACGAGTGAATGAACACTTTTCTGGGATTAATAGATTCTTTTTTTACAGCTAAATAAACTAACAGATTACATTTCATTTACTACAAATATAGTACTCAGTCGTACGATATTTCTTAGAAATTTCATTCAGGGATGTGATATTCAATATTAATAATTTATTTTTTTAGCTTCATATCAAAAAGTGGGTCGCTTAAAAATTACTTAATTAATAAATGCACATTCCTGAAAGTTATGCATAGAATTTAGTAAAATTTCTCATAAAGGGAGATTATTATTAGAAACTTTTAAAATTGATGACTGATGTTGATTAGGCTAAAATGATTATGAATGTAATTAGTGCTGACTACTAATTATTGAGTTAACTTCTTTATAGAACAAATTGTAGGATTACACCTATGAATGTTAATTACTTTTAGATTGTTATAGTTTAGGATGGTTGTCTTCGATACGTTGTATCAGCAGGTGGCGAGATCAAGCTATTCTGAGAAGGACTTGAATATTCCTTCAAAGGAAACACTGAATTATAGGAGTAAGTGAATGGGAAGAATGTATCTAAATAAAGAAAAAAGTTGTAAAATTTGTTAGAACAAACATATCTTTTCCATAATCTGAACAAGTGTTTATTGAATGCAAAGGAAGCTTGTCAGCCTAACTGGTAAGATGAGTTTTTATCAGCTGGTTCAATGCTTCCTTTGAAAGAAGAGTGAATGTCTTTGGAGACATCTCCAACATGGGATTGTCTTACGACTTAAACCTATATAAATTCATCCTTTATCTTCTGAGAAGTTGAACTTTTTCAATTCAACAGACTGAAATTTATGCTATTCAAACGAAATGAACTTCGGCGGAAAGGATTTATTACTTCGGCAAAAACTTCCTCCACATCAATTTTCTTCCTTATAATTTTAATATAAAATCCTGAGATTTGTTCAGTAAGTTATCCAAAAACTTTCCAAAGTTTATCAATAAAACAAAAACAATTTGAAAACAATTAAAATGATGACTTTTAAAGTTTGTCTTGTTGTACTTTTGCAGGCTGCATTTACTGATTTGGTTTTGGGAGTAACTACAATAATTGATGTTCAACAATCTTTATCCGTGGCCAGAGATGAAGCTAGCGAACTTTTCACTGAATCTGTTGAACAATTTTATCCTGTCCATGCTAATTGTTTTGGTGGAGTAGGAAATGACGAATTTGAAAAATGTGCCCACTGGGCTGATGGACTTTCCGTATCGCTCTCAGCACCTGAACCTTATCTTTACCTTGGTGGACCAGGTAGTAACAGCGATCTTGCAGTAATTAGAGATGTCCTGCAAACATATAAACTTCTCTTTGAACAAATACAAGCCGAACAAGACCGCGAATTCTTTTGGCCATGCACTAGACAGACTTCAAGCCCTTGCAGTTACGTTTGCGATTACAAGAGATTGGATTATTTGGACTATTGTTGTTATATTTACAGCGATATTCTTCCTGCAGTTGATAGCGCTGTACTCGATATTCAAAATTACTTGGGACAAGCAGCAAATGTAACTTACGAGCTAACCGAAATCGGCCTTACCTCTACCGATTCTGATATTAGGGAATTTCAACTTTTAAGCTCTTTTATCCTAAAAAAGCATTTGGAACATGGAATATTGTATGCCCAAAACTACCAACCACCAGTTTAAATCTTAATATAAATAGTAAATATATATTAGGATGAATGAAATGGAATAAAAAGAATGAATGGATTAATTTTAAAAGAACTTGCCGATAAATAAGAATTGCATGTTTGTAAAAGTATGAATCTTTAGTAATTAGTTAAGATATAACATCTAAAAGTAAAAAGAAATGAACTTGTATTGAATAAATATGTTCCTCTTTTGCCTTTAAAGGAAAGAAATATAAATCAACTGGTACATCTATGCAAAACAAATGTATTATTATATGCTTTTGTTCCAAATATGCAAACTCATTTATTTTCAAAATTCTTTATTATCATATTCAAAAAGTAATAAAATGCATTTAAAAACAAAACACAAAAGTCTTTTTTAGTTCTTTTTATTATAAATGAAGAGAGTTTTTAGGTATACAATTTAAAGAGATAGAGAGTGAGAGAGAGAGAGGGAGGGAGGGAGAGGGAGAGATGAAGAAGGAAAGCCAAGTTGGTGTGAAAGACAGAATGAAAGAAAACTAAAGAAGAGGTAAGGATTTACTTATCTCTTGAAAGAAAAAGAAACAAGTATAAAGATTGCTTATCTTCAATTCTTTATCAATTACTCAGACAGAAAGACAGACACCAAGAAAGAAAGAAAGAAAGGGAGAGAGAAAGAGAGAGAAAGAGAGAGAGAGAGGATGAAAAGGACTTATAATTTTAATAGCTTAACTTCCTAACTCGCTATTCAAGCTCTCCTTCAATAAATATGTAAATACATATATGTATATAAAAGCTACATAGACATTGTCTCCTTAAACTTATGAAAGATTGATAAAAGGGAAAAAAAGGCTAAAACAGTAGACAATATAGATTCAATACTTTTCTGTATTGTAAAATATTCAAACTAATAAACAAACACGTTAAAAATTACACTCTGAACACTTTTAGGTGAAGAACACAAGAGATTATTTGAATATTAGCAATATTAATAATAATGTTAATCATAAAGAAAAAGGTTATAGTGATATGATAATAGTATTTTTTCTTTTCTTTTTTCCTTTCTTTTTCGTTATTTTCTTTGCTTTTTCCTTTCTTAAATATTGTAATTATCGATAATCTGCGCCATTTCCTCAGTTTGTATTTGCAATAGACGTGCAACACCAAAGTTTAGATAGAAGAAATCGTAATCTGGACTATAACTATTAACATCCTTAATTATAGGATTAATGGTTAAAGTCGATTGATATGTAAACATATAATGAAAACGTTTGTTAATAAGATTTAAATTTTTCAGGGCATAAGTTTGAATAAAGCATAAGTAATTCTTGTAAAACTCTATATAATGATTACAATAGTAATGACATATGTTATTTTCACTCTTCTCGCAACTAAACAAAAAACCATCGGAGGTTATATTCACCATTTCTTCAATTATTCTCTTATAAATTATTAATTGATTTAATAATTTGTTTACATCTTCATCAGTACTATTTCCACCGTTGTATCTTATAGGTTTTGGTAGATGTATATCTAATAGAATTTCGTCGCTAAAATCTTTACAAGCGTCATTTTTCGTTAATTTTTTCTCTTCTCCCATTTCGCAATTTACGTAAAAAGGCGTTAAAACACTTTTAGTTTCTTTCCATAAATTTAACGAAATCTTTTCGTAAGATTCAAATATTGTATTTAAATCATTTCTATTCCAATTCTTGCTTTCGATTGTAAGATTTTCAACAATTAACAAACTTATTACGATAAACTTTAACATTCTTCTCTTTATTCTTTTTCTGCTTATTACCTTTAACAAACTCTTTCTTATGCTTCTACGAACGAATTTTCTCTGATTTTATAGGAATTTGAGGGAAGTATTCTTGTTTTTCTTATTGATTTGATAAATAATCAATAGAACCCAAAACCTGGTAGCTGGTATCCTTCTGTCTTCATTTACAATTGAAACTGTTCATTTAAAAAACCAGATCGAAAGCAACCATTTCAAGACAGGGAATGATTGGCTGACAAGTGAAATAGAGGAGAGGAGAGAATGACACATCTCAGAACTTGAATATAACTAAAAGAAACATAACTTTTTTTATTATTGAAATAATCATATGTAGTAGTTATATAACTATTATAAATTATTATAAGAATGTATTGATAAGTAAGTTATTTACTTATTAACCAATCATTTAATCAGTAAATGTTTTTTTTATCTAAATGAATATATTTGGACAAAGGAAAGACTTTTTTCTTTTATTTCTAGGAATAGATTCGTCCAATTAGAAACTTTCCTTTGTTTTTTTTTACCAAGTAGTAAAGCTGTATATTATTATAAACATAAGTGTTAAATAACTGTACTAATATGTATTTTATGTTCTCTCATTCTTTTTCTCTATCTATCTATCTTTTAATAAATTCTGGAATTTCGACTAGTCATCCAAAAGAGAGAGATAAAGGGATAATATATTTTCAATCAGATAAAATGATAAACAAAAAAACACTTAGAATATATCTAATATTTTAAATTTATTAATAATTTCTCCCTTCTCTTTCTGCATTTAACAATTTGATAAGAGGGAAAAAGCAAACAGTTTGACTATCTCAATACTTTTTTCTTTTAAAAAACAAACAAATCTATGAAATTCATTAATAATTATCCATTTTTACGTTGCCATAACAAAATATATTAGCGTTTATTCAAGTGAATTTGTACTACTTCTAAATATTCTTTGCTCTATTAAATACTCTATTTTAAATCAATAAAAACAACTTTAATAAATAATAATAATCCTCTTTAAAAAATTAGTCAAGAATCACTGCGTAATTGTATTAGAATAGAATAGTTATTTACCTCTCTATTTAATAAATCCTTTATTCGAATCAATTGTCAATTTGAACATAACAAATATAATAAATTAGTTGGTTTCTAATTAAGGGGAAAGAATAACAAAATAGATCGTCTGCATATAGTCAGTGAATGGTAGTTGAAAGGAAAAACATAAAAATAAGGTATGTTCATACAATTCTACGTTTTCTCATTAGTTTATTCATTTTTGGAAAACCAAATTTAGAATAACCAGAAAGAAGTATATTTCATCATATACATTTATAAAACAGTATATATGTATATATATGTATATACTATACTGTACTTCTTAAAACGGAAAATGTTCAACAAACAAGTAGTCTTTATTGCGCAACATTAAACATCTGGTATGCGCAACAACAATGAGTTAATAACAAACGTCTTTTATTATACAAATCCACTAGTGTTAGTCTATAGGTTAAAGGTCTATAAAATAAATGATTAGTCTTTGAGGGGATCTTGCAGCGTAAAATATTGTTGAGGGGCTCCATATGGCATAAATGGTGCATCTAGTAACATTTTATTCCCTCAGTGAAAGAATGGATCATAGTCCTTTTTGTAAAGTTGTTAGTATTTTGTTATTTACCACTTGTAGGGGTAAAATTCATTATCATTCTTGACACAAGTCTATGGGGGATTTGCCTTAACTCACCACCAATAGAAAAAAGCTGTTGTCACTTCCATTAGATGGCACAACTAGTACCACAAGCAGAATAAAGTGAAACTATGTAGTACAGTACGACTAATATAATGAAAATATACTAAAGGGAAGGAAGAAACGAAGAAATATTGGTATATATATATATATATACAGTGTATATATAGAGAGAAAAGACTAAAACATTTGGAAGAACAGGATAAAGTATAAAAGTAAGGATAGCAAAAAAAGAGAATAGGGAAAAGAAGAATGAAAGAGGTGGAGAATTTCATCAAGCCCAACAAATAGTCAATTAGTTATTTAGACGGTTGAAAATCAGCAATAAGACCCTTTTCGATCAGAGTCGAGAAAATAAGCGGCTTTTCTAACCGACTCGAGATATATAATCGATTTCCGGACGTAAATATCGATCGATGAAACGGAAAGGATCCACTCATTTTTTAACAGATGGAGCTATATGTATCGTGCTAACGTATCCTGTCAAATCCAATATATCTTCGTTTCTCTTATTCCTTTAATCTTATCTTACTACAAGTCACGGTTCGCCTTTACTTCCTACAATATTTTATCATTTAACAAGTGTTAATTTTTACAAATCAAATCCATAGATATGTTTTTATAGGTCGGTTGGTTAATCTAAGAGATTATCTTTTATCAGCTCTATTACAAGCTAATATTGGCTGAAAATTCAATAATTAATCCTTTAATATACACCTTTTCATTCGAGTGTGGAAAGTGTAAAAATGGGTGCCTAATCATATCGAGTATTTAGAGAAAGCCTCTTATCTCACCAGTTAATTTGACAACACGATAAGCAGCTCTAGGTTAAATCAGTAAGTGTATATGATCTATACATACAAATGGAGATATATTATTGCACATATCATTATGTGTACACACAGTACAAAACACATAAGTGAATGAATGTCTAAAATGTCTATCTGAACAAGAAGAAAGCATTATATGTGAAGTAGTACTCGTGTAGTAAAATGACTTTGAATATAATATATATACTGTATGTATATATAAAATAATATATATATATATATACAGTATATAAATATAGAGAGAGTATATGCATATTTATAATTTATGTAATTTATCGCCTGCCCGCGTTTCGTCGATAAATCGACAATGATATACTAACGTTCGGAAGTAATTATTTCTGTCTATTGAAACACATTTTTCGCATGTTTGTAATCTGGAATTGACTGGATTTTAACTAGGACAAGAAAAGGCTTAACATTTGGCAACATTTTCATATTTTAAAGAGCAGAGAAGAAGGAGAAAAAGAAAAACGTTATAGAAATCTTTAAGATTAAAAGGAGTAAATAACTTAGGAGAAATCTTGCAAGAAATATTACCAAACCATAACCCTAATCGGAAAAATAGATGTCGCTTTAGTTTTATGTAGTTTTCCCTCATGTGCAGTTAATTTGATTTTATTACTACGCTACTTGCATCGTCGTTTTGCAGTTAAATTTATATATTGATATACATGCTTCTTTCTATTTTACTAATAAATAACAGTGTAAAAAAAACTGCAGCAATACAGCAACACATATATACAATATTAATATTTACATATTACCAAGTATTCATAGATGGTAAACTTTGAAATACATATTGACTGTTTAATTGATTCGATATAGGGAATTATATTTATACTGTTTAAACTTGAGGGTGTAATGTATATAGCTTCTTTTTTCTCTACTCTTTTTTCAATAGCTATTTACAATAAATAGATCCAACTAGTACAATAACAATGGCAACTAATGAAATGAAGCGCTAATGCACACGACAATGAAAAGTAAATGATATAATTCTTTGTTAAAAGTCCTAAAGTT